TCTTTTCTCTTGTACTTATCTCTGCCTCCCTTCCTGTTCCCTCGAAGGATAAAGAGCGCCGTGCCTCTGATGAGCGGAAGCGAAGCGTTATTGAACCTTTTTTGAAGATGATCGGTGTGGACGAGCGTGGCCCATCAGGGGGCCGATAACTTTATGAGAATGAGGACGAAAACTTTAATGATTAATCAAATTGACCCTCTGGTCGGAGCCCGTGACGCTAAATATCTTTGGCGAAACTGCCTGCACGCATCAGGGATTTGGTACAATACATACTATGGAAAGATTGAATTCCCAAGAATTTCAATGCTTCAGAATTCTCCATGTAGCACTCATCATGTCGTATCCATTTGATCTCCGTAACATCAAAGGTATCACTCCGTGCTGTAAACTACTAGTCGACGTTTCTCCGCCTGCCGACTTTGTATGGCTGCCAGGGCAGTCGACAGATGACGATGGGTAATGACACAGCTACACTCATCTATAATAAAGCTACAAAAGGTCGGACCACCCTTCGCGCGCCCCCGGATTCAAGACTGTAGGATACCATAGAAGCGGCTTGAATTGCTCCCGATCTACCGGTTTACGTTTGGAGTACAAAAGGCAAGACGGTGCCTCGGATTGAAATTTATTGAAGCTCCGGGACTGTACCTAGTAGGTATATCCTTGAACCTTCAGATTAGAAGGCACCAGTGACCCTTGCCAGTGGAGGGCTACAAAGTTCAAGGATGACACGTTTGAAGTTGAAACACAACACTATACACCTGTGCGCCTGCGCTGGAATATGGAAACTGCGTCAAATTAATTGACTGACCAGCGCGGCCACGAACTAAGCGAATCTGACAAGCGAAGATCCAGCTGAATGTGCTGGGTTGGAAGTTGTCAACAACTTGCTCGAAGACCAGAAATCGACGTTTGCATGTCGGCATTATTGTATATAAAACGAAATCTGCGGCGCTAAAAATCGAAACAGAGAAAGAAACTTGAAGCACAACAGGAAGAGTCAAAAGCGCCAGGAAATGCCGTTAAATGAGGATTTGAAGCGTACTAGAACCGGAAGCCTTCACCGGGGGCTATACAAAAGTGATGCAGGGAAAACCTTTCTAAGTTTGAAATCGATAAAAATTGTTTCAAATCCCCTTCCAAGGTTGTGAACAGTATGCAAGGTCATAAAGTCATGATATGGTCAATGAATTTGGACGTCACCAAAAACGATTTTTTATTTCATTAACCCAGTCGTGATTAACATATCCGTACGCCCGGGTCGGTGGAACCGGTCAATACCAAGATGCTCTTTACCGTCACGGCCGACATATATGCCGAAACCGTACATAGGCAGCAAGCGCTCAGATGGAGGTGCGACAATCAGTCGAGTGACTAGATCGGTTTTGCTGCGGGGCTCGCGGAGCAATTTGTCGGCCAGTAGAGGCGATTGGTAGAAGTAGCTCATTAGATCTGCGAGTGTCGTGATGTCGTGGGGAAGATAGCGACGTCTACCGGGCCAGATGGCCAGGAATGAGACGGCGTATAAAGCGCAAAAGGCCACTAGGGCGTAAAACGCTGGCATGAGCGAGGTGATTCGAACGTCCTGGTGAGATGGATACCAAAGGGCGATGAAGACACCGCCGGCAAGAATGGGAATGGCAATCGAGACAATGCTCACGAATGAAATCCATGCAATCTTAAAGTGGCGATTGATGATGGCTTGCATAGTGATCTGGACTGGCAAAGCGGCCGGATAGGAGAGGAGGATTGACTTGTCAGCAGACGCTCCATCTGGCGAAGAAAGTGCAACAAATGGCTGCAGGCCCCGAAAGTATAGATCAATAGGCTGCCAGGCCAGAAAGAGAAAATTGCCGATCAAGGCAGGGATGAAGCTGTAGAGGAAGTTGGAAGATGAAAAAGCACTAATGGAGGGGAGCGTGGGCAGCTTGGGCGGAAAACCGCCTTTTATCGCGTTGTTAATGAAACTGGCAGCAACGAAAGCGATGAAAAGAGCGAACACCACAAAAGTCCAGATTGCAATTGATATCTTGCGAAGGAACCATGGCGTCCAGCGGTAGCGGGTGAATGGAGAATATAGGTGATGATCAAAGGGGTCATTGGCAAAGGCGCCATGATGTTCAAGATCAAAACAAACTTTAGCAAGTCCGTGGGGTTGTTTTTCCTTGCTCTTCTCGGTCTGGTGCAAGGATGGGGTCCGAATTGGCGCATCGGCCTCTCCAATTCCATAGAATATCTCGGGCTTCATGGACAACTTCCAGTACCCGAGTCTGAGAATCCGAGGGTCAAGAGATTCTTTAACTGATGGGACAGTCTCGGAATGCTCATAATCGTGGAGAATGTTGGATCTTTGGATGATAGAGATAAGATCTGCGAGACAAACAGGGTCCCACATCAACCCCGTCCACCCTCGAATGAAGCGGACTACGAGCAGTAAAAGACCTATCGTCAGAAGACCATACGAGGCCACCAGAGTCCAACCAACCGCCTGCACAGATGTCCACCTCCAGACACCCTGGCCATCAATCACGTAGTACTTTGCCTGGAAGAGGCAGCTCATCAAGGGGATTGAGAACAAGTTCGACAACCAGATAGAGAACAGCGAAAATCCAAATAGCGGCTCACCATACCGAAAATGGGAGAAATCGGGGAAAACGAAATTGCGCGGAAGAATGGGCAGACCCTGTAAGACATAGCCACGCTTGCGCTCTGCTGCCATAATTGCAAATGGCGCTATGCGATACACGGCAGCTTGGATGATGAAAGTGATCACAATAATGGGCGCAGCGAGAATCTGAGGTAGGAACTGCATCACAAAATAGCGAGAATCATCCTGGCCGTCATAACCCCAAATACCAGCATGTTTCCTTGACCAGACGTTGCAAAAGACAATACCCGCAATCATCGATAAGGAGCAAAAGATGATAATAAGCAGGGTCAATGGTCGGAGAGCAATGGGAAGGTAATCGAGGGCAGGATATAGCAAGTCATTTTCAGGTGGGTCCACAGCAACAAATGACTCGGGGTCGATTGAGTCCGGTCTTTGTGGCAAGGCTTGTGGAGATGGGGACTTGAAATTAGATCGTTCAGATAATGCTGCTGCAGAATGCCGGATCGGGGTTCTAGCGCGAGTAAAATACCCCAACCCTTCATCCCAGAGAAGTCGATCAGTTGGATAATCACTATCTCTGGTCGAAATAGAATCTTGTCTCCTCGGACCGTGGACTTGCTCATCTCGGGTAAGCTGATCAATGGCAAATCGTACATACGGGGAGTCGTCAAGTCCTGGGGTTGGTGCTGGACCAGCATATTCACTTGGCACACGTCGAACTGTCTCGTCGGATTTGGGACTGATGCGTGCTACCCTATCTTCACCGAAGCGGACTGTGCTTGCTGTGCCTGGCCGAGGAGAGCCGAGGTCTTGAGGGTCCGGTTGACGGTAGTGACTCGGTTGGGCCACCGGCTGGGGTTGTTGGGTTCGAGGGACTGTTGGTGATGATGCCTGGGATGACGGCTGGGAGTCCGGTGTGGCGAACCGCATTGCTGTGACTTGACTATCGGGACTTGAAGTTCCTTTATCAGAGAAGGAATAGTAGTCGTCTGATGCAGCGGCCGATTGTCGGGACTCTGTTCGGTAAAGTTGAGGTTTGCTTGCTATACCACGGTCAGGGATCAGAATTTTTTTGGATCAAATTTGAGGACATTGGGGTTATCTTTAAAGAAGAAAAAGCAGAGTACGAAAGATCTGGGACATACAGTTCACGTTTCGGAGGCTGAAGTTTTGGGGTATAGAAGGGTCGGACATGACGATCTTGGAATGCAAGTTCTGAATCCACAGGCGAGGGGATTTAGTCCAGAAGCATTCTTGGAGCTGGTTTTGAAGCTTGAGGGTTCAATGAGGGTTGAAGTAAAGCCAAAAAATAACTTGGTGGGCTTTTCTTTGGATGGCATGGCGTCCGTGAGCAGCTCCCAGCCTCCCCAGCCACCACGACCCAACCAGAAAAGTAACACACCAATAGGGAGAATTAAGACAAGGAGGTTGTCAAGCTAGACAATTCCATCAACCGAGTCACAAAGTACCATTTGGATTATTTGGACCATTTGGATTTAATTAATTACAATAAAAATACAGAAAAGAATGATCGGCCGTGGTGCCCATCGGCCCGAACCCCCCGAGTTCAATCCATGGATGCCCTAAAGCTTGGCGACATTTGATCTACAATACAGATCGATGAAGACTAGGCAGTGCTACACATTTTGATGTAGATGACACATTTCGTATTCTCATCACCATCATAGTGAATACAGAGAGAGGGGAGGGGGGGGGGGGGGATACACAAATCAACTTCTTCTGCTAGAGTTGTACATTACTGGGCTCGGTGCGACCGTAGGCCATTCGAGCTAAGAATAGAAACCTCTGCTAATTGAGATACTAGATAGTGGCCAAATTGACAGGAGGCAGGGTTTCCCAGAAAGTATTAGATGTTCGGAATTTGATCCAAATTGGGTGACACTTCTCAACCTCTACCTCACCTACTGTCATCCCTTGCTGGGATTGGCCAAAACGTGGCTGGCTCCTGCCCAGAGCAACCGGTTGGGCCTTGAAAACACGAGGCTGTCCTTCATTTCACCCAGAAACAACAATGACTCCTTGGCAAAGAATAATGTTTCGAGTTTCGACTCGAGATGGCCATGTACCCAAAAAGCCCTTGTGGGTGTCAGATTGCCTAATTCCCAGCCAATGTTTAGGGTGAATATCTCATTTTATTCGTATCATGCTCCCGTTCATCCCGATGACCACACATGCTCTGGGTTGAAAGAGGCAAGGAGTCCCCCTTTCGCGGTGAGCAAGGCTTTAGGGTAATGACACTGCTGAGCCGTTGGGCCTGTGGATCTTGTCTACCGTCAATGAGAGGATTCTTCATCTGATGATTTCCTCGCCCTACAAATATTTGCCTTGCTGGCACAACAGACCTGCAATTGATCGAATTATTGATTCATTACTCAATGCCTTGTTCGTCATCATCTACTCCATCATGGTATCCTATGTCCGTCCCAAGGAAAAAAGTCTCAATGGCATCCTTTCCTTCGTACTGATCGTCATCTTCCTCCTCGCCCGGAGGCCCAGCTTCCGTGAGTTGGGCGACCGTCTTCTGATTCATCCGATAACAAGCAAGAACATCGTGCGTCACCAGTCGCGACGGTACAGCCTCTGTTTTTAGCTGACATAGCGTCTCGCCGAAAGCATGAAAAATGAAACTAGAATGCGGATGCGTTACATAGGCACACGACGCGAGAAGACGCCGCCACTCGTCTGGACTATTTTGCCATGTGTGGAGAATAGGGTGGAAACCTGAACTGGGAGGACAAAGCGAGCACGCGGACTCAATTGCCTGTCGCGCTTCGATCGGAAACCCTTCTGTCCCATTTCGAAACGCTCGCTTCCATTGGTCACAAAGTTGGTCAATAGTAGATTGAATCTGCTGCAGAGTTGGCTGGAGCTCGCCGCCTTGTTGGCGGTCGATACAGGCAACTTCCCACGCTTTTCTGCTCGGACGAGCCAAGTCCTCGTCTATCTCGTTACTTCCCTGGCCTTCGGGAAATTCTCGTTCCAGTCTTTCACGAATCACATGAGCATGGCCTTTAGCGACATTGAATTTGAGGTAATCGACAATATTACTCGTCTTCGGGTTCCGACCGGGGTTACGATAGGCGGGCAATGCCCTTTGTCTTGGGCTAATTTTCTTGCGATATGCTTGCCATGCCTGCTCAGAGAGGTGTACGCCCCCTTTTCGCCCATCTACCAGATGGCTGAGAAGATTGGCAAGCTCTATGGCCTTCGGACTGTTGATCGATTCGTCATAGGCAATCTTCTCGTGCTCTACAGTGCACCGTCCGAGGCTGGAACACGTGAGGTTAAATTCAAATGTAGATAGCAGAAATGCATCTGTTGATTGAACCTGGTTCATTGGTAGTGAATGGCTGGTGAGTCCAAAATGGTCAGCCCCGAATTCGGCCTCTGGAGTGGGGAATTTTTGAAACTTTGGACAATCTGCGGATCCCAGCAGATCCACGGTGTATCGCCATCGTAGTCTCCGCCAGAGAGCATGTGCGCCAAGGCGATATTTCCCTTCCGGGGAAATACAATGATATCCTGGAAGTGACGAAGTTCGGGCTTCCATACAGCCTTTCTTCGTTGGATGTCAGATGGTACATGGGCTGGTAGACGCCCGACTAGGACGTCCACCCCCTCCAGCTGGGTGTCCTCGAATTGCCGATCAGGGTCCTTCCAACGCGTAGAGAAGCCGAAGTGCACTTCATCCGGTTCCAAAATATCGTAAGGATCGGCGATGCAGTAAGCGTAGGTGGACAAGGGAACTTGGATACGAAGCTCCTCGACATGCCGTTCCAACAGCCAGCACATCAGCTGTCCGAGTCGCTTTCGCAATGGATAAAAGGTCTGCGGTGCAAATCCGGCTTCGGATAATCGGATGATGAACTCGGCATCATTCACGACCCACTGCTCCAGACGCCGGAGTTTATTGGCTCCATCATCACCCGAGGGTCTGAGTTTTTGAAGAAGACTTCGACAAAGGACGGGATTGTCGGACTGGAGTACATGGGCCAGATCATCATAGAGTTCATCGATGCCATCGCGTGTCAACTTGGCGAGGTGTTGTTTCACGTTTCCGCCTTGGTGGAGAATGGCGAGGAGCTGGATGTTCAGATCCACCGAGTGCAACGGCTTGGCCCAGTTCACGACTTCGAATGTGAGCTGCTCAGGATCGAATGCGTCCCCCATTTCTTGGGGTGGGGGTGAATCTTCAATTGCGAATCCGAGATCTGTAGCCACACATCATCACCGTGGCTGAAGCTGCGAATGCTAGATTGATGCCGGTCGACCATCCATAGACCTTTTGCGCCGGCGATGCGGGCCTGGAAACAACTCGGGGTGGGCTCCGTGATACCGATGCTGTCACAGATTTTCAAGGCGAGCGCACGGGACATTAACGCGCAGCCATCGTTCATCACCATTTTCCAGGTTGGTCGATCTCGGAGTCGCACGATCTGCGTGGGTCGTAATACAACGGATGCCAGCGTTTTTGACAACCCGAGGGAGAGTCGTTGGAACAATTTGCAATTAAGCTGGCGGGAATTCGCCTGCTGGGGCATATGCCACTCCAACAAATTGCCCACGGTCATCGGGGAGTGGCTGTCGCTTCTCTGAAGTGCCGGGGCGATAAGTGGAATGTCGTGAATGTGTTGATGCTGGAAATCCACTCCATCGATGGCGAAGAATTCCACACGAAAGCGTGGTTCCGCCTTGACCTTGCGTTTTGATTTGACTTCCTCGACAAAGAACGGTCGCCATTTCCGACCGAGACAATGATGGTCATTTTCAGTGAGCCATCGTGCGATGGGTTCCCGAAGACCCGACGAGAGATCCGTGCAGCTCAGGTGGTTTGGGGCATGAGAAGGCGCTGGGATGCTGAGGCTCATAAACCGATCCGAGCCAAATCGACGATGAAAGCGACAGGTCTTTTCTGTTTTCAAAGGGTTCAAGTCCAGTTTGAGGATTCCCGGTTCGCCTGGCAGACACCAGTTGAATTCTCCCGTCAAAATCACCACCTCCGACGGGGCATCGGTTTTGAAGTCGTTTATCGCATGATCCCAGGCTCTCCGTGAGGATTTCGGTGGAAGTGGCTGGTCGCATCGTTGATTGTGCCTTTGAACCCAGGCCCAGAAATCATCGTGAGATTTCCACGAGGCGACATCCCCGCGATAGACGCGTTGCAGGGGAATCTTCCAGGCGCGGCCCAGTCGCTCGAACTCGTAACGATATCGCAAGGGTAATTTGCCGGGGAACGGATGATGGAGAGAGAAAGGACCGTGATCTACCAGCTCCTGCACGATGCGATCTTGGAAGGATTGGTTCAAGTAGTCATGTGGACCGTCATAGTCACCATCGACATCGATATCGAGGTTGACATCGGTAAAAAGGCCCACGGAGTCAGGATAGGTGGATTGGGTACCATCGGGCACGGTGATCTCGGTATCAAAGGAGTGGTCGATAGTGGATCGGTCGGGGAAGAAAGAGGAAGAAGAATTTAAGGCGGTGGATGCAGTGGAGACGGTGTGAAAACTGGTATTGATGCGATCAGTGACAGTGGCATTGGGTTGGGATTGTTTGAATCGCTGGAGCGAAGGGGTCTTGTTTGGACAAAAGAGCCGAGTGGGGTCGAGGTGGAGGTCGAGATCGTGATCGAGATCGTGATCGCGATCGACTGAATCGAATATAGGTGGCAGATGAGGCAGATTACTTGGGCATTGGGATTTGGAGGGTGAGTTGGGTGCTGTGTGGAATTCAAGTTCGTCTTCAAGTTCTTCGTGGTGGTTGATGATGTTGATGTTGTTGTTGTCTTCGTCGGAGAATCGGCGTTTGCGCGGGGAAAGCGCCGACTCGGCCACGTGAGGCACGTGAGGCACATCAAATTGTTGGAGGGACAAACTTGTTGGACTCCCCCTGGACAGTAAATAAACATGATCCTCCAACCCTCGGAGGAGAAATGCCATTCGCTCATCTTTGTCCCGGTTGGTCAGACTGCCAGGGCCAGGGCCAGGGCCAGTGCCTGGCACTGGCACTGGGACAGCCTGAGGCATCCCAATCCATTCGGCAAGACTATCGACCGCCCGGCGGAGTTGAGTTTGGTCTTTGAAATAAAGAAAGAGAAGGCGGAGAAAACATCGCCAGCGAAGAGACGATTTATCGCGGACGGCCGAAGGGGAATGTAAACCAAGCGTGGGGATCTCTAGGCCAAATTGTCGATTGAGGTCGGTGATGAAACGCGACAAATCACTGGCATTCCGCGGTCGGTGAGGAGTGTTGGGTATCATGGGAACTTGAAAGGGAATACTGGGACTGGCTGGAAACAGAAACAGAAAATATGCCAGTGGCAAGCAAAGAAAGGGGGGAATCAACAAAGGAACTGAACTTGAATCAACGGCATTTCCAGTGGCAGATGGACTAAGAAAACAAAAGCAAAAAGAACCCCGCGATGAACAAAGCCGAGGATGGTGGAAATGAAGATGAAGGTGGAGTGGGCAAACAATGACAATCGTACTGCCAATGGTTCTAAATTAGTTCTCAGGGTATAATAGACCATACTAGTACCTCTATTCTAGTCTCTTTATTATTATATATTTATATATTTAAGCCCTTATTGTTCCTTTGTGACATCGCCCAAGGTTTGCCGGATACCATTGTTCAGGGAGTTTAGTAGAGTAGCTGGAAGATATAATGGGCAGTAGTAGTATATCTATACTACCAGTAGTCACTATAGTACTACTAGTATCTACTAACCACCACAACCTTGGAATTTCAGTTGACTAGGTAACTACTACTAACTACTACTAACTACTACTACTACTACTACTACTACTACTACTACACCACAACGCTAAGTGACAGTAAATCGAACGCCCAAGACGGCAACACTCGACGCCAGTTTAAGCGTTCAATTTACCAAAATCTTAGTCATATTTGCATCACGTGATCCAAATCAAGCATTCTTATCGCCTGGTCCGGGATTGCTCCCTGAGTGCTCCCTGAGCCCTCCCGGAGCCTTCATAGTCATTATTTACTATACGCTGTTCCGGACAGTAAAATTACGGGTGGCTATGCAACTATGTGGCTGTGCTCTGATCAGTATATCTATAAGACTAAAGTTGCAAGAAGAAATTATCAGAAATTGTACTAGAGAAAAAGAGAGTCTTTTTAAGAGGGCTACTCAATACTCTAGAGAATGTGACGTTGATATTCAGATTATTGTACAAATAGGGAAGACCGGCAAAATATTTACCTTAGCCTCTAAGGCAGAAGGATAGCCGCTATCAGAGAGTTAGCTAGTAGGTCTAAATAGAAGTAGACCGGGCTGCTATAAGTTGAGTACTGATTAGATAAGAACTTAAATCACCTAGTGCTAATCTACAGAACAATAGATAAACTTACTCTATAATTTAAAAAGCATTCTGAAGAGAAATATAAAACAACTAATCTTAAAAATACAAATCGAGGAAGTATAGTATCGAAAGAGGGCACAGAAATACTGAAATTATAACTTAATACTAATGCGACCGGACAAGATAAAGAGTAGGCTGATTTATATATTAGGAAGCCGTTCAAATCAATATATACAGCTATTACAGACCTTAATTAAGTAGTATAGGCAGGTTTAAAAAGAATTTTCGAATTTATAGAAGCCTTTTTAGAGACGTTAAATCTTATTTAGGAAGTCACAAACCAACAAAGCATACCAGGAAGCCTGTAGATCTTGGAGCTAAAATACAGGACTCCGGGAGCAACGTTCTTTTGGACAAAGGATTTAACATCAACTCCAGTAAGTCAAAGCCCCTCTATCTTAGGCCATGTCAAAATTAAGCGCAAAAGCTACCTTGCTCAACTAAGTAAGCCTGCAGATGATGCGTAATTTTAGAGCTAGAAGCTGCTTTAATGGCCCTTTTCAAATTACTGCCATTTCGTGCCTGAGGGTCCTTGTAGAGTTGCATGACGACCTGCTCACGTCTATTCTAAGCTGTATAACATAATGTCGTTTCCTTAAAGGTGTCAGTAGCAGAAATATCCAGGCCTTTCTCTTTAAGCAAGAGAGCTACAATATCCGAGTACCTACAGGAAGCCGCCAGAGAAAGTCCAGTACGTCCCTTATAGGTTTTGAAGTTGATGTTAGGCCGGGGTTTGTGTCTCAGCAGGAGTTTCGTAACTTCAAAGTATCCTATCTCTGAGGCAGCACAGAGAGGCGACTCATTCCGGTATGTCTGGTTGATATTAATAGTATCAAAGCAAAGTAATCAACCTAAAACGTCTAGGTAGCCCTCGATGGCAGGATAGAACAGTAGGGAGACTCCTTGCAAGTTTACTTCTATGTCTGATCTTCTGAGAAATAGTTCTACCATACGTAGATCTCCTTGAAAAGCAGCATAAGTAAGGGGCGCCTATTTTCTTTCATCAAGTATATTAGGATCTAGTTCATCCTTAGCGAGAAGGACAGCTATGATAGGTATATTCCCCATCACTGTCGCAGAATGGAGAGCGGTTTGTGCCATATCGGTCTGCTACGTTGATTTCCACATAATCCTCTGCGAGAATTTGCAAAGGCTATTGCAGTATTCCCCTTCTGTACAGCTAAGCAGAGTGCTTTGGCCCCATTAACGTCTAGGATGTTGATATCCACGTCATTACGAGTCAAGAGCAGCCTCGTAATCGCCTTGTGGTTATATTCTGCTGCGATTTGAAAGGCGGTATGTACAGTGCTTCGACCTTTGGCTTATTGACTATTGACAGCGACACTTGGGAACAATTTTCGATGTATAATGCTTTGAACAGCTACATTTGAGGGAACGGACAACTGTAATAGTTAAGTCGGCCTTTGTGCTCGCATATCATTTTCTTGATCACTCTACCTATCTCTACTAGCCAATAGAATAAGTTGCCGATTTTTGATCGTCATCTTTCATTTAGCACGGAGAATCTGTTCTTGAATATATGCATCACTTGTGGTACGAGCCATTCACTATCCTGGTTTATACATTCAAAGTAAACGTAAATTACAATCTTCATAAGTACCGAAGCTAGAATTGATTGTATAATTTTAGGTATTTGCTCATCCATCTACAGATTCTCTCATCTAGATCTGGCTGTAATCTTCCACAAACTGTTGAATAGCTTTCAACACCCTGTCAATCTCTGCATCTGTATGTTGAAGGTTCAGAGAAATAAAGCCACGCCGGCCAATGAAGATCCCCTCTCGGATAAGGTGAAAGTAGAACGCATCACGGAGATCCGCGTCGGATGAACCATGGAAATGCACACCCACTGCACTGCCATATCCCGTAAACTCGATGCTTTCGTAGCCTGCCGCATGCGCAATTTCATTTCCTTTCTCGCGCAGACGGTCTCCCAGTCCATTGATCCGACTCAGCGACCTTTGCGTGACAAGCTGAGAGGCTGCAACGGCAGCAGTCATGGAGAATACGTTATTATTAAATGTGCCTGAATGGCTAAGGGTCTGGGTACCGGCGGCGGTTGGGTCAAAAAGACTCATGATTTGAGCACGCCCTCCAAATGCCCCGAAAGAAAACCCACCACCCAGATATTTTCCAAGCGTTGTCAGATCCGGTGTGACTTTCCAAGCTCCCTGTAAACCGTGGAAGTGAAAGCGTGATGTAACTACCTCATCGAAGATAAGGACGACACCATATTTGTCCGCCGCATCGCGCAGAGATTGGAGGAAATCTTTTGAAGATGGCTTCATGCCACCCACTGCTTGCATTGGCTCTATCAAAATAGCGCCAATGGTATTATCAATCAATGGTCGTGTGGTTTCGATATCGTTGTATGTCCCAAAAACGTATTCATGGGGAAGGTTCAAAGGACTGCTATTGCCAGCAGCGGAAAAGCTGAGTGTGCCTCCATGATAGCCCTCTTTGAAAACGAGAACCTATTCCACACCATATATTAGAGACAAGTTGAATGTTGCTATGTCATAGGAAAGCGAGAAAGCGGAATCGTGCAGGAAAGGCGAGGTCTGATAGACTCGCTTTATACAACTTACCTTCTTGCGCTTTGTGTACTCCAGAGCTGTAGCCAATGCATACATGTTGGCTTCGGTACCCGAGTTGCAGAACCGGACTCGCTCAATACTGGGAAACCGATCGCAGAGAATCTGGCCCAGCTGCGCCTCTTGCGTAATGATTCCTCCTAAATTGAAGCCCTTCGCTAGCGCATCATGGATCGCTTTGTGGATCACTGGGTGAGAATGTCCATAGAGGCCAGCTGAAAAATCCGAGACGAAGTCAATGTATTTTTGCCCATCCAAAGATGTGATCGTACAGCCTTCGGCAGAATCGATAACAAGTGGGAAGGGAGTAGAATAGAGCACAGAGCGAGTACTTCCAGCAGGCAACACTTCTTGTGCTTTCCCGAAAGCGACTTTCGACTTAGGATTCGTGGTGGTATACTGCTCAATTAGCGAGTTCAGCTTTATTGTAAGAGCCAGCTCAGCCATTATACCGGGAGGTTGAAATGATCAAAAAAGGGGTGGTTCGCAAAGTGCCCCTGGGAGGATAATCTTATCGAGAGAAGCAAAAAATGCCTGTAGTCGAAAGATGAAGTTTTATCGACTACTTTATACCCCGTGGTTTTTTGCATCCGCATCAGCACCCGTGGCTTATATCAGCGGTGGTTACTACTTTCGGCTCCTTGATCTGACCTTTAGCGGCAATAAGCAATGGCGAAGAAGATAGAAAGCCAGGACGAGGGAAAGCCAGGACGAGGGAAAGCCAGGACGAACCCCACTATGGCACACCAGGCCCACCAGGTACTGTGATTTGGCTGTCCAAGAACGGGCCCACCGTCATCTGTCGCTCAATCTCCGACAATGGCAGTTCTTTTCCCCACGAAATGATCACTTTTTTATGTAGAGATTCCCCATCTCCAACGTTCAGTGGAAAGCGGAGGGGGAGGAGAGGGTCAGCAGAAAGGAAACATGCAAGAGTAAAGGAAAAGGGGCCCTGGAGTAGACATTAGTATTTTTGGAACCCCATGGCAAACTAGAGCTAAGAAAGATCTTCAAAGTGACATTGTTTTGAAGGTGAATTGAAGAGAGTCTAGATGTCGTCCTAGAATTACTGTATGTATTCTACACTGAGTCAACTCTGCCAACCCCCACTCTAAGGTCAAATAGCTATAATAGATATTAATGTTAAGTGCTCTTTTCAATGCCAAACAAATCTTATTTTCTTTGAATTCATTTCAGGCCCAATCTGACTTCATATAAACCTCACGTCTGGAGCCTCGTTGGCTTTTCTTCCAGTGTAGGAAACAACAGGTCTTCAGCGAGAATATGGTGTAAGAAATCTGAAAAGTATCCGAATAAAATGATAACAACAAAATTTAAATGGATGCGTATGGCAGAATCATTGGATATTAGGGGGTGTTGTCGGTAAGGTATGGTCATCGCGAACAGGTTGAGTGACTGAGGACGGTGGGCCTGTCCTTGAGAGAGGGGTGGCGTTTAAAGCCTAAATACTTTAATCCCGGCCTTTTCCGGCTTTCCCTCGTCCTGGCTTTCCCTCGTCCTGGCTTTCCCTCGTCCTGGCTTTCCCTCGTCCTGGCTTTCCCTCGTCCTGGCTTTCCCTCGTCCTGGCTTTCCCTCGTCCTGGCTTTCCCTCGTCCTGGCTTTCCATCTTTTCTACCATTGTTGGTTATTTATTGGCTCTAACAATGTGAATTTCGATCTCTCCCTGAATTTCCTCAATAGGTGGGATCTAGAGTCAAAATGTTGTTCAAGATTCTGAAGATTATCGAGAGTACTTGCCGCAAAATTTGATACAGGTGTTGCTTCGAAGAACTAAATGGCTCTTCCGATCAAATTCTAGCCGGATAGTGTGCCTGAAATATTTCCAGATTAAAATCAGCCCGCTTTAAGCTTCGCCAACTTCCCGGAAAAAGCTGATTGTGAGTAACGTGATCTGCTGGAAAAATTTCTTCATGACTCCCGAGTTCATCCCCGGTCGGCAGCACTTCATTTTTCAAATTTCTTCAAAGTGACACCACGACAGAAAGTCACTCATTTTACAGGCTATGCCGTAGATGTCAGCAAAACACAGTCGTCGTACTTTTACCGCATGCTGGACCTGCCGGCAGCGTAGGATCCGGTGCGATGGCAACTTGCCCCAGTGTTCTCGTTGTTCAAAGCAAGGCATCAATTGCAAGGGCTATCAAATTAAACTGGCGTGGGTAAACGCAGATACCGGTGCATATGATCACTCACAACGACGCGCCCTCCAGTGTGGGCTGACCTGGAGTGGCAGGCCAATTTTTGAATCTAATGAGGTGGATCAACTGATCGCGGAATGCGACATTCAAGACAGGGACCTTTCCCAGTCTGTGGATAGCCCCTTCGCTGTATTCTCGCTTCATGGAAAGGTAAAGGACAAGCGAGCCAAGGCGTCCATTTCAACTTTAGAAGACTTCAGATCTATTGACTCCTTCATACTGGATGCAGCCCAGCGACCAAGGCCATCATATCAGACTTCACCTTCGTTTCTCTCTCCCATATACAAAGAAACAGGCGGACCACAGGAGAAGCTGCTCTTCAAACATTATGTGACACACGTTTCGCGTCTAATGATCACCGTTGAGGACCTTCGCAACCCATGGAAGTCCACTTATCCCGCTCTCGCTCTCCAAGGAAGAACACTAAGCACATCTGCACTCTACAACGCGCAGCTGGCGAAAGCGGCTTTGAATCTGAGCAACCTCACCAACGATGCGAACAATATGCAAGCCCAGGGGTTACGATACTATGGAAGGGCTTTGCGGGACTTACGAAAAAGCTTCGTGTCTTCCGAGTGTGACTACGAAAGCCGTGTTGCCTCATTGATGACCTTAGTCATGTCGGAAGTGAGGAATTTTGCGCTTCGATTCCATGATTTCGAATCTAATGCTAACATATGTTGTCAAGGCTGTATATGCGGGCAAAAGCAGTTCCTGGCGAGTTCACTTTCAAGCACTATCCGATTTCTGTCGACAACATATAGATGAGCAGCCGTGGCACCAATCACATGACGCCTGGGTGATCACGCAGAGCTTCATACATACAAGCATAATTGGAAGAACAGCTACTGTTCCGGGCACGTCGAAGCTCGGTGGTTTTGATCACCGGGAAATTTTCGAGTCAGTTGCAGGACATGGTATGTTTGGATTTACTGCTGGCAACACGCGGTCTATCATCAATAACATCCTCGAGATCCAGCTTCTTGGGGAAAGGCTGGCTGAAGGCATTGGGGATGATTTCAACAATCAAGTTATCTCCTTGATCCAAGCAGTACAAGACCCACTGAACAAAGAGGATACAGTATGCAGGGATTATCTCCCTGCCGAGGACTCAGTCAGCGAACAGTCCTTTCGCAAGATCAAGCACCTGTCTTGGTTGCATTTGCGAATGTTCAAGACTGCAAGTTTTATATACTTCCACCGAACGGTTTTCAATACACGGCCAGCGGCGTTGGCTCAATATGTGTCAACAGTGCTGGAGGCAGCAATGGAGTATATTAAGATAGATGGAGGCACAGTCTCAGTGTGGCCGGTATTCATAGCAGCTGTGGAGGCCTACACGGTGATGGATCGAGAAATGGCCGCAGAATGGCTGGGCGTTGTTATGAAACAAGGAATAGGCAATCGGTTCAAGATAAAAACATTGGTGGAGACGGTATGGCGACAGCGGGAGAGGTATGCACATGAGAACGATTTGTGTCCCAGTGTGGTAACTGTGGACTGGAGAGAAGAGATGCGTCGTTTGGACTTAGATGTACTCTTGATATAAGATAGACCAATTTTGACTGTTTGAGAGTAACTCCTAGTTAGACTTGCAACTCCACCACGAGTGCAGCAAGAAAAAACTTATAGAATTTGCTATCGCTTTAACCTTCGAAAAGACTTTCTTGGGGCTAGAGAAACAGTTCTATCGTGGTCGGGTAAAAATTGCGTCTGAAAGTTGTCGCATCTTGACGAAATGCCAAGACTGAAACCTGAGCCAAGGTCACATGATACAGGGAAGCACTACTAGTAATATAGTTTAGCTCACATCATTAAACAGAAATCTTGCCTTCATAAGTCATCTGATGACTGGATCGAGGTTTGCATGGATGAGCGCTTCTATGCTCACATTTCTCTTGGTTTGTTGGATAACCATGGCACATAGCAAACAGATCATTGGGGCAAAAGACCCTCATTTGAGTCCTTTCAATCCGATTGGCAGGTCATCCATCGAAGACAAGCTTCGGCCTTTAATGGCTAACGTACATGATTCCGGGACAGAACCCCTAGGGGCCGTAGATGCTTCCGAACAGCCGCAGGTTTCTGCAAATGTTAATAATTGTTAGCTTGCTGCACTCGGCTTCTTCGGCTATATGAGAGGCAGAAAATGACTGGCTCTCCATCATGTCACGAATGAAATTGAGCTTTGAAGAAGGGAGCCTTGAAGTTGAGTTAGAAAGTTCCTTGGGTGATTGGGAAGGGAGAACTAGCTGCCGAAGGCAAAAAAGAAAGAGGGGCAGGAAGGTCGCTTGTGTATATAACCTTGGAAGTTACTTGTAAAATACGAGTACGTATCTGTAACGTAAGGAAATATATATGTAGAAGGCGCGTCGATATGAGATCAAAAATCACCCAATGAAACCTCTCCATTGATGGATATATTATCCGGGAAAGGACTCGCATGTGTGTCGAGATATAGCTGATTTCGAAAACTACTGTACAACCATATCTGTCTGTCGTATTGACGGATATGTTTTCACAAATAAGCAGCTGTTGGACCATGTTCGTCACCCTTTTCTGCGGCTTGATGCAGCAAGGTCTCCTGATGCTTATTTGTTGTATTCAGGTCTCCACTATAGGCAGCCAGTAGATAGATGATCTCTTAGAGGTCTGTCTTTACAGCCTAGCGAAGCAGACGGTCTCTGTCATTCACATCATCCAGTAAAGACTTTCCTATCTTTTGATCTGGACGCTGAAGTAAGTGTCGGGCGATTACCACGTATCTCCTTTTTAGAGCAAGCATCGTAAGTGAAACGTCTTTGTGGTCTCGTATTCGTATATCACTGTCCCTTTTCAAAAGAACCCGCACTAGGTTTTCGTCATAATTTTCAATGGTATACTAGATAGCAGACTGCTGTTTTTTATTTCTTTTATCTAAATATGGCTTAAAATCCAGTAGAAGTAAGACGGTAGACAGAAGCTTCCTTCTGATAGCGTGTATCAGTAGAGTCTGCTCTCTTTTATCTTGCTAGTTAATATCTGCTTCCCCAACAGAGAGGAGAATTTGAATAATATCTTCGTTCTTCTTCTCCTTCTCGTTATTCCTAGCGTCAATAACATAAAAGATAGGTGTACGAGATACATCATCTTTGTGTCGGCTTTCGCTTGGTAATTACACAGTATCATTTTCATAAATTCTGGATCGCCTTTGTAAATACCCCAAAACAATGCCGAGCTACGTTAATGTCGTATGTTGAATTTGTACAGACTCAGAAATAAAGGATAATTTATTTCTTAATTAACATACGATAGTATAAACATGTCCTTAGCCGTATCGAGATATTCTGTGATCAAAATAAGACTTTCTGGAGGACAATCAAGCAGAATTATCTATCGTATGTTAGCTTACATATAAAAAATACGGTAGATAATAGGTACTGGGAATACTTACATTGACTTATATCAACAGCTGAGAGTTAGAAGACAATAATTGCTGTTTAATATTTAGCACCCTACCCTCTTAGTAGCAGTAATCTGAGATCGAAATACGCCGTACAGTCAGTTCTTATAAGCTAGTAGTAAATTTATAATATCACTTCAAAAAGACTCACTACCCTGCTGTGGACAAAGCTAGCCCTGAAGTTTAGGGATAAATTCAGTCCGAGGAACAATAACTACTGCTCCCAGACAACCACTGCTCCCAGGAAGACTATGCATACTTGTGAGGGTCTCACTAGTCTCAGATTCAAAAGAAGGCAAAGATAGACAGGGACATAAATATAGTATATTTTATTCAGGCAATCACTCCTTATATTCTAGAGCCCTTATAGGTTGACGAGAGTTGAAATTTGGCCTGACCTTATAGAATTAAACATACTCTGCAAGGGAGAGTAAAATAGCTTTCCCTAAGATACATACCAGCAATCGTCAAATATAGAAAATAAACTCTAAGTTATCTAAGCAGATATTTTTCACTAGGCTCTGACTATAACCCTAGTAGCCGACTCTACAACCCTAGCATCTATGCCTTAAGCTTACTATTCATTCATAATATTCTCATACTCATTTTATACATAATTTTGCTTAAGATTACAGTAGAATTCTACCTGGTATTTACAGCTGGCTATATTCATTATAGTCAGCAGTCTGCCAAAATCAGAAAGTAGTAGCCCCGGGTTGTACTACATATTATATCTCAAATAATGGTTAGGAAAAAATTACAAGAGTAAAAGAGTACTCAGTCTTTCGTTGTAACTGAATAGAAGATCCGGTATAACAGATTATAATATAATTTACTTTAGACTTTGTATAAAATAAACTGCAAAAGAGGTCAGCAGAGGCTATTTTACTTAAGAGGTAATTTACTTATAGGGTACCGACTTAAGGGAAACGTCATCCAGAGCAGTCAATATTATATTAAAGCATAAATATCAAAACCTTTTATCAATACAAAGTTAGAAATCCACAACGCTTAATATTGTTATAATTTATCTAAAGAATCTGTTACCGAATAAGTAGAATATCTTCAATGTAGTTTAATAGTACTTCCTCCGTTCCTAAGCTAATAAGATTATTGTAACCTTTAGCTTTTACAAGTATTTAATAAGGGCTTATAAAGTTAGTAAGAGCTCTCTAGATTATTTTCTTTACTTAAAGATCTGCTGCTTTTTTTAGAGTATAATATAGTATAATATTACTAGATCGTACTCTTAGTCCTCCCTAGAAAACAGATTGTAATACGACTCTATACGAGATTTTTAGAGTCTCTCAGTTTTAATAATTAACAGTTATCTTCTTCTGTTTAAATTATTTTTATAGTCCCTAAATACTGCTTTACAGTTAATACGTCTGTATTAGCCCTATTAATTACTATATAACTTATTACAATAATACCGTATAAGTACTAGAGATCTTTAATTATACTCCGAATTACAGAGAGATTTTTATCGTAAGTACCTCTATTAACTAAATCATCTGAATATTATGCTTTAGCCCTAGCCAAACAATAGAATTATTTAAGGTATCTAATTAAATTTTTAATGCTAGTAAGTCTATATAGATAGCTATCTTTAATCTAAGACAGAATTTTATTGTTTAGACTACCGTTTCTTCTCGTTGATATCTTTATATCTGCAGCAGTAGGGTTAAGAGTTTGGTTTTATTTCTAGGATAAATCCGGTTCCTCTAAGGCTCGCTTTCTACTTTTTAAAATAGGGTGTATATATACGTATACATTCTTATAGTCTCGCTCAGTTAGATTATCCTAAAAAACGTCGAAAATCCTTAATATTCTAGGTCTATTCAGGCTAGTTACAGAAGGGCTGCTACTGCGTCCAGAGGAACTAAAGAGTATAACCTCCTTAGGGTACTCAGGATAATTAGGATAGACATCAGTAGCCGATATATTGCTAGCGGCCACCTCTAGTAAAGTATCTTATGTAGGTTAGTAATTTTACAACGCTAGGGTAATTCTATTAGATTACCTTATAAGGAAGTCAAATAAATAATTAATTATACGTACTAAAATCCTCTGCTTTATTCCCACTATAGGGTCTCTGTTTCCACAGTGTATAGCTATTTATATCGTATCTTTCTAAGAGAGTAAGAGACTATCCTAATACAGCCGAAGGACAATTTTTAAGGACATTATCTAGGTATTTCCTAGAGGACTACGTAGTCAGTTTCCAGAAATTTTGATAATTTAGCGTTACTATAATAGAAAGAACTTTGAAAAAACTATCTAAAGAGATATCGATCTAAAGATATAGAAATAGGGACTTTAAGGGAAAGATATTAATCTAAATATTCTTAAATAGAGACCCGGATTATTTTATAGCTTTATGTACCACTGTGCTTATCGAGGTACTAGACCTAGGTAAAAAAATAATTAAAGAACTGGCCTCTGCTCGGGCTGCAATTATTCTCAGCTAAGGTCAAGATCTATTTAACTAATCTCTGACTTTACTCTACTGCTAGGTAGCGTGGCTAATTAAGGGCCACGCTTGCCTGTATTATACCAGCAAAAGGAGGTGCTCCTAGGGGCTTACATCTGAAATTAACGCATGATCAGCGATTTGAGAGTACACAAAATTTGGTAGGGTATCGAGACTTTTCTAGCTCTGCTATATGGGTAGATTTTCGCCGATGGGTTATGGAGTTGGTGCTAGAATATAGTAATCATAGTCTGGGGCTAAACTGGTCCAGGGCCTAGAGCCAGAGACACAGCGACCATATTCATCTTTTGACATATCGTTAATTAACATATATATGACATGGCTGTTCATGGTCAGTAGGCGATAAAGTCGAGTAAGCACGCGCTGGAGAATATCTTAACGTGCACGATTAGGTCATATTTTTTTTTCTTAAGCTCCTAGGAGCGACCGCAGGCAGCAAAGCGCTTATTATCGGAGGAAGCGAAACAAAAAAAGAAGCGTATTGTGGCCCAGGCGGAGTATCCAAGGTGAGGGATCAGGGTGCTCAGGGAGCAGCTCCGGGAGTGCTCCGGGAGTACTCAGGGAGGCTTAGGGTTGCTCATGGTCGCTCAGGGAGCAGCTCAGGGCGGCGGGTGGACTAGCTCAGGTTGGGCTCTGGGAGCCGATCGCTTCCCGAGGCGGCAGTGTTACCGTCACCTTTATTACTACTACTTCTACACATTGGCACTATGCCTACCACCCGTCGATACTACTATCCTACTACTAGTACTAGTAGTTCTACTCCACCCCCTCAACAGCCAGAGGTATCTCCAAGTCCATCCCCCAACTACATTTACCGTGTCCCTTGGGGCCTCAGAGACTCGGAATCCTCACCTGTTCAAGTTGAATACATTCATCGAGTTCCCCGAGGAGTATCCTCTTCAAGTTCAGACAACAAGTCCAGGTCTAAGCCGGGCAGCCACAAGTCCCAGTCCCAGTCCCAGTCCAAATCCAAGTCCAACTCTCGAGGCCATTCAACACGCCACGCAGATGATGAGCCACGCAGACGCCCAAAATACTACGAGGCTCGCCCTAGAGCTCACCCCAAAGAGAAGGGACGTACCTCCAACCACAAGAAGCACTACTCCAGTGACAGTGAAGAACAAGAAGACCACCATCATGATCATGATCACAGTAATGCTGACGATGCTAACAAAGGCTCGGAGACCTTCTCCTCCGTGGACCCCGTTCCCTTTGACGACTATGTCACCGAAAGTACTATGTCTGTCGTGGCTTGCCACGCCGAAGGTGAGTCGTGCGACGTCGTCATCGGTGGCATTCCTGATATCCCAGGCGAGTCAATGTACTATAAACAGCTCGAATTTATGAGTCAGCATGAGTGGCGCCGAGAGCTGCTGTTGAATGAGCCGAGGGGCCATTGTGGTCAGAACGCGGTCTTTATACTGCCACCATGCAACCCCCGCGCCGTACGTGGGTTGATATTCGCCAAAAACGATGATTATGTCCCCATTTCAATTTCAAGTCTCATGGCCGCGGCGCAAGTGACCGTGAATGGACCGGGTGCCGAGAGTCAAAAATTGCCTGCTTCCCCCATGAAATTGTCCTTTGACACCCCGGCTGGGCTCATCAATGTCGATGTGAGACTGAAAGCCCAAAAGCGATCCGGGGTGTCAATGTGTGAGTCTGTCACTGTTCACGGTCTCTCTTCCTTTGTAATGGCACTGGATTTCGAACTCGATCTGTATGGGCTAGGTATACTTTCCGTGGATATTGCTTACGGGGGTACGATCTGTGCCTTTGTCGATGCTGCGTCGGTAGGGGTCAGTGTTCAGGATGGGAATGGCCAAAACATGATTGAGATCGGGGAGCGCATCAAGAATGCTCTCCATGAGCTATATGAGGGCGCTCATCCCTTCGAGCCTACCATGGACCGCGTTAATACCGTTGTTTTCACAGATCCCATAGGCTGTGAAGACGGAGACGCTCGCAAGAAGACACACATGGCGGCTGTCGTCTCCCCCGGTCGCCTTGATCGTAGTCCATCAGGCACGGCGGTCTGTGCCCGCCTGGCGATCCTGCATGCCCGAGGGGAGATTTCCAGGGACACACTAACCTGCCAGAGTATCATCGGCACCAAGTTTTACGGTCGCGTTCGAGGAACGACCACCGTCGACAAGTATCCTGCGATTTTGCCAAGTGTGATGGGCCGCGCCTGGATTCATAGTCTCAAGCAGGTCGGCATGAGTCCTGCAGATCCCTTCCCCGATGGCTTCCGCAATGCTGACCAGTGGGGGCCAGATGATGATAAAAAGAAGAACATGAAGATCTATAAGCCGCGTGATCTGGACCTACCAGAAGGCTGGTAGGTCAAATCCATGCGGTGAGAGAGATGCCTTGCAAGAGCGGAGATGACGGGTGTGGTTATGAATAGGGGCTGCAATTGTGGGTCGTTTGCTTATCGTTTCACAGGCATTCCTAAATTATTATTTCCAGGAAAAGGGTGCTATTGGTCAATACTACTGAGTACAATCTTGAGCACAGTACTCTGTATTCCATATGGACATTGGTAGCTTCATGGCGCTGCTGCACTGATTGGTATCATATCTGGAGAACTCCTTGTCAGAAATCAACTATATCCATAGATGTCCTCTTCTAATTCAAACTAGTAGTTAATTCAACTACTAGTTATATATAGATCTCTTTGTACATGGATCAGCTGTGTAATGGCCTATTGGCTGGATAAAGCCCGCTGCTTCTTCATACTCGACAGAAGAAGAATCGTCACGTAGCCTACTCCGACGATACCAGCCACCACACTACAGGATATGACCGCCCCACGAGGTGCATAATGGTCTCTCCATCCGGTCAGCTGGAAACCCAATCCCACATTGATAATCCCCAAGACGATCATGCTTCGTCCTAACCATCGATGAAGATAGGCGAACATTCCTTTACCGCCTGTCTTATGGAAATGACGGTGCTGTATCAGTCCCATGGCAGGCTGGAAGACACTCAGGCTCGCCACCACGATGATTCCAATAATTGGGTGATGGTGGCGCATCAGATGGATTTGTTGAGACATCGAAATGCCAACCGCAAGGCCCGCGATGGAAAGAACCAAATTAAAAAGCTGCAACGTAGCGTGTATGGTCACAGTACTAGATGAGGGGAATAGGTGGAGAGTAATCGCAGCAAAAGGGAATAACGCCACGAAACCGAGCGTCATCAGCACAGCGTGCGCAATCTTCTTTTTGTTCAACCCAACGGAATCGAATGGGGGCCTGTTCCAGGCCGGGGTGATGGTAGCATTGCCTAGGTTCACAAAAGGGTTCCTCATTGTGTTGGTTCCGGTAGCATTTTTCATGTTGACGAATGCAACGCCATCAAAATCATGTTCAAGGAGATGTGCAGAGACACTATCTGAACGTAATAGCTCTCCGTACTTCACGCCCCAAATCCAGGGACTGACAGGGTTCATCGGGTCCTCAGAACCGCCTTCCCATGACAAGCAACTGTCGCATCTGATATTAGCAGTAAGAGCGCCATCATAATTACCACTACCATCGAGAAGCGAAATATCTGCATCAGGATTATAGAGGGGCAAGAAATGACCTTTGCCCATCCTTGGAGATACTGTCACATTCTGACTTCCCCTTGACGCATAGACGATAAACATATTAGAGTCCTTCATGTGAATTCCCTGTCCTAATGCAAACCATTGCACAGGGAGTGTCGAGTTCATTTGCAAGAAAATAGGCCCGGATCCCTTGACCGCATCTGGAGATACTTGAATTGTAAATGTGATATCTTTGTGCTCCGCTGGTACTATGCTTTGAAATTGAGCACGTCCCAACAGAGACATAGAGATGATAATAAGAGAGATAATCTGTGCCATTTTGTGGTAAACACAGGATTGGGTTCAATGAAAACTTGGATCAAACGAAGGAGATATCTATATACTGGCGTTGGGGCAAGTTCAGCTGCGGATGGTCGCACGGTTTCGCTGTTAGGCACTCCCGGTTCCGATATGCCCGGCAACTAATCTGTTCCAATACTATTTGTTGATGTCACTTGTACTATCTTGGCATATTGGGTAACTTGCTATGAGAACCGGCACTCTGTCAGCTTTGTGGAACAGAAGCTCTTTTTCTGGAATCTACCTAGTCGGATCGCAGTACGCGAGCCCGGATTCTGGACACAAAAATTCTGAAGGCTCCCTGAGGTGGAGAAATACGAGTGGATAGATTAGAAGTGATTTTCAGACATATATTCGTGAATGGAAAGAGAGGCCTCTATGAGAAGTAAGTCCCGATAAGCCTATGTGCAACGTCAGATTACGACGAAATTTTGTAAGACTTACAAGGAGTCTGCAATATTCCTGAACGTCAGTCTAAATTTGGATGGTCTAGGTATAAGGAGATGACTTCCTAGATAATCGTACTAGATATCTGGCCCATAGCCCGGAAAGTATAATTTAAAGGTAAGGAATGTCATTGCTCAATTTCTGCTTCCGGAAAGTTATTTGAGGCATGAGGTGTTACATCACAAAGAGTAACTATGGATTTTGAAGAATATAACTAAGGTATGACGCGCATACTCATAAAGTAGGCGTGCCTTGGTCTTTCTTAGTCATGCATCAAGCTGAAGTTTAACGCGCTATTGCCTTTTTATCGCTCGCTTGCGAGGAACTTCCCACTAGAGCGATAGAGAAATACTTATGCTGCTAACCTCTATTCAAGATTGCTGGTGACATAGTATGAGATAGTAGTACAGAGCCTTGGGATCTGACATAGCATATTTTTAACAAACCTCATCCCCTCTCGATGAAGTAAAAGGTTATTTTGAATTCTGTATAAGTTGGACTAATGGGGAATTTGAGGTCGGTTAAGAGGACTGCCAAGATGCTTTAAGAAATTTGAAACCGATACGTAGAGTCGCGCTGAGTAAGAGAATATTATGTGGGAAGAAGCATAGACAAGAATGATTCATAAGTGTGAGGTAGTTAAACTATTTTTGTTTAACTTTTATGCACCCACTTTGGTCAATCTTGGCAACAGGGCCAGCCCATCAGGAGATTTTCGCAAGTAAAGACCAACCAGAGTGTTCATTCCGGCCTCCTCGGCACATTCGACCCAATCACCAAGGGATACCTCTTTGAAGTTCTCCCCTGTCCTGAATTCCAGGAACGATCTGACTTCATCCGGGGCTAATTGAACTTCGCCGCACTCATGAATATAACGAACTTTCCCTGCATTTGCACCAGATGTGTCTTTACCAGACACAAGGACAGCTTCGATGATTGTTGCACCCACTGACTCAACGGAAATTAAGTCAAAGGTACCCGACCAGGAATTCAGGTCCGGAATCACCTTTGTCCTTTGGCAATATTCAATAACATTTCTCATAAGATCGAGATCAGGGGCGCCATCCCCCATGACACTCGAGGGCCGGTGGATGAAGACATCTAAATTGAATTGATGACTTATCCGTTCGAGGAATACTTCACTGACCCATTTCATTGCAGTGTATCCATCATCAGAATGGTTTGGTGGAGGATATTGAGCAACCGAAGCCTCGGTGAATATCTCCTGTGAAGCTAAGCGAGTAACGCTTGCCGAAGAGACAAAATGAAAAGGGATTTTTCTTGGAAGGACAAGTTTGATGAGCTCTTGAGTGGAGGCGACATTGATCAGTTTAAGCGATTGATAGGTCTTCATGAAAGAAACATCGGCCCCATTATGAATAACTATGTCGGCAATGTGAAATATCATCGCCGCATCGGCAACTGATAAGCCAAGTCGAGGAGAACCCAAATCACCATGGTACATTTGGACTTTTGGATGCTGAAGAATGGTTGGCAACTTGTCTTTCGGCTTTCGTACTGCAATACAATGCACAGCGTGAACTGTGTCAGATTTCAACAGCTGTTTCAAAATTTCCCTTCCAATAAAGCCTGTTGCACCAGTAAGAACCACGACATCAGTTCCGGCGGGAGAATTGCCGGAGTCTATGTCATTGCCTTCATCAGAAGTAACACCAAGGACAAGATGCTGAACCTCAGCTTCCCAGTCAACAGATTCATACGAACTCTGTGAGGATAGCCTCTCAAGGCTCCTTGCCATTCCTTGTAAAGTACTCGCCTCAAATAACCGGTGAAGAGCAACGAGGAGCCCCAGGTGCCGATTTATAAGTGACTGAAGAGAAACAAGAGACAATGAAGTTCCTCCGACATGGAAAAAATCCGATTCAGAATCAACTGAGTAAAGAGAGAAGACTGTTCCTGGTATGGCCTCTTTCCAAAGTTGGCGCAGTAAAGTCTCTAGAGGCAAGGGATCCACACTAGCTCTGGGACTTGAAACGATATTTGGCAAAGGAAGTTTGTTAACTGCAGATCGATCTACTTTGCAAGAGGCGTTCTGAGGAAGTGAGCCAACAGGAATAATTGCAACCGGGCGCATAAATGGCGGAAGAGGTAGATCTTGAACTAGAGCCTCCAGAAACCCATCAGCATTTTCAGTAACGCTGTTCATTACGACAAAGGCCACCAATATTAGCTCTTGGTCACCGGAATGCGGCTCAGCATGTCGAGGAGAAATCACTGCCTGTGATATGGTACCTTCTGAAATGTCCAAGATTGCCTTTTCAATCTCTTCGACATTAATGCGAATTCCACCCAATTTGATTTGATTGTCACCAGATATACGGCCCATCAGAATGAGACCATCTTGTTTCGTCAACATACCGCGATCGCCAGTTCGGTGAACGACGGTCCAATCATTGCTCTTGAAAAATGGACTCGCATGGACATCAACAAAAAATCTTTCCTTTGTCTGATTGGAATCCAAATACCCTCGCGCGATGCCGAGTCCGCCAACAACCACCTCACCCGGAATGCCAAGAGGGACAGGATTGAGGTTGTGGTCCACGACAAATATGGAATAATTTGGCAGTGTACGAAGACCAAACTGAGGCTTCTGAAGCTTTTGATATGCTTCCATATAAAAGACTTCGGCGGAGCTGCACGACAGGGTTGTTTCCGCTGGGCCGTAAACATTTATCAACTTGAGATCCTTTTTGTTCAAGGATTGAAACTCTCGGGTAAGACTAGCTGATATGAACTCGCCTCCAGAGACTGCTTTCTTCAGGCGAGATTCTCGCAAGTTCTGCCGACCATGTTGAAGCCAGGTTAGATATTCAGTTGGAGTGGCAAAAGTTATCGTAATTCCCCGGGAGGAAATTATGTGCGAAATAGCAAAGGGGTCTCCCCGGGAAATGCTGTCGGCGACGACCAAAATTCCACCACTACAAGCACAAACAAATACTTGGTAAATGGACATGTCCCATGCATATGAGGACTGTTGGAGGATTGTTTCTTTAGCTTCTCCGATGTCCCATACCGCACAGAATGCCTGTATGTGGTGTATGTATGCCGAATGCTGGATCAGAATTCCCTTGGGGGTTCCCGTAGAGCCACTTGTGTACATTATTATAGCGGACTGATCTGGCGCCGCGACATTTGGTGGAGGATCTCCGGTGACGATGGGTAGTTTCGTTATGTCGATGCATTGGGCTTCAGTTTTGAGCCCTGGGATGTCGGAAGCAGTGGTCGAGTCGAGTATAACAGCAAGTGGGTTTGAATCCGAAACAATATAGGCTAGTCGAGCTAAGCCCAGCTTTCTGTCGAGTGGAATGTATATAGCACCAATACGCAGAATGGCAAAAATTGTGCAAATCCAGTCTGAAGTCGGAGATAGCAACACAGCAATCCGAGCACCTTGATGGACGCCGGAATCTAACATCTTTTTTGAAATCATGGCGATGCGCTGTTGGAACTTCAAGTAAGTGAGCTCATCACCACTTGACTCCTTGATCGCCACATTCTGGGGGTACTTAGACACCATAGTGTCGAGGCGGTGAATTACAGTCGCTGGCCAAGTTTCTCTCAATTCTGGTCCTAATAAATGTTAGATAAATGGTTGGCCAAAGGTAAGTTTCAGGAACGATTGACGGCTTGCCTTTTCCAAGTTTCATGCCTTGCTCGATGTCATCTGCTGCGTAGAGCTTGGGCCAGGATACTTGTCTTGCAGGGTTGCGACAAAACTCCAGCAGAAGTCTCTGATAACCACGAAGAAGTAGTTCAGCATGATCAAAGCCGTATAAATCTTTCTGAACGAGAAGGCAAACCGATGTATCTCCATTGTTAGAGGTGCTCACGTCCAGTTGGAGATCGTAGGAAGTATCCCCTGGACTTATAAGCGAGGCCTGAGCAGTACAGCCGCAAAAACTCCGCGAGACTTCAAGGTTCTGCCGGAAGTTGAAAAAAGTTTGAAACAGTGGATTGTATGAAGCTGAGCGATGAACCTTTAGCTCATCGAGTATAGCGTCAAATGGAATGCGAGCATTTGCGAAAGCATTTTGAGAAACGACCTTTGTATGCTTCACAACTTGGCCAAATGTCTGAGCTGGTTGATTTTCGAATTGAAGAGGAAGAGTATTTAGGAAAAGTCCCACCGTCTGCATCACATCAGGGTGTGTGCGATTGCCATCTCCAAGCCCAACGCATATCTTATCAAGGTCTAGATGGCGCAGTAGAAATATCTGCCATGTTGCAAGATGGAAGTGAAAGGGCGTTACTCTGAATTTGCGACAGCATCTCTCAATATCCTTCGCCAAGGCGGTACTGAGACTTAACTGAGCCATATGCGAGCTGAAACCGACAACCATAGGTCGATCAGATCGTAGAGAAAATGGAAGTAACGGAATAGGGGCTGGGACTTCCGGAAATTGCCTCTTCCAATATCTTGGCTCGACTTGATATTCACCATGTTCAAGATATTGAAGTTGCTGCATGGCAAAATCTGGGTATTGAACAACAGGCGACAATGCAGTTCCATTGTAAGCTGTTTCGAGATCAGACGAAAAAATCTCAAAGCTGATACCATCCATGATAATATGGTGGAAGCCGAAAATGATCCAATGCCGGTCAAGACCCAGGGAAAGCACCTTTATGCGAATAACATCCCCTTCGGCAAGGTCGAAAGTATATGTGCCCATTTCGTTTGCGGCTACCTGGGCCTCTATTTCGTGATTGATGTTGTTATGCTCGAGGTGAAGCTTTGGAGTATCCCAGACTCCTTGCATGGGCCGCTGGGCGCTATCAACAAAGAAGAATGTCCTCAGTGCCTCATGATGCTGAGAGACTTTGCGGACCGCCTTCGTGAAGCGATCGATAGAGAACCTTCCTCTCAACTCAAACACCGGAGTGACATTGAAGGCGGTTTTGTGCTGAACAAAGTTTGTCAGGAACCAAAACCCTGCCTGTGCCATAGACATAGGTAAGGATCTTTGGATTTTGCGACCTAAGGGTAGATTATCGTCGCTTGGACGGAACTCGAAGAGCTGTCTCCATACTTTTCCGAGTTCAAATCAGCGGTCATTATAGAAGCCGAGGAACTAACGCTTTCGGTTTCACCATTTGATGGATAATCGATGTTGAATGTTTTTTCATGTTCAGCCCAATCTTCATTAATCACATCGACCGTGTTAGTCGCACCGGTGACGTCAATTTCATCTTCTTTAACCGGACCTGTGGCTCGTTCGGCCCGCCCATTGGAACCGGGATAAGCTTGCTCGGCCTCCCGAGACACTTCTGGAAGAGAATTCGGACCAGTAGATTTGGGTAGAATGGCAAAGGAAAATTCTAATAATTCTCGGATAGAAGCTGCATTGAAGATCTTCAGCACGGGAATATCGAGGCCTAACTCCTTAAGAAACCATGAGCGGATATCCACAGCCACCAGTGAGTCAACTCCCAGTTCATCCGGGCTCATGTAGACAACTGATTTGCTTGGATCAGTCTGGAGAGCTGATTGTAGTTTGATGGCAAAGGCACCTGGGAAGATTAGATAATATAAGAGAGCCTCGAGGGATAAAACTGTGCTAAATACCTTGCAATATCTCCATCGCTTCAAACTGGGATGATGAGTTGATAAGTTGTGTTTTGAGGGCAAGTCCAGATTTTCCTTTCCTTTCACCAGCAATCAAAGGGTCTCTTCTAGACACCAGATGTTGGAACATGGGATTCATATACCACTTCTTCGATTGGTCATCGTCAATTCTGAGGCTACTACAGGGATCAGCATCCCTTGCCCCATGCAGACATGAAATAACACCTTCTGCAAAAGTCTCGTGAAAATCCTGTTCAGACATCCAATTATGCCCAGTTCTATAAAGGTAGGACTGCTGGTCAATGCTGAGTTCTCGTGTAACGTATCCGTTTCCTACAATGGCGCCAAGATTAATAGCATGTGTGGCAAGACCGCGCTGTCGTCGTTGTGCAGCCAAGCTAGCCATAAACATGTTTGCAGCATTATACGCCACCTGGCCGGGATTTCCCGTGATTGAGGCCATAGAAGAGAGGAATATCATAAAGTCCAAAATATTGTCCTTGAAAATTTCATCGAGCAAGAGAGTGCCTTGGACCTTGGGGCGAAGTACATTTTCGAAACGAGGAAGGTCTAGATCGAAGAACATGGTGTCTTCCAGCACCATCGCGCCTTGAGCAACACCACCCACTGGGGGCATGGTTTCCGTTATAAGCTGATAGGATTCATGGATGGAGTTACGATCAGTTACATCACTATCATTGGTTAGCGATTCTTATCTTGCAGTTAAAGAATAGAAGACAACTTACGCTGGCAACGCTCGAATGGTGCATCCACGACAAGCCATTGAACCAATCCAGTTCTTGTCCAAGGTTGGATTGCGACTGGATAAAGCGATGTATCTGGCACCTTGTCGAACCATCCATTCACAGATGGAGAGCCCGAGCCCGCTCGTCAAGCCTATCAACCAATAGGTCTTATTCTTTGAGAATCTGACAGTTTTGCTAGCAGGTAAGACTTGAATGGGCAAGTTCGGGAGATCTAGCGAGACAATTCCCTGGTTGTTTGGCTTTATTTCGTCTTCGATTAGAGATTTAATATCATGAATCGGGAATCGTTTGATATTGACCGGGATATCATGTTCACCTGCCGTTGCCCATGAACTTTGAAAATTCACATTGACCTCATCCAGGTTGGCCTGTGACAGTCGATTGGAACAACCACCGGTGAGTGAAGCTTCGGTCTGAATCACGCAACCTTTTGGTAGGGCTTGCAGGATAATGGAGGGCGTTCTTCTACCTAACTCTGCGTCAAAAAAGTGAGTAACTTGAGGCGGAATACTGCTATGTAATACCCGGCGTGTTGAAAGAGGATGAATATAGATCCATGGCGATGGGGCTGATGGGTCATTGCTAGTTATAAGAGCCAGCTGTACATTCATTTGAGTCGCATAGTGTTTCAATGCTGCTAAAATCGAAAAATCGGGGTCAAGGACAGCGAGGGACTTTCCAGGTGGGACCTTCCTAATTGCAGACTGAGCAAGAAGATTTATGTAGACCTTTAACATCCAACTCAGCGCCTCCTTTTCGGACTGGCCGCATCTCATCATACTGGATAAAGGCAGGCCTATGCAAGATTTCAAGCTATCAGAGAATCCAATAACCCGATTACCACCATCGACCTCTCTGCCTGCGATAAGGAAGAAATACCGATTCAGACCCATCTCAACTGGTCTGAGCAGCGCACTAGTGACTTGAACCTTCCCTCGAGGGAGAAATAGTGATGAGTCTTCACCACACTCGAAAACCTGGTACCCATTCTCGGAGGGGACAATAGAAATTGTCGATTCGATCCATGGAACGGTTTTGACTATTAATCTTTTCCCAGAATTGTATCGTTCATTTCGATCGTGACTCAACTTTAGTCGTGGGATGAAAGATCTTCCCTTCTTCAGGTGTAATTCTGGTTCAGTGTACCAGAGTAACTCTTTTGCCTGTATCATTAGATCCCACTGGTCTCCCGCCATGAACTGTAACAGTCGCTTCGTAATCTCAACTCCTTGAGCTTCAACCATTGAATCCAGGTTGAGAAACTGCACCCTAAGGTGGTCCATTTCTGTTACCAATGTTCGCTGGATGCCGACAAACATGTTTGAAAATGGATTACTCCCCTGTGCGCCTTCTCCAACCCAGATGATATTTTTACTTTGCTTGAACAGCTCTTGACAGGCTCTCAACTTCTCTGGCGTCATCGACACAAATGTTGGCTCATCCAATTCAGTCAAACTCAATACCGTGCCCATAGGGGTAAGATATCCTTGCGTCAAATCGGTAAGAGAAGTGGATATGTTCACGATACCAAAGTATGGGGTCACCATGCACTCGATATCGGCAATCAATGTGGCTGTTTGGGCTGAGTTCCCACCGATTATGGTTAGAGACTGCGAAGAAAAGGAATGTAGAGAATTCGCAAGGGGATCACGCAAGAAATTCACACGGTCATCGACTGCCTGGGTAAGCATTAGAGAGAACGGTGTTGGGGAGTGACCTGGGTGTTGCAAAACAATATCTGTGTTCGAAAAACCAGTCCTATCCATGAAGTATCTCCATCTTTCAACAGAGAGACACGACGAGAGGTTTTGTTCATTTGTTCTGTTGGGGAACCATCCTGAAAGACAGCCAAGAATAAGTCCAACGTGCATGGAGTTGTGATTTGTTACTTCCAGAAGAATCAAGTAACCACCAGGTTTGATTAAACGACGGATTTTGAACAAAGTCGCTTCCACATCCCTTGTGGGGTAGAGGGATAGAGAAGCAATGACTAGATCGTACTGATTCTCGGAAAATCCCTGAGCGATGATATCTTGTTCAACCTCAAGCACCTTAAAAATCAATTTTGTACGATCCCCGGAAACCTCTGTCCGTGCAGTATCCAATAGAAAGTCCGTAGCACTTGTATACGTGTAAGAAGAAAACGCGGTGCCTAATTCTGAGAGAACAGAATTTGCGGCCTGTCCCGTGCCGGAACCTGAAAAAACTTGTGTTACAATAATGTTGGATTATATCAATGTCGAGGCAAATCAGAAAAGGGCTGTGACTCTTACCGAGCTCCAGTATATTGATGTGTGGGAAGCGGTTGCTGATCTGTCCAGCGATTCTGCCCAACTGTCGTAGATAAAATTGAAACCCAAAAGTCCCGGTGTATAATTGACTTGGCAAGTGATCCTCCATGAGAACCTCCAAGGCATCGACTTTACCACAGAGGATGGATGGGATATTTTCGGCAAATTTATGCAAGGCCTGAAAATTGATATTTCCGACAGCAGCGTTTCTAAATGGTATTAGCGAGCACGTCACAAGAACAAATAAAATGAAGCGCAACATACCCCTTCGCAATGGTGTCTATATCTTTTGTCGTATCATTGGACCATTGAGATTGTGCAAATAGATGCTCACATGACTCAACCTGTGTAACACAATGCTTTGCGTAAGACACAAGGCTATGAAGTTTCCCGGATATACGAGGAATTGACTCGGATTGAACAGCGAGCTGTTTTAGATAGAATAATGCAACACGTTCTAGATCGAGCGATATATTGTAATCTTGAGAACCCGGTTCGGGAGCACTTGGCAAATCGTAGACAGAGGGCCTTTCTGGTGCCCAAGTAATTTCGGTAAACAGTGGGGTGTCAGTGGCAGGCGACAATGGAGCTAGAGGGGTGGTATGCAACCCTTCCAGTTGTAAAATCGTAGATCTGGAATCTGGCGAATATATCTCCACATCACCCGAGAGCTCGGAGAACTTCCCCTCTGCAACCGAGGAGTAGAATGGTAGTCTGGACCCAGGCACGGCCGTGCTCCTGAAAGAAGATGGGTCGACTCTAATGTGATCGATACTCGTTGGTAGATGGAGGCTATTCAAGCGACCGTCTCCGGGGAACGAATACGCCAACATAATGGACTGAATGGCTCCGTCTAAAGACGCAGGATGGATTATGAAGGGTGGATTAATATTGCCCTCGTCTGGCACAGCAATTATACCGGTGGCCTTGTCCATTCTCCTGGTAAGCTCAGAAAGTGCAACAAATGGACCAGTATACCCAAACCCTATTTCCGTCACATGATCGTAGAATCGCTTTGCTTCAAGCTCGAGAAAGGAATCTGTGCATTTCCTTACGGGCGGAAGGGAGTCATGTTTGACCTCGCCCAACATTATCAGCGCTCCGGCAGACGCATGAAGGACTGGAGACAAAGTGCCTCTGTTACTCTCTGAATAACAGTTGAAAACAGCTGTAATGGTGTTATCCTGGCTGCTTGTGATGGTGAATGCGAAAATAACCTCAGTCCCAGACCCTTCTTCGAATGTTAACGCCTGTCCGATGATGACGTCCTGGAAGTCAATCATTTGGATCGAGTCAATACCATATTGATCCGCAATTAGTTCTGTTGCAGCTGTGATATATCCTGCAGCTGGGAAAACCATTTGACCTTGCACTTGGTGATGTGCAAGCCATGAGATCTCACGCGGGTAAAGGTAGTTTCGCCAGCGGATTTCTTTCGTTGTCCCATCTGGACATTTGGTGCCGAGAAGTGGATGGAACTTTCCAGCTCCAGTTCTGAAGACAGCTGAAGAACGTGACTCGTGCCAGTATACCCGGTCGTGGTCCCATTGATAAGTTGGGAGATTCTTCAACAGCTTGGGTGGGGAGTTTCCGGGTGTGGTCTCACTGTCGAAGTGTTGGTAGTCTATGACCCCACTTCCTAGTGCACACCAGACAGCTCCGAGCATAGAGGCAAATGCTTCGGTGCCTGAAGTTCCACGGATTAGCGTTGCTGAATATGGAACTCCCTGGCCTGAAACCTCCGAGATAGTCTGTAGTGTAGGCTCCTTTAGTGCTGGGTGTGGGCCAATCTCGAGGACCATGTCAAAAGGACCCTTTGCACCAGTGGCAAAGCTAATAGCCTGAGAGTAAAGAACCGGTTTGATCATATTGTTACTCCAATACGTGCTTGAGATTTCGTCTTTCACGTGGGTAATATCCAGGGCGTACACACTTGATATCCACGTGGTCCGACGCTCGGATATGCGGCAAGGAGAAATAGCGGACCTTTTCAAGTTCTCCATATATGGCGTGGCACAAGGTAGCATGTGATGTGAATGGTAAGCTTTGTCCACCTTAAGCAGCCTACTGAATTTCCCTTCATCCTCGAATATGTCGATCACTTCATTCACCGCGTCGATATCACCCGAAAGAGTGATGCTGTCTGATGAGTTGCTAGCAGCAATACAAATGCGGCTTTTGAGGGTTGGCATCTCGCAGAGCTCATGGGCGTCTTCAAAGGAAGTTCCAGCCACCATCATTGCACCAATACCTCGATTTCCACCGTCACGCTGAGCGTATTGTAAAGACAAGCCCCGATAGTAGGCTATTCTGATTGCATCACTTGCGGAGATATATCCGGCCGCATATGCCGCAGCAATCTCGCCAGACGAATGGCCGACAACGGTATCAAAATGAATACCTGCAGCTTGAATGAGATCAACCAGCATTACCTGAACGGCAGTGCAGATTGTTTGCGAGAAAAGCGCTTCACCGATACGAGATGAGAGACTGTCTTTCATTATCTCCTCTTTCAATAACCAGTCTGGACGATCTGACTCAGAGATGGCTTGCAGTGCCATATCGAGATTAGTGATGCATTGGATTGCGAGTGGGCAACTGTCGAGCAGCTCAGCTCCCATTTGAACCCATTGGGCTCCCTGTCCTGTAAATACACCGAGGAATTTGGGCTGTTCGGAAATCGTATTTGGTGCCGAAGGGCTCGAGTTTGGTGGTGATCTGACAATGGCTTCCAGCTTCTTCGTCAGATCTTCCTTATCGGATGCTGCAATTGAAATTCGAATTGGTAGGGTTGAGCGGCGAGAGTTCAGAGTCCATGCTAGATCTCTGAGACTAATACCATCCTCTGTATTCAAATATGCGGAATGTGCAGCAAGACTTGCAAAAAGCGATTTTGAAGAGTTAGCAGAGAAGTTAAAAGGCACAAGATGCCTAGCGTTTATCAAACAACTGCCAATACTTGTAGTCCTGTTGTATGATTCAAGGATAGCATGTGCATTTGCTCCTCCAAATCCAAAACTGTTCACACTTGCACGACGGGTTGTGGAGCTCGGCAATCCTGGCCACTCTTGCGCCTCCGTGACAATCTCTAGGTCGTTGTAAAACGGCAAAATAGCAGGATTCAACCGATTGAATAGCATGTTTGGAGGGACTTTTGCGTTTTGTAGAGCCAGCGAAGTCTTTAAAATAGCGGCCAATCCAGCTGTGCCTTCAGTATGCCCAATCACTGTCTTGATGGATCCCACAAACAAAGGTGGCCCTCCATCAAGGTCTCGTGTGTATCCAGCTTTCTCTCCAAAGAATGCTGTACTGATAGCCTCTGCTTCGACTGGATCCCCTGCCGGAGTTCCTGTTTTCCAAAGTCAATATTGAAGTCGGCAAAACTTCCTAGTGGTTATTTGGGATATTTCTTACCAGTTCCGTGGGCCTCAAAGTACTGCGGCCGGTCGCTAGGCCGCGATAAATCTAGACCCGCTCTTTCATAGGTGGAGCGAATGAGTTCTGCCTGTGCTACGGGGTTGGGCATCGTAATCCCTTTCGTATGCCCGTCTTGATTTATTCCTGATTCGCGAATTATGCATTCGATGTGATCACCGTCGGCTAGCGCAGCAGCCAGTGATTTTACAACCACAACTGCGATTCCATCACCCCGGGCATATCCATCCGCATCCCGGTCCCACATTTTTGAGCGGCCAGTCGGTGACAACATTTTTAACTTGCTCTCGGCAACGTACTGCTCAGGTCCTGAGGAGAAGATTTGTCCCGGCCGCAACTGCAACTCTGCATTCGCCATTTCGCAGGCTCTGCACCGCTTGATGTAGGGCAATCAAACTGGATGAACAAGCCGTATCGATTGTCATAGAGGGACCATGCCAATCAAAGAAATAGGATACTCGGTTGGACAGAATGCTTCTTGCTGTACCTGATGCAAAGTATGTTGGGTATTTCTGGATGTCTCGACCCACGATATCTGTGTAATCGTTCGTCATCAGTCCTACATATACACCAGTATTTGAGCCTTGTAGCTTCTCTATCGGCATTCCGGCTGCCTCCAGGCCCTCATAGACGGTCTCTAGCAACATGCGCTGCTGTGGATCAATCGAAATTGCTTCTACTGGCTTGGTCCCAAAGAACTGGGCGTCGAACAAGCGATGGTCTTCTGATAGTATGTAGGAATGGCGGACGTTTGACGTTCCATGGTGAGCGGCGTCTGGGTGATAAAATTTGTCGACGTTGAATCGATCGGGAGGTATTTCTCTCAAGACATCCCGGGGCTTCTTAAGAAGACCCCACAACTTCTCAGGCGTGTTTGCATTACCTGGGAACCTGCAGGCACTACCAACGATTGCGATGGGCTCAGTAACATACTGAGCATCTCTCGTCATTTTAAGAGCTGGTCTCAAACAAGTCTCAAATTCTTTTTCCGTTTTGTCTGATATGCTAGTATCGATTGAAGTTGTAATACGGACCCAAAAAGCGAAGGTCCCAGGAGTCAAGCTTGGAGCGCAGTAGAATATCTTATTCTATCCATGTAATTTGCGTGACTGGCTATATGTGGAAGATATCAAAGTTTTTAGCGTCCTAATAATTGAGCATGGCGAGTTATGGATCCTATATAAAGCCCTCTTTCTAGTCTGTTGCCTGTAATACGTGCTAAATACCCACAATGAGTCTAAAAAAGGAAATTGGGTCATCGGTCGATTGGTATCAGTAAATTGCAGTAGCATGTCAATCCTCTGGTTTGCTTTTTTCTTTCGTCAAATCGGACGAAGGGCGGTTAGATGACGCGACTGTTAGAGACTACAACAAGTTGTAATTCTGCCCAGTTCCGAATCCGACTCCGAAAGATTCGAAGACAAACCTGCGCACTGTACCCAGATTAAGATGGTGCCATGCGGTAGGACATATACTAGAAAGCCCTAATCCAGCCTGTGGAGCCCATTTAGATGACTTCCCGAAGGGCGTCTGGGTTTTCCCACTCTAGTTAGCTCAGGGCCTAACTACACATGCCCAGTGCGGAGTAAAGAGTGGAAGACCTGCGATGAAAGAGATGTAAGCCACGATGAAATCGAAATTATGCAATGTAAGTCCTTGGGAATGTTGCAGGGACCTTGGTATGCTGCGATGATCACAATTCCCTAGGTGAGCGAATGACGGTGTATTGCAGTGATAGTTAATCGGTTCATTTTAATCATCAGGTGGCGATTCACCGTTGAGCCTTTGTTGCTGTTGTGGATCTCCGGTCGGTATATTGGTAGCTATACTTTCTTCTCCATGAACCTAGACGCGATTACATTGCATACTCTCGTTCGAGTGTCACTTCAGAAATCTGAATTGTGATGTTTCATCGACCTACAGAAAGGGTTTCCCACTTAGAAAGCTGACCGACAGTTTCCATTCGAACCAGGCACCCAGCGACTTGACAGGGCTGAGTCAAGTTGCATCCCATCTTCTCTGGATATTAGAGGCCGGCGTATAGCCAGGTACCTTCCCATGGGTGGAATATTTGTTGATTAACTCCCAGCGACATGATTCATTGCCAGTTCTCAATGTTGTCTAGTAGATATAAACAAACTCATCATTCTGTCCATCTGTAAGGTCTTCGATGATATTTGATCCAGCATGAGCCAGGCCCTGGCCCATTGGTCCCGCTTCGCGTTCCTCCCCGATGCCTTCAAAACGCCTCTGCATAGAATGATCGATTATGTTGGCACTCTTCCCATTGCGAACCCGACGGCGGGACTGCTGTTTATTGAGCAACCACAGGTTTGCCCATTGAATGAGCACGGTTATTGCCATCGCGCTAAAGATACCCAGGCAGGCCCGTAGTCCAGGGTGATATGTCGGAGCATCCTTGGAAGTAAAGAGTAAGGGTCCCACAATATTACCCGCAGAAGAGGCAGCGTTGTACAGACTCATGGAAACAGACTTCTTTGTGGTTCCCGCTGTGTTACCAATGATCCATGTCACAACCAAGGGGTTACCTCCAAACAAGAAGGCAAGGAGGTAATAGCCAGCCAGCAAAGCACCTTGCGCTGATGTTGTTCGGGCAACGGCATAAAGGATACCCAGACCGGCAACTACCGGGATCATGAAGATAACCAAGACGGCTCCCTTTAATCGGGCCGTCTGCGCCATATAGCTGGCTAATAGGATGACAATCATTTGAAGAGCGCCAAAGGGCATTGTCAGGAGCGTGGTAGTGTATTTGTCGTATCCTAGGCCACCGAGGATCAAAGGGCCAAAGATGTTTGTAACGCTGGCACCGATGTTGAGCAACATGGCCATTCCCACCCACAGATAGGTCTTGGGCTCCAATGCCGCTTCCAGAACGTGGCTAAACTTGAACTCCGTGCTCCCTGTTCCAGTCTGGTTGGCCCGCAGACGCTCCATACCCTGCGCCCGTTCTAACTCCGTCAAAAACCGTGCCGTTGAAACGTCGTTGTCCAATCTCCAATACACCACTGGCGCTGAAATGATCGTCAGGAGGCCAACGAAGAGGAAAATTCTAAACATGACTTGATCAGCACATGGCCAAGGTAAATTATAATCAGTATCATGACCTACATTTGCCACGGTAAAAGCACGTTTGTCTTAATTTGTGCCAGTCCGTATGATAATGCGGCGGCCACGATTGTGGCAAGCCCGTTGGTACTGTACCAGGCTGCAATCCGTAAAGGCTGTTCAGAACGCAGGTACCATTGACTCGTGATCACACCGAACAGGGGTAAACACCCGGCTTCAAATAAGCCAAGAAAAAACCGAGCAGCCATAAGCGACTGAAAATTATAGCATGCGGCCATACATGCCTGCGCGATTCCCCACCCCAAGCACAGCGTCGGCATCAGGACCTTGTGTGGAATCTTGACAATCAAGAAGGATGAGAAGGGCTGCCAGGCTAGCTGCGCTATTGGCCCAATCGAACCAACTAGCGAATATTCATTTCCAGTTAGTCCAGTATCGGTCTGGAGACCAAAGGTCGCGCCGTATCCTAAGACCGACTTGTCTAGAATTTGCAGGAAGTAGACCCAGATCAACACCAACAGAATAGTCCGGTCTGTTTTTCGACAGATACTCTTGCTCTCCTCTTCCGTGAGCGGTATGCGTTGAACGGCGTCCTCAGTGTGTTTGGTTGGGATCTCATCGTGGATTGAATCGTGTTTCGACATGTTTGGTTTGGGTTTGCCCTTCAGACACAGCAGGGAAATCCGGGGTAGTCTGGGGGTGTGAAAATGCGTCGGGTGTGACATTTATGGCTTCGATGTCACCCCCACGTCTCGCCACCCACCATGTTGATCGAGGATACAACACAGGGTCAGCTCACCAATGATACCTCCACGTCTTCCCCGCGTTCCCCACGCCTCCATTCCCTTTCGATCGATCAATTCCAAGCTTGGTGTGGTGGGAAAGGCCCCTTTGGCCAATCAACTGACCAATATGGATTTCCTCGGCTCCTACGCGCAGACCCACGCTCGCGACCGAGTTGCCCGACCCGGCGACCTGTCTGCAATGCCCGAGATTCAGTCGCTTTGCCTCGGACGCACCCGATTACGGCATGATTATTGACGTCCGATGGTCCCGTTTGCCCCCACGCCCATACACGCCCACGCTGCTCACGCCATTACAAAGACCAATCTACGCGGGCCTAAAAGCCACGGAAACCTGCGAGCAGCTTGGATTTGAGAATCGGGGATGAGAGATGCCAAGATGAAAGATCAAAAGCCGAATCGTCTGTATTACTCAATAGCCGATCTTTCCAGCTTCCCCACTGCTCCTCGTATAGCGAGTTACTCCTTGAGCGCATCATGCCCCCAATTCTTCAACGATCGATAACTTCGGCTGTGGGGGTTTCGCTTGGCGCTCTTTTCCGGGGCCAGATGGCGTTTGCAGTATGACACCACCCTCCGCATGTGGTCAATTTCGGCGTCTGTGTACCGACCCGGTTGACCCTCAGGATTGCGTTCCAAAATGTTGACGATTTTGCGTCCGCTGCCTCGAATGTCGAGATATCAGTCGCCGTCCCTGTCAGTCAAGTTTTCTCCTGTGAACTGGACTCGCCTTTCGTGACCAATAGTCTCGCCCGAGTCACTGGCCCACCCCGATGACTGTGAGTCCGGCTCTTCTAGCCAGTGTCGGAAGTTCACCCGGAGTCATGTTCACCAGCTCCTGGAACTCGCGCGGGCTCTTAGCTTTGGTTTCGTCTAAAATACCGAACCACACATGATATTGGCAACCGACCTGATGACAGCCTGCAAAATTTTCACCATATTGAGAGGGTCTTTGTGCGTAGAAAGTGGCCAAATTAAAGCAATAAAGGTAAGCAGTACGAAGCAAAGCAGAAGAAGTCTGGATTTGCCCGAGCGGCGTGAAGACGACGTCATGTTTATTCTTCAGGAAACTCTCCGCGCCCAGTTTGATTAACTTAATCAACTTCTTCTTAATATTTGGATACGTGTGCCCTCTGCTACCTTAACCGGAAAATATGGTTGCCGCGGTGTGAAATTCCGAAATTACTGCTTAGAAGGATTACCCGCCAGGGGAATGCGGAAAGCCTCCTCGAGGTCAACAAAAGTTGTCCGGGAACCAAGTCTACTACTGTGCTCTATTTTCTTTTCCTTTCTTTTCCTCTCTTGCTTCGCTTAACATGTTCAATGGGCTATCCCTTTCCTTTTCCACCTGGGCAGTCGAGACAAGGGATTTTACGAGCCTCCCGGAATCCTATCCCCACTCTCCGACGATCTACCCCAAGGCCATGGCAGCCGAAGCCGAACAGATAGTATAGCTTAGAGCTGGCCACTCCGCAGATGACTATGGCATCTTGGATTCCATATCCAAGATTTTAATATTATTGGACTACATCTCCAATGATCCGCGGAGATACAATCGATTACGGGAAAATGAGAAGTGCCCGCGTTGGCTTATCTTCGGCAAGCGTCCCCTAGAATGATAAGCTACTGGTCGATGAATGGTTCGCAGGATTGGACTTGGCAAAGGATCGACGATGCTGCAAGTGGCAGCTGAGCTTAAGGTACTCTTAATGTACGAGACAGAGTTATTGGTTATCCTTTATCTCGCTTCGCCATTTGACGAATAGAATCCACGCATTTGCAAACTCAAACCCATAATGCAAATAATCCAGAAAGCACAAGATAAGAATCGCGACTTATGGTTGCTGAAATTGGTAGGAAAATATAAGTACTTGGGTCGCTCTACACTGACGAGAATCTTGACAGATTTCAATCCAGCAGGAAATTATTATATCATAACTTGAATCCCTTGACTATCGTTTCTTAGTTTTATTCATTTTGGCAAAAAGGAAAGCATTGCAATCTCGTCAGGAAACATGACACTCGGGGCCCTATCTCCGTTTGAGGTCATAGAGGCCGTTGCAAAATCGGGAGTACAGAAAGGAAATATGCGACTGGACAAAGTTTTCCTCAGCTCCGTTTCTGCTGGATGTCTGCTTGCCTTTGCTTGTGGAACAGTCCTCAGTACGAATGCCACCCCTTGGTTCCAGGAAAATGCCCCGGGACTGATGCGCACCATCAGTGCCTTGGTCTTTCCATATGGATTATGTATGATTATCCTCACAGGTGCCGACTTGTGCACAGGATCATTTATGGTATCCTTATCTGGTAAATATTTTGGTGTGCAATCTCTGATTCCTGTTTTTAGTTCACTACTGTTGCAGCACTACAGCGACGTTTGCCATGGTGGAAAATGCTGGTGCATTGGATAGTGACCTTCCTTGGCAATCTAGCAGGGTCTCTTTTTATGGTGACTATTATCTTTGGTTGTTAGTTACAAGCCCCCTCGCGTGCCAATATTGAATTTAGCAAATATGAAGCTGACTAAAGATGTTCAGATGGTGAGGTGTTCTCTGCGGAGCCATTCAAATCAGCCGTGATTACCTTTGCTACCAAAAAGCAACTCACTCCGGACTTTCGCATTGTATTTCTACGTGGTATTGGCTGCAACTGGCTGGTTTGTTTAGGATGCTTCTTCGGCATCCAAGGACGCGATTTGGCATCCAAGATTATCGGGATCTGGTTTCCTATCTTCGCGTTCGTTTCGTTGGGATTTGACCACGTTGTGGCAAATATGACATTTATCCCTCTTGGTATCTGGGAGGGGACTCCTGATCTCAGCGTTGGGCTCTATATCTGGAAGGGAATCATTCCGACCCTTATTGGAAACATTCTCGGCGGGGGCCTCTTTTGCGGTAAGTACTACCCCAGTCCTTGATCATACGCAGATCTCTCAACTAAAGCGTCACCAGGAACGTACTACTGGTATATTTATCTATTGGATCTCGAAAACAGTGTTCTATTCGGGTCACGGGTCTCCGCAAATCCCCATAGTGGCCTTTCGGCGAAAGAAGGCGATGTCGAAGCCTCTGCGGCTGGAAGTGATTGAAACAATAAGAAATGCGCTCATCCCGTGCGCAGCAATCGCTTGAAAATTTCTTCCAAGCTGAACAATCATTGTTCCACTGTTGGATATACCTTATGACTCTTGCCAAAGTAATTTATAATGTTATATAATCCATCCTACGAGTACTACTGAGCGTGCCCTCTCCTGAGGTCAGGAATCGAGGACAAATTTCACCGCGTTTAGTAACTTTGCCAGCGGAAGGTACTGTCTGGAAATCGAGAATATAAAGCATAAAAACATGAAGCCAACTCATGGACCCCAAATCTAACCATCTCAGCTATGGTGCTTGAGTCCGCGCCTAGGTCGCGCGCTAGTTACCAACTAGTGATTAACTATTAGTTAATTAACTATCGCCAGTACTAGTACCAAACTAGTACTCCAGGTTCAGGACGCTGTGGGCAACACACCAGAGCTCTCAATGGGCCCTTCAGTCATTACCCTGAGCAGGGAGTAGCAGGACAAACCTTACTAGTCTGCAATGAATGTTCTTCTTTCAGCGGGATACTCGCACACCATCTTGCGTGATTCTGGCAAATTCGGGCATCTCGCCGAATTGCCGATAGGCCGAGCGCGCCCCCGCCTCGTAGTATTGGCTCGGTCGAGTGACCCGATCGATGCGACGACCCGAAGTGGGCGGGGAATCATGGTGTATAGAGACATTTGCAATCCATGTCTTATATATTAGAAGTTTTGCCCTTGAAATCTTAACCTCTCATTCTACAGTGGTATTTAATTATCCCCTTTATCGATAACCCCTTTTCCTGATCTCTTCCTCGGCCACCAAATATTGACCGCAAAAATGTCGGCTACAGTCCTAGAGACAGTCACTTTGCAAGACCATTCACCGACTAAAGTGGATATCACCAAGTTTCCAGACGGGTTCAAGACGTCTGGACAGCATCCGCCCGTCTACTCCCAAGTGCGCCCGTATTCAGAATTTCCCAAAGTCCACGGCGGTCCAACAGTCTGGAAGGCGGAGAACTATCGCGAAAATCCCGAACTTTGGACACATCATTTCAATGAAAATGAGATCCATGAACTTGGCACGGCGGCAGATATCTTCATCGAGAAAGATCTACCTTTAACTGGTATTTCGAAGGTTAGAAAACCTGACATTCTTGTGGTGCTCCGATTATTGATTTTGATTAGCAAAATTTCTCGCTTCCCAATCTCTCCAAGCGTTTGGAAGTTCTTCGCCAAGATTTGATTAATGGAAAAGGGTTTTTCCTCTTTAAAGGAATACCTGTACGACAGTGGGATCTTCGCAAATGCGCTACCGCATACATGGGCCTTGGCACATATCTTGGATATTTTGTGAGCCAGAATGGTCGTGGTCATGTGTTGGGCCACGTTAAAGACTTGGGCGAGGACCCAACTAAAACCGATCGGGTTCGAATCTATCGTACCAATGCTCGGTAAGTTATTGTTACATGGGTAAATCCTGCTCAGGATCGAGTTTCTAACTCATTGAACAGTCAATACTTTCACACAGATGGCTCTGACATCGTAGGCCTTCTTTGCATCGCGAAATCTCTGTCAGGTGGTGAATCAGACATTTCGTCAACACATCATGTGTTCAATGTGCTTCAAGAGAGACATCCAGACGTCGTCCAGACTCTCTGCGAACCAAGTTGGTATTTTGATCGAAAAGGCGAGCTGTCTGAAGGTGAAGAGCAGTGGATCCGGGGCAGTATCTTCTATCTCGAAAATGACCGTGCCGGCAACAATCCTCGGGTCTACGCTAGATTTGACCCTATGAACGTTACCTCTCTGTCGCGTTTTAACTCAGGGCCAAATGCTGTTATCCCACCTCTTTCGGATAAACAAAAATATGCGATGGAAATCTTCGAAAAGACCTGCGCTGAATTGTCATTGCATATGATTTTAGCCCCAGGAGACATTCAGTTCGTCAGCAATTCGCATGTTTTTCATGCTCGCACTGCCTATACCGACCACCCTGCGGATGCCGTTGATGATGACGGTCAGCCCGCGCGTCGACGGCACTTGATGCGTCTCTGGCTTGCGGCCCCAGAGTCTGAAGGTGGATGGCGACTTCCATATCACGACACGCTCGAAAAGAAGCGGGGTGGTATTCAGGTGAACGATCAACCTCCCGTTTGCCCTTTGGATGCAGAGTAGATCGCAAAAGGGTTTGAGAACTACAATTGAATTTTACCATCAATACCTAGCAGTCGGGTTCAAGTTGTTTCTCTTAACGTAAGGTTTCCAAGGCTAGTGAATGAATGTGAAAGTGAGGATTCGGGTTTTATATAGTCTCATATTACTAGTTCTGGGTTATAAATTCTAACTTACTAGTAGATTCGAAGATCTGAGAAGTTCAGTCTTGCTGAGAGAATGGGAACACTGGTAGCCATGGCTCCGCCTGCGTAGTGGGAAACCCTCCTGCCCATGGTAGTAATCCAGCCCCATCGATCCCTGAGCCCACTGCTGTATCAGCTGGTTGCCAAGCCCACCCCAGGTCAGACATGAACAATGTTTGAAGCTCTTCGAGGTTACCCTGGTCGATCTCGGTGTCCTCTTCCGAGTATGCCGTTCCACGATCTACATTCTTGCTGAGAGGTTGATCCAAATCTGCAACAGAGTCTGGACGTGTACTATTCGGGGCAGACGATGTTGTAGCCTTTTCCGGGGCATGTCTTTCTGGTATTGACTTGCGTGCCATTCGGAATATTGACAACGGATTCAGAACGTAATCTGGGGCACTTTGTACCGGCGTTCCGGGTAAACTTTCACTATGGGAATATTTAGTAAATTGCCCATATTTCTAAAAGTCGTGATAAGAATGGGTAATTTACCTTGTCTCCTCGGTGTCTCCAAGAGACTGATATGGATCATCGGGGATGATATTCTGGGATATGACTTCCGATCCAATTCCGGATCTCTCAAGCATTGTTTCGGCGGCAGAACACTTGAAAATTACAAATCAGATCGACTGGCTATATGAAGAAAAGCATATTGCTTACTAGTGATATCGCAATTGCGTTGATGGATCCCATTGATCGTAAAGACTGGACATTGCTGCGTATGAGAGGTAGCGTTTCCGTCATCAGGTGTTTTGTGTTTTCTTCTCGCGGATCGAGAATTTGTGTCAGGTGGTAAACCATAATGCGACAGCTGTCGTAGGTGATTGTTGGAAGCCACGAATCGGCTAGCATTCGGCATCCATGGCGGGCAGTCTCGCCTATTATGGCTGCCAGTGACCTTGCGGCATCAAATAGAACCTGTTGTAGGTGCTTTAGGAACTCCTGCTGGTCAATGGGAAAATCAAAGGCGGCTCGGAGTTTATAGAGCGCAGGTGCACCCAGTCGATACAAATCACAGATTGTCTGATAATGTGCGCAGTGGAGCACACATAGTGCACCCAGCTGTGACGAGTCCTTGCGAATATAGATGGCATTTGGCGTGAATTGTAGACTCGGCGGTAAGGATTCATGCCACGCGCGACACTCCGCATCCAGTGACGCAAACTCGGAGTCTGGATCCCAAGGTACCATTGCGTCGTCTAAATGCTTGATATACCTATAATGACCATTAGAACAACTGTGTTGGAAATTGAGATTTCGTTTTGTCTCATATTAACCTTAAGACTTTCTTGCGAACTGAAATATGGCGAACAAAATACGCCATCATGCCCATATTCGGGAGAAGTGTCCTGGTATCCACGTCTTCACCGATGAACTTCAACCAATTTCCCGCTTCCAGTGTTTCTGTCAAGCAGGGGATCTGTTGGACAAAGTTTCTTTCGTTGCATGGCAATTGGATTTTCATGTCCTTCTCATCAACCAAGGTCAATTGATCCACACCGCTGCCGACGAGGGAATCCATCACATAGCAGCTCCACATTAGGCGCCGACGAGATTCTTTCTCGGTCGCGGTAAGCCCAGAGTCATTGTTATGACAAAGTAGATCTGTGTTGTACTCGAGGTTGATTTGTAGAGCCTGTGTCATGCGTGTTATAAGACCGCTAAGCATGAAAGCATTTGAGAAGTTTCCCATTCGAATATCATAGTCATGCAGAAGGACCGCTGCCTATTGGCTATCCATTAGCCCGGTGGTGTGAATTGAGAAGCAGCAATACTTACCATCAAATTATCAATTGTGACAATCTCGAGAGTTTCAAGAATCAGTCGCTGCGCTTGCTTTGCCCACTGGCCGCCTACGTGAAGCACGAATTTTGGCGAAAGGGGGGATACATTCTCGCTATAGGCCAGGGCGTAATATCTTTCCGAGATTGTCAGCCAACCATTCCAGACTCTGTGGGATCGGAAAATCATTCTGTCTTACTGGGCACCCAGTGCACATATTATATAAAGCAGAGCATAATTCTGGCTTCTCCTGGATGCTTCCTTATCCAATCTTTGCAGGAAAGAGGGTCTGTGGATAAATGCAAAGCAGCGTAAAGGGTGTATGTTATTGAAATACTCTTCAACGAGCTGTCCAATTTCCCAATAGTTTGGCAGGTGGTACGAATTCAACCTAAGATTTGTAAGAAAATGCTCTGCCAGGTTGATTCTGAAGCTGTGAGGTTCGCACCATTCCAATGAAGATCTTGGGGGCTCCGGTGAGAGGTGCGAAGATTGTGCTTGTGAGGTGGGGTAAGATTCATTTGGCTGGATAGAAGTGTGGTCGATGGGGGATCCATTAGACAGAACTGTCGGGGTTGGCAAGCCACTCTGAGAATCGTTTCCAATCACCTCAACTCGCTGTATCCAGTTCGGTTGACAGGATTCTGAGTAGACACAACTAATCCCTTTTCTCTGGCACCTTTGACATGTCGGACGTTCCCCCGAACATTTTGTTTTCGAAGTGCGACATCCAATACACGATCGATAAGTTCTCTTCCTTTTCGAGCTCTCTGGCTTAGATTCCACATCTTCTTGGGTGTTCGGCCGGACTGAAGATGTGTAGCCGGAACACTCCAGACGTAGTCTAGCACAATTTCCACACTGCCCTGGGCGTTCATCACATTTGACCTACCCGAATTCAGTACTTTGGATAGATAGATAGAAGTCAATGAGACTCACCTTGCGTGCACGACACGTACGGCATCCTAATTATGGACAAATCAACACTGTACATTGATTCCGTTCGACGTGGATTAAACTTACCAAACCGAGATCGTGATGACTTGAGAGTGTGGAGCCCCATGACTGCCAGGGTGTTGAAATCGGATCTCTCCCAGGGATGCTTCACTTTTGCGACAGGTTCGAGTCGTCTGTACCTTCTTCTTCTTCCTCCTCTTCTTTTTCCCCGGGAATGTCTAAGAAAAGATCGCAGTTGCAAGTTTACGGCTCATCGGCAAACGCGGGCGGTCGGCAATTCGTCCTTCGTGGTGAAATTGAGGCGCGCAATGACGAGATCGTTCAAGTGGAGAAGCGGGGTTGCTTTGGGCCTAACGATCTTCTTAAAACATGACAAGTGCCAGAGACGACATCTCGGAAATTTACCGCGGCTCCATTTTACCTTCGCCTCTTTGTTAGTGGGTTGGATTTATTGGAGTCGAAGCGCTTAATCGCAAAAACCATGCTAGATAAACCCCTCGCTGATTATTTATGTCAGCTATCTTAGTACCTGTAGTGTTGGCTTTATTTTATCTTCTAGTGGACGCGAAAATAAATAGTTACATGGCGGGTGACTATGGAAGAAGATACTAGGAATGTGCACTTGGTGTCTTGGGGATTTGTCACGTTGTTATACTCAGATCTCTTCCGCGGATATTCAATTTCCTTGAAGGTTTGCCAGTGTAAGAAACCCGCTACTAGTAGTAACGTTGAGGGAAACGAGAGGACCACGTCCAAGGTCTACATCACTCTGACATTGCCTTGCCTTTACGAAGGAACATCATTCCCTTGGTCACTCCGAATTCTATCCGCTCTTGTCCAAAACCTAGTGTCAAGAATCCCACTCTACACCACTCTGCAGACTGAAGTATTATTCTTTAAGGGTCGCAGGTGAGCCAGACGGGAACTAAGAGATTCATAGCCAAGATTGCATTATCTCCAGGGGCCAGTCTCAGTTGAAACTCATATTCTGGATGAGGCCAGTCAAATATCCAACGCTCTTTGCTGTGTTTTCCCGCCTGGCGATAACCAAATATGCAAATTGCTCAGTTGTAATCCGAACCCGAGCGAGGGCCCCCTCTCAAGACGGCCCATCGCAAGACAAACACTATAGTATTCTAGCATTCCTCCAGAGGCTGGAAGAACGACTTAAAGGGACTTGTTACCAAAAAATTCACAGGGTTGTACTTTGGTTTGATCATTCAATTCTCCGCGCTACTCTTGGAAGCCGCTGATAGTACCTCGGTACCTTTTGCCACTCTACACATACTTAGTAGAAATTTCGAGATGGTGTCCAACTCTGAAATCCCTTTGAACCAAAAGGCCATCATTCAACATGAGAACGGCATTCTCCGGGTTACTTCTGGTCTTCCCATCCAGCAGCCTGGTCCAAGCCAAATCCTCGTGAGAACAAAGTCTGTAGCCTTGAATCCATGTGACTTCAAAATGCCTCTTCGATTTCCAAAGCCTGGCCTTTGGGATGGCTGTGATTATGCAGGAATTATTGTGGCGGTAGGCAGTGAGGTTGCCAAGCGAGGAAAATTCTGTCTTGGAGATGCGGTATTTGGGGCCGTGCAAGGCTCGAATCCGGCGGATCCCACTTCTGGTGCTTATTGTGAATATTTAAGTATCGAGCAGGATTTTACATTCCATATACCAAGCGGTTTGTCATTCTCTACTGCGCCGGCAATCTCTGGCACGGCAATAGCAACATTGGGAATTGCGTTATTTTGGTCACTCAAAATCTCAGGAACTCTGGAAGCACCATCAGTCACACAAGAGGACGTACTTATTTACGGCGGCAGTAGCACCCTTGGCATTCTCGCTATTCAAATGGTGAAGCTGTGAGTTCCCGATTTTGACAATATGTTCAACATAATAATGACATCGTTTATTAGATGTGGCCATCGTGTGATAACAACCTGCTCCCCTCGGAACTTTGAGCTCGTTCGCTCCTATGGAGCCGATCTTGTGTTCGATTATAATTCCGTTACCTGTGCAAAAGACATTCGTACTTCAACGAAAAATGCCCTTCGCTACACGCTGGACCCATTTTCGGATGTGAGATCCGTCAGTATCTGCCAGGAGGCTCTTGGGAGAACTGGTGGGCGTTATTGTGGTCTAGAGCAATATCAGGAGCAATTGTTCTCGCGTAGAACAGTCAAGCACGAGCTAGTTATGGGAGGAGCTATATCTGGAAAGGGGGTGCAGTTGCCCGAGCCGTATGGGGTCGCGCCAAATCCAGAAATTGGGGACTGGGCTCGCACTTGGTATCAAGTAGTTCAAGTCCTGATGAATGAGGGTAGAATAAGACCAACCCCAGTGGAGATTCTCCCAGGAGGCCTCGACGCAGTCATGGAAGGGCTTGACATACTCAAAAGCGGGCGGGTATCCGGGAAGAAGTTAGTTGTCATCTTATAGAGACGGAGTGGGGTGGGCCTTTCGGTTACTTTCATCATTGTTTTTCTTATATCTAAAGCCAAGACCTTATAAAATCATATTCTATCCGAGTAAATCAGTTGGTAGGCTCAGTATATAGAAATATTGGGTTCGCTTTCTTCTCTAGATTTGATTTTCAAGGAATGTGTGAATTAAAAATCATAAACGTATTGAAGTCCGTACTAGTACCACATCATGTACTGAGACCATTTTACAAAAGCGTACTATGTCATCCGCGTGTCTTGAGATATTGAGTGTGAATCAACGGTTTTCTTTTTTTTCCACGAAACCGAAGGAGAAAGCCAGTAAGATTTCTAGTTGCGATAACTCTTTTATCTCTACTTCCTTATACACCACCAAATTTTCAACTTTCGCTAGCAATGAAAGTCATATACCAATCTCGACTCGATGGCCTTCTCGTCTTTTGTCGTGATGACATTTCGCGTCAGATATCGATACCCATCAATAATTTCGAATCCCCAGATTACTCTCGCATCCCACCCTTTCGTTCTGTTATGAGCGATCTCATCGATCACAGTCTTTGATGGGCTTCCCTCGCTCAATCTCTGACGAAGAACCTTGTCAGAAACCTCAGATGTATTCACATATCGCAATCTCATTGTAATATCTCCAAATACAGGCAGCGAATATTCCTTATCCTCTCCGTTGATTGGGTAGTATCCTTCGCTGTCGAAGCTTCCGGGGCTCACAGTCTGCTTTATGTGCAATGTGGTCACCGGTGTCTCGGATAGTTCATTGCAACCTGGAGTCCCCTTGCTTTCCGGGTTGGGATTTTCTCTTGAGACGGCTTGGGATATATTCAATGAAAGACTTGCACATCCTAGTATCTTGCGAACCACCCAAGGCACACCTTGCTGAAATGAAGTTAGCAATCGTAGTATATACCATCTAGCAATTTTTGAAACCCCACCAGCTCGAGGATCTTATCTGGGTCATTGGATAGCTTCCTGTTCTTGAGTATTATCTATAAGTACTGTCGCCCTCACGATAATGGAGTGCTAACTTACGAGATTCCACACCCCCTCGAAGTTCGGGGTGTCCTTGGATAAAGGTGCAGCCATTGAGTACTCCAAGTAGCTATCACCGCCTGATTGATTTGATTTATTTCGAGTGGCGTGGCGAGCTAGTTAAATATATGAATTTTATTTCCTTTCGGTCTGGGCCACTTCGCTTAAACTCACTCCTTGGTGTTCCGGAGTCGGAATCGGCCTCCGAGCCTAATATTAAAATTTGGGAGGCCGGAAAGATGGAATGATGTAATTCTGCCCCGATGGCCAGTTTTGGGTTCTTTTCAGCCCGATATAAACGTGAACTCTTCGGAACTACTTAGGTATGTTATCTGAACAGCCATGCCTTTACAACGCAAAATTCCTCTCCTCAACTTCAATCTGGAGCTCAATTTTCAATTTTCGAGACAATATTTGAGTGTAAAGATCTTAAAAATGCTACACAATTCCTATTCGGACTATTCGCGACCCCGAAAAGACACCAGGACAATTATAAATTTAAGTAGTAACGTCGGCTATGGTATTGGAAAATGCTTGCAGGCAGTGCATTATTTTCCTGAGAGTCAGAACAGCTTCCATATACTCCCTAGCCACAACATGGTCTCTAAGAGATTCTAGTGGGCTATGATATGAAATATACGGAGCAGGGCTGCCTTCTCCAATATATTCATCAGGTAAATTCTCGGGGATACCAAAAGAGTGATCAATTTTCCTCAAAATGCCGAAGCTGATCTCAAGAAATACCTGCAGTTTGACTTTAAAATGGCCTTCCATTTGAAATCCTCCAAACTGCAATGTCGGGAGTGCAAGAATCTCTGCTGCATTATCTGGCGGGGCCATCAAAAGAGTCTGGTAGATATGGGTAAAAAGAGCATGATACACGTGGATGAGCTGAAAATAGGTGGATAATATAGTCAAACTCTCCGATAGCTGATATCCGGGAGAGTTTGTGTCTCCGAGAGCATTTGACAGTGCAGGTCTTAGTTCTGTATATCCGGATTCACGCGATGTCATGAAGCTTGGTATATCATCAGGACAACCGTGGATTCTTTCTTTCGATAACGAACAAGAATCTTCACCGGGGCTTGTATCGTTCTCTGTGGGTGTTATAGGAGAAAACTTCCGCACGTCATTCATGGGGAACATGCCCCCTGGTTGAACTATGTCCAAGAATTGAGACGAATGATTCAAGATTCGAAAAATAGGTAAATCGATCTTCGAAGCGCCTTGGTCGGAATTCTCACCCAAGAAAACTGAAGAGCTCAAAAGGCTTGAGGCTGCGTCTAGAAGCTCGAGATCAGAAATAAGCTCAACTTTTAGTTGCATAACATTTCTGAGTTTATTATAGGAATATGGTGCGTATTGGTTTGTCGTCGGAAATGGATAGTCGTCTTGCGCAGAAGATGTTTGGCTACCCCAGCGGCTTCCTGAGGTGCTTGTATGAATATAGATTGGTGAATTGAAAGGTTCAATGTTTATTGGATTTGTTGAGTCGAAGCCAGAATCAGCTGGAAGATGCTGCGATATGTCCAAAATGTCTGGCCCCAACCCCGGATTCTCGGCATTCAAGTTGTTTTCAGTAACATGTATATCGTGGTAAATGGATGGCTATAGGGTTGATATATTAGAATTGTTGATCCGATCAATTATCTGCATCTCTGGGTTGAAATATCTTACAAGATACGGAGGAATGTCATTCCAGGGAAGGTGGTCCTGAGTCCACTGATTGAAGGACAATAATTGATGAGAGACCGAAAGCATTTGAGGCTCATTCATGTCCGAGAAATTAGAACAAGCATCATTTGCTAGGAAAGGAAAGATGTTCGGGTCAATCCACGCATTAAGCTTCTGCTGTTCTATCCTGCGGCAAACTCCCGACGAGGGGGTTGTTTTTCTGATTCTCGAACCGGATGATCGATGAAGAACTTGAAGTGCAGCAGTGCCATCTCTGTCTCCGGACATCTCGACTCGACTTCTAGAGAACGAATATATATCCTTTTTTGGTGAAAGGAATGTTTGAACTGGTTGTCCAACACTCGTAGTACATGTCACCTGGGCTTTGAGACACCTCTCGCATGAGATGCCATTTACTTGATCACGCTCACAGCGTAGCTTGAAACCACGACATCTGTCACAAGCAGAGCGTCTTGATTGTCTGTAGTTGATAGTCGGTTGTATAGCGCTCATAGCGATGTTCATCGGTCGTGATACTTGAACGATATTGTCGTCGACAATCAGTTGAGGTACCTTTCGCGAAATTTAATCAGTTTCCACCTACTGTTACCCTCTTTGCCATTGCCTTGTAACGAAGTCACCTGTCTCTTTTCCCTGGAATATTTGGATGTGAGCTATTCGTAGACCGGTCCAAAGAGTGTGACACAAGTCGATAGACCTATTGGAAATACTAGTCCCAGGTGTTGGTGAACGAAACATGCAAGCAATGGTGAAGATTGGCGTATAGACTCGGAGTCTACCACTGCGTCGCGAGCTGAAATAATATAGATGGACTTTTCTTTTTCATTAATTTTTTCTTTGCTTTCTTGTCTGGGCATACAATTGCAGTTAGTACCCAAAAAGGACCTGTATGTCGCCCGGAAGCCATTTGTCATATCCCGTAGGTTGCTAATATGAGAACTAATACTGCACTTGAGCGGTTCGAGCCTAGTTATAACCAAATATTATTATGTGCGAAGTTGGAAAAGAAAAATCAATGACAAGCTGTTGAATAGCTTTACAGGCCCTTCTTTCCGTACAGAAGGGTTTTTAGACGAGATTCGGCACTAGTAAATGAGTAGATTTTTACCATCTGTCATCCATTTTCACAGTCAGAAGGTGGGTAGCCTGTGAACCTGGGTCTTGGGTATAAACAGCTTTTAAATAGGGCCAGGGAAAGTCTCATGGAACCCTAGTAGTTCTTATGGACACAGCTCGTGGTTCTAGGCCCACTGATGTCGTGATGCGCCCGGCTACTTGGTTTGGTAGCAGACTACTTCAGGTGACCCGGAAAATTTCCGTGTGGTTCAGGTCTAACCTGGTATGTTTGAAAATAAAACGTGGAGGGCGTATGGATATGAGCCAGGCATGTTCTTGGTTGTAGCTCCTGTCTTCACCGACTCTTTCATATCAGGCTGTCGATCAGTTAGTGGGTTCCTAAGCGGGCTGCAGCATCAGATCAAACATCAATATGAGTGTAAGAATCCCACTCGAGCGGTAAAGGCTCCAGGGTATGGGTCATTGTATGCAAGCATTCTCTCCAGTGGGGCATGCACGAGAAAGATGTTGTACAGCGGAGTCTAAAGTTCTTGTTTCAAACATGACAGAATGTTTCACAGCAGTGACACGCCTCTATATCTTGGAAATGCCACTCACATGAGCAACTCCAGCATTTTGGTGAAGATTTTACCCAGTATGAGTATGGCTAGCAGGGGCCCGAGAACAAAGCCGGTCAATTTGAAGGAGAATACTTCCACAAAAGCAGCCATCTGGCTTCGAATTATTCCCCGATGGCCCTGGTGGGCTCAGGTCTGCGGTGCAATCCTAAAAGAATAGACCCCATACACACATGACTGCTCAGGTGCGAAGCTGGGCAATACATTTTATTCAATCCCGTTGAAACTAAGAACTACTAGTATGAAGAAAGGATTCGACAGTAGGAATAAAACAATCACTTTTGGTTTCCATGGTATCTTCGCTGTAACGCGCTCAAAATCCATATGTACATAGACGAAAAGAATCAACCCGACGAGTTCGGTTATCCACTCCAACCTCACCTTATGGCTTAGAGAACCGGTGGTGCGACAAAGGAATCAGGAATTCCGTCGAAAACCCAATTCAGGCTATCGAAAACTTCTGAGAATCCAGCTTCGCTGAAGAATGCAGCGCTCTCGTCGAATTGGGCAGGAAGCATAAGCGACGGGTCATCCATAGACTGATCCTGCGGTCGCGCTGAAGAGCCTGCTGCCGATGATATATCTTGATTGGCTATTGCTGCCGCAGCTAGAAGATGTAATCAGTATTTTCCGATGGCAGAAGAAAGATTTGACAAGCAACCAAAGACTGACCTTGCATTTCTTCGATACTTTTCATGGGTCGGAACCGCTGGCGCCAGCGCCATACAGTATCATAAACGTGACTCATGCTCATGCGACAACGAACCTTTAGTTGAAGAATGTCCTCCTCGGCGGGTTCCGGCCCACTAGCATTCCACATTTGGGCCAGAATGTCAGCAAGGCGGATCGGACGATCATGGTCCATAACACTGATTCTGCGAATGGCCGAGATGGCACCATTGAACAATAGTTTCCCATGGTTGAAATCGATATGCCGGTTGAAGTTGCTCTTGAGAAGTTTCATGAGTGCGAATGCTGCAGATACGATCATCTGCAAGATGTAGTTTGTAGAATGTCCAATCAATTCGCCCGGTGATGTTTCGAGGTCGAGGACCCTCCCCAAGAAGGAAGTCGTCGCGATAAAGAGTTTTGTCAGATCATCGCTGCGAGGACTGGCTCCCAGGAACACAAAGTATCGGAAATGTAATTCTGCTGCTCGCAGATGGATCATGTTAATTGCTAGAAGTCGATGTTAGCTGTGACGTGGGATAGGTGCCTCGGGCGGTTTCATTGATTGGCCTACCGGAAATATCACGACCAAACTCTACTTCCATTTCTCGCAATTCGCTTTCAAGAATCTGAACAATGACAAGCTTCTCGGCACTGACGAACTCTCCGGGTTCAGGCTTGCTGCTATAAAGTGCCTTGGTAACTCGGTCGCAGAATTTCTCGATGCGGAGGCGAATGGTCAGATCGTTGGCGAGACGGTAGTCGGCGTCTTTAAGAGATGCAGGCTCAAGAGCCCAGTCGTAGATGGTGCTTGGGGGCTGACCGTATCCGGTGGCAACACTTTTGAACATTAGCATTCGTCGGTATATCCTGATAGAACAATGGATACAAACTTTTGAGCAACTATGTTGCAAATCACCCAGGTATGAAGGCGGTCCTTCAACGCCTCTCCTTGAACCTCCATCCTGAATGTGGTAAACTCTTCAGCTTGAACTGGCCGGTGCAAACCTAGTTGCATGGCAATCTGCATCATCAGACCGCTCAGCATGAAGGTTGCATCGGTGCGTTGACTCGTAGTCGGAAGAGGCCATGTGCATAACACACACAACGCCTTCACGACACGGTAGTCTTGCGGAACACTCGTGATCGTTGACCAAAGCAGTCTACTGAAGGGACCCGACAATGCAGTGAGCAGTCCGGGTTCAGTTGGAGATCTACGGCTAGCCACACAGATAATGGTCCATGCTAATAGAGGACATCGATTAAGATAAACCTCAGACGGTTTGGGAGGGTTCAGTAGTGGCAGGAAAGGGTGGTAGTAGTTGAAGTACCTGGGACAAGTTCAACATGTTAGGCCAGGGCTGGAAGCTCAAGCTTTAGCAGAAGATAACCTTACTGTTCGTAGAGTCGTGAAACCCGAGCACGAGAGAGAGAAATGTCCTCAAGTCGCCATGGAGTGCTTTCATCCTGCGACAGAATCGACCCATCCCTTTGCATAGTCAACGGGGTTGCCATTGAGGGATGGGGCTCTATCGGTACCGATACAGGCCTGGGGCGATCGACAGCAGCCGAGTCACGGCGAGCAAACGCCTCCTCTGAGCATTGGGACAGGTCGTCGCCGACATGGCCATCAGCAGGGCCTTCCTGGTCGGATGGATTGGTTGCCAGCTTGCGTCGGAGATCAGCGATCTCCTTTTCCATTTCTGCATTGCGTCTGCGTTACCCATTAGCAAGATGATAGGACACGATGAAGGAATACAGAGAGATTATTACCGGCGCTTGGAGATACGTTTGAATGATTGTTCCACTTTACAATCGATCCCAAGGCGACGGCAGCGTGAGCAGGCCGCAGCCGGAGTCTGCACTATATCACATCGTAGCTATTTGGAATCGCGATAGAATTAGTGGGTCAAAACTTCCTAGGCATTGGCGGGGACAATTGGGGAGTGGCAGGGTGAAGGTCAGGTGGAGGGATGGAATGGAATGTATCGAGTGTAGTCCACTCCAATCCAGCTCAGCCTTGACTTCGACTGCGACTGCGACTGCGACCTCGACCTCGACTCGGCCTCAAAGCGGAAGCCGGATCGGAAGAGAGCAGCTGCATGACTGCCAGCACGGTGGCTCACCTTCTGTTGCTTGCACTCGTTGCAGGCCTTACGGCTGCCACCTCGGCGCTTGCCCGTGACAGGCGGGGTCTTCTCCATCTCGCCAGATTCGGGACTGCGCTGCAAGAACTCGCCCGGGGCAGGCCGGGGAAGTCGAGGGGACCGAAAGTCGCTGGGGAAGAGAGGTGGCCCATTCGGTGCCAGCAAGTTCCGATATTCCAGGTCCATCAGGATCGTCTCCCGATATAAAAACCCCAACCTGCACGAGGAGATACTTTGCAAATGACCCTCCGCCGGAAATCGGCGAAATCGGCCTAGAAGAATGAAGGGGGTGGAGACAAAATGAGGCTGCTGTGGAGTGTCATTGGACCATGTGAAACTGCGAAGTCTCGCGACGGTCGGAGGTTGTGAGGTCACGTGGTAATTCAAAGTCACGGGGTCGTCCTGCCACGGGAACAGAGTCACGGGATGTCACGGGGTTGGGGGTCGGGGGTCCGAGTATCACGTGTAAGAAGATCCCGTGACCATGACATGTTCCTGCCTTGCTGCCTTGCGAAAGACCACCGCATCTACACATCTACACAAGACAACTACACTCACTGCTTCCCTTTCTGTTTACAGTCAAACTGTGCTTCTTTCATCATTTCAATATAGTGCTTTGTTTTATTCTCTTTTCTTATCAACCCTTTTCCGTTTCAAATCTTCTTCCCGACTTGAGTTGAAAGATATATCTGGCAACTTGAACTCGCGTGACTGGACCGTGACACGGGTCTCAACAAACCTGGTAATACTAGCATCAACAGGAACCTTGAGAACCAACCGAGCATTAGGGACAATTCGGCTTCCCTTTGAGCTCCCGTACTTCAATTTCAGCCTATTCTTGCCAGTTCTTTCGATGGCATCGTCCACTGGCAATCGCGGAATCGCAGTCATCTCTGGGGGCAGTGCCGCAAACAACCTCGTCGATGTATTCGATGCCCTGCGACAAAGCAAGGAATGTCCTCTGAGCTACATCATCCCTATAAGTGACAACGGAGGCTCATCATCGGAGCTGATTCGAATCTTCGGCGGCCCTGGAATTGGTGACGTTCGCAGTGAGTCTTCGTTCCCAAATCCGAGTCCCCAAACTCCACGCGGGCCTGCTGATTTCTTGCTCAATAATGGACCTGTATTAACTCGTACATCAGGTCGACTGGTTCGTCTCATCCCGGACTCATCAAATAATTCAGAACGCACGGCTATCAAGCTATTATTCAATCATCGTCTTCCCGCTGAAGGCACCGCGGCATCGCAGGAATGGCTCTCAATCGTAGATGGCACTTCTAGCTTGTGGCTCTCCATCACTCCCGCCAAAAAGGAACTGACTCGTTCTTTTTTCAACATGTTGAACCTCGAGATTCTGAAACGAGCCCGGCCCCCGTCATCGACCTTTGACTTCACGTCCGCGAGCGTTGGAAACCTTTTTCTCACAGGTGCACGACTTTTCAGTGGGAGCTTCGAGAGCGCTATCTATCTGCTGGGTAGCATCTGCGGCGTGCAGTCTGACATTGTACGCGTGATCCCTGCCATCAACTCAAACTTTTCACACCACATCTCCGCCACGCTGGTCAATGGCACTGTCATTGTCGGCCAAAACAGCATCTCCCACCCCAGTGAAGAAACAGCCCTTCAATCTCCTTCTCGAGTCCGACGGCCAAGTCTTCTTCTAGCCGATGGAGATGATTTAGAAGACACAGACCTTTCCGATATGTCCGATACGGTTTCCTACGAAGAAGATCATCTACCCGGGTCTCTTGCGACGCTGCGTAACAAAAACATTTCCTTTAGCAAACATATCAATGAAGATTTACCAAGTCGCATCAGCCGAATTTGGTACATCAATCCTTACGGCCAGGAAATTCGCCCGGCAGCTAACCCCCGTGTTCTGGAAGCCTTGAATGACGCACAAGCTATTATCTACAGCATTGGTTCTTTATACACATCTATTCTACCTGCCGTCATCCTCCGTGGAGTTGGAAAAAGTATAGTGACAAGCCCCGCTCGCCACAAGATCCTCATTTTGAATGGATCTTTAGACCGGGAGACCGGTCCGCCTTCCGAACCATTCGCAGCGTCCGATTTTGTCGAAGCAATCACCCGCGCAGGCGAGGAAAGCCGAGGTCGACTACATCACAGTGCGCACCGTAGGTCATTTGAATCACCAGGATCGCCAGCAACCGTTCGTCCGAAGACACCCCTTCCGTATACATCATATGTGACTCACATTCTGCACCTGGATGGGCCCGGTACACCACATGTGGATCGAGAGAGGTTGGCGGAAATGGGGATTGAGGCACTTCGTTTGTATGGGCGCAAAGTCACGACAATGCAGGGTGGTCAGGAAGTGGTGGTTGGCATGCGATATGATTCCAATGCCTTGCTACAAGCGCTTGAGGTCGTACTGGGGAAGAAAGGGGATGCGATGGTTAGAGGGGGACTTGGGAGTGGTCTAGGGCGCAGGAATACACTGGAGCCTACACGACGAGAGAGATAAATACAATTTATAGATTCTAAATAAGCACTCCACCTTGCGGGTAACTGTCTTGATCGATCAAGAGAGTTCAAGTTCATCCCCCAGCCGAGATGCGCCACGCATGCCGAGGTCCGAATGCGGGGAAGCCGTTGATGCCGCTGCGATAAAACAACACGATGGGACTGCATCGGCAGGTTGAACGTGAACTAGATGAAAGAACAACATAATCGTCATAATAATCATGAATTTTGATCTGCCTAAGGAGTTACGAACCTATCTACAATCAATCGATACTTTTATCGATCAGAAAATCTCACCGTTACAGCATAAAGACGACAATAATCGTTTCTTTGACCATCGCCGCGAGCATGCACGCACCGACTGGGATAAGCAAGGCAATCCACGTCCGGAATGGGAACAATTACTGAGTGAGATGCCCTTCGCGACGACCCTGGCATCAAAGGTCGTCTATCTACGAGGGAACATGATATGGCTGACACCATTCCAGAGGAGGCACGCGAACTGGCAGACGATGCTGGCTTCTATCGTTTCGCTCTGCCTCGAGAATATGGAGGACAAGAACACCCCAATAACAACGTGTGGATGTCGGCAATTCGATTCCATCTTGCTTCACATCCAGTCTATGGAGGCGGACTCGGCCTTGCCAATGACCTACAAAACGAGCACAGCATCATCGGCAATTTCCCAGACGTGTTGATGGTTCACCATTTCGGAAGTGAAGAACAGCGACAAGTGCTTATTCCTGCGCGCCTGCGTGGGCAATTTCGTATGACGTTTGGCCTGACCGAGCCAGATCACGGCAGCGATGCGACCTTCATGTCGACCACGGCGCATGCAATACGCGACGGCTTCGAGATTTCCGGGGCGAAGAAGTGGCAAACAGGGGCTCACCACTGTACGCACTTTTTGATCTTTGCGCGCACATCGGGCACAGCTGGCTCTGCCAGAGGCATCACAGCATTCCTCGTGCCTCGGGACACTCCTGGGGTGCGTATCGCTAGCTACGAATGGACACTCAACATGCCGACCGACCACGCCACCGTCGAGCTGGACCGAGCGTGGGTCCCGAGCTCCGCGGTGGTGGGTATCGTCGATCAAGGACTCGCGCTCGCGCAAACCTTTGTGCATGAAAATCGCATTCGCCAGGCCGCTAGTTCCTGTGGCGCTGCGAAGTATTGTCTAGATCGCAGTATTGAACGTGCACGGTCGCGTCAAATTTGGGGTGAAGGAAAGACGCTTGCCGACAATCAAGCCATCCAGTTCCCCGTAGTCGAGTTAATGACTCAAGTAGAAATGTTACGATTGCTCATCCTTAAGACGAGCTGGGAAATGGATCGTGTGGTGGCCGATTGTCGATCCACTAGCAAACGGCCTTGGGTCGAGATTGAACGTCAACTGAGCGATCGCGTGGCGATGTGTAACTTTTGGGCAAATCGCCTTTGCTGTCAGGCTGCAGACCGAGCAATTCAGGTGCGTCAAGCTTCAAGCTGTTCAAGTTCAAGTTCAAGTTCAAGTTCAAGTTCAAATTGTTATATAAATTCACCAAGTACTAAATTCCTCTAGATCCACGGAGGCGATGGATACTCTCGCCACTATCCCTTTGAGCATATATATCGCCATTTCCGTCGCTATCGAATCACTGAAGGAGCAGAAGAGATTCAAATGCGCAAAATTGCAGCTTACCTCTTTGGCTTTGCAGGCCCACAGAAAAAAGAGGCGAAGATTTAAAATTTAAGTTGGACTGAGGAGATCATCATCTGCAAACGGCTCTCTTCGTTCAGTCACCTTCAAGTAGACTCTTCATCAAGTTCTATGTTCTACTTCAAATTCAACAACACACATTTACTACTCTTACTGAAATTCACCTGATCAAATTAACATTTTTTCCGGCTTGTCTTTCCTTTCTGGTTCATTTTTACATAAGAAAATTGTCTCCACGCAGCGTCAGTGGGCCTTTGCCTTGTCGGAACCCCACCGAGCCGGTGAAAACGGAAGTCTGCGAGCTTGTTCCACCCAAAAAAAAAGACCGAGAAAAAAAAAGAAAGAAAGAAAGAAACTTGAAGTTAACGACGTCGAGGAAATTCCAGACCTCAAACCCTTGGCCAACTGCTTCTCACCGGCCATCTATAATTGGCGACGCCAGTTGATCGCCAATATGGGCTCGCATGATGTCGCCACTGAGACCGTCTCGGACAAGATAGTCAATGAAAAGCCTCCCAAATACTCAGAAGCCGCACAGGATATCAAGCCTTCCGATGCGGAGAATAACAACAATCAGTCGCCGCCTGGCGAGCTGAAGCGGAAGCTGAAGAGTCGACACTTGCAGATGATCGCGATTGGTTCGTTCACTACACCTTATCAGATCGATCGATTTTAGACTAACCAAGTTGATTGATGCAGGCGGTACAATTGGAACAGGTGAGCAGTCGTATCGGATGTGCCGTATGAGAGAGGAGCTAAACTAATTGACGTGGTTTATAGGTCTCTTCATCTCAAGCGGAACTGCCATCGCGGAATCGGGCCCGGCAGGTGCTTTGATTGCCTACATCTTCGTCGGAACTATTGTCTTTTCGGTCATGACATCTCTCGGAGAGATAGCCACCTATATCCCCACCTCCGGTGCCTTCACTTCATATGCAGCTCGGTTGATCGACCCTAGTCTCGGATTCTCTATGGGTTGGATCTACTGGTTCAACTGGGCCTCAACCTTCGCCGTTGAATTGACCGCATGTGGAACGATAATACAGTACTGGGACCCGAGCTTGAATATCGCTATCTTTGTCGGTGTCTTCTGGGTCTTGATTACGGCTGTCAATTTCCTACCAGTAAGCTTCTATGGTGAAATTGAATTCTGGTTCTCTACCATCAAGGTTGCTACCGTGATTGGCTTCATGATCTTTGCGATCTGCGTTGATGTCGGTGTGGGTAAGCAAGGCTATCTTGGTTTTCACACCTGGTCGGACCCTGGAGCTTTCGCTACGTATAAGATTGATACGCCCGAGTCCGTGGGCAAGTTTGTCGGGTTCTGGGCCGTGCTCATCCAGGCAGGCTTCTCCTACCAAGGAACTGAGTTGGTTGGTGTTGCTGCTGGAGAAACTGAGAATCCCCAAAAGACCGTCCCATCCGCGATTCGCAAGACCTTCTTTCGAATTCTGTTGTTCTTTGTCCTGACCATCTTTTTTATCGGGCTTCTTGTCCCGTACACCAATGGTTCCCTCACTTCTGGCAAAACCGATGCCTCAGCAAGTCCGATGGTAATTGCGGCCGATCTTGCCGGTGTTAAAGTCCTTCCGAGTCTTATCAACGCAGTCTTACTCACAGTTGTGTTGTCGGCGGCCAATTCAAATGTCTACAGTGGCAGCCGTATCTTGACAGGTCTCGCAAATGAAGGCTTTGCCCCTAAAATTTTCGGTCGCGTGAATGCAGCCGGCGTTCCCTACGTCAGCGTTTTCACGACCGCGCTGTTCGGACTTCTCGGTTTCATGAACGTCTCAGAAAATGCTGGGCAGGTCTTCAACTGGCTCGTCAATCTATCCAGCGTGGCAGGCTTTGTGACATGGTCCTCTATCAACGCATGCCACATCGCATTCATGCGGGCGCTAGCAGCACGCGGCATCTCACGCGACACCCTTCCATACAAAGCCATGTGCCAACCATACTTAGCTTGGTACGGTCTCTTTTTCAACATCCTCATCGCATTGACTCAAGGATTCACCGCGTTCATCCCCAACTTCGATGTCGCCTCCTTTTTCTTCGCCTATATCTGCCCGATCGTCTTTGTTGTGCTCTATGTTTCCCACAAGGTTATCACCCGGGCGCCATTCGTTAAATCGGCCGAGGCTGATATCGATACTGGCCGACTGCCATACGAGAAGGAGACCGGTCCACCAAAGGCATGGTACTGGAGAATATGGGGTTGGATCACGAAGTGATACGTCCCTGTGTCAGGCTCCGATCAATGCCCCTGATGACTGTCACGCCTAGATCTTTCCTTTTTTTTGATCGATCTCAAATATTCTCCTGCATTTTCTCATAGCAATTCTCATTCCAAATTTATCATCGTCGAGGTGTTCTTCCCGATTCATACCATTGATTTTTTTTATAAGACATAGAATTGCATTCAATCACAGACCAACCGTGGGTTGCGAGTCTAAGCCCCTTGTTTAAACACACTTCAAGTAACGCGCCATCACAGCTAGACCTCCTATTAAAGCGGTTATACCGGTCCAAAGTACAATAGTCCCATATCGACTTCCATATGTGCCCCATGCATGGCTTTGCCATCCGTCTACCTTCAATAGTGCTTCGCTCAATGGCCCGCTAGCCACATTTCCGATACCACGGCCAGTCTCCATGAAGGGAAATATCACACTGACATCTGTCGCGGGGTTGGCATGCTGTATTTCATGTGCAATACTTGACCATGTGGATGAGTAGCCTCCAGCCAGTAATCCATAGACAATGCAAAACACATAAAGGGACCACAGACTGCTAGAAAATCCCCAAATGAAGAATACAGAGATAACAGACCCAGCAGTGGTGATGAGAAGGCATGTAGTGACGTGATATCGATCAGAGAGGAAGCCTATGATGATAGAGCCAAACACTGATGTAATGTTGAAAAGTATGACCGTGAGAGAGAAGACAAGAGCTCATTGACACCCATTTGGCTGGCGTATGTTGGGAGATAAATTGTGGGTAAGAAGAATCCCAGTGCCTGAACGGTGTTACCAATTTGGTAGATGAGAAATACTTTGCTGTAGAGAAAGCGAAAGTTGATCCGGCGTTGAACAACAGAGTGGGAAACTGGAATGCGCGGCCGATGAAAGTATAAAAACGGAATAGAAAGGAGAAACAATCCAACTGATGATATTCTCAATGTGGTTGGTACACCGTATCTGTTCAATAACCACTCTATGGCGAGTGGGAACAGCACGCCAGATAGTCCAGAGCCAGACTACCGAAAGCCACATTAGTATTATTGCTCTTTGCCCACACTTGGCACGTGTGGAAGCTTACCCATACGACTCCAAATGCAAGGCCCTTTCTCTTGACAAACCATTCGGGCATGAATAGAATGGAGGGTGTATATGCCAGAGAACCGCCCACCCCAAACCCAATTCCTTGAGATAGAATGAGATGCGTAACACTGGTTGAAAATGAGCTTAGCGCCAATGAAAAGCACATCAGAATTACGCCAATAGTTGACACCCAGCGAGCAATTTGTGGAAGTAGAATCATTCCTATTATAGGCAAAGGTGCTATAAGATATGCAATCCCCTATATCCGAATTAGTTCAGTGATAGAAGGCAACTTGAAGGAGGTAATGAGAAATCACCATTGCACATGTTCCAATAGCGGCAATGTTGTTTGAACCTTGGAATGGTTCATGTGTACTGTAATACTTCTGAAAGATCCCAAATGAGAAGGCATATCCTAAAAAGCAGTCAGCTCTATACCGAATTTAATTATGAATGGATACCTACCCCACACAAGTGCTTCCAGCATTGCGCTAGCTAATAGAAAAAGCCATGCATGTCTTCCTCCATCAACTGGAGGTAAACCATCACCATATGGGTGATTTTCATCAACGCTGCAGTGGATTGGAGAGTCTTGAGAAGCTGTCGATTTTAATTCTGTTTCGCCGCTGTCATAATTATCTTTGAAGGCCATGCTGATGTAGACATTTAGTTGGAAGAGATTTGGGATTGTTAAATCATGGATGCAAGGTTATTTGGGCAAACTACGGACCAAGGTGGGAATGTGATCGACGGGATGAGAAGTGGCCTAAACAAGTATTTAGAATGACGAAAGAAATACCTTGGAGCTTCGTGAAGAAAATTCAAGCAGGTATGATCCATAAAGTTAGGCCAATGTGCCTTCAGCAGAACAGTGTATTCTTATGTTCTTATGCTGAATCAACAGGCTTCAATCCGGAGCTTTTGCGGGGCAGCTGAAGGTCCGAAAAAATGATTTTTTTTTTATTTCTCCTCACTCAGAAATAAATGAATAAATGGCATTAGCCTGGGAATTGCGTGTTATCCCATTCCATCATTAACATTTTTTATTTGGTAGGAATGTGAGTGCTGGACTTGGAATGCTGAGCAACACAACATCGTGGAACCGCGACATGTTGCTCACAACGGGAGCTCTGTTAGGACAAACTTGATCAGATATCCAGACAATTCATTGGCAGCAGTCAACAGACTCGTCATTTCCGGTCCGCATAATGACCTATGATGTTAGTACGAAGTGGATTGGGACTAACGTTGGTCGCACAAATCACAGAAAGTGCTAAATTTGTAATAGCCAACCGCTTAGTGAAAGCTTCCGGACAGTTATTTGCCGAGTTATTAATATTCTCCTCTTTGGATAAAGGAGGGGGGGGTTTAGCTACGCTGAATGCCCGTTCATTGCCAATATGCCCTAGATCCAATCAGTATACGGATTTTTCGCCTGCACCTGGGCAATTTTCACTTCAATCCTGGCCTTCCCTATCCTTATATATCAAAATTCTGTTCAGAAAATGGAAAATCTGCATCTATCGGGCTTTTACGAACTACTTTAACTTATAGATAAAGCGAGTACCTTGATTATTCCAGCGTTCATAAAACCGCAACGTCAGGTTTATTTTCTGAGACAGATAATGTGTCTCAACTTCCTTGTCCATCCCTTCTTCCGGGCTCTTCTTTAACTTTACTCGATGTGAAGCATGGGGCAATGTTTATTTAATTAAATTATTTCTATGCTATATACTACTATGGAAGGTTCTGTTCCGGGTGGAACTAGGCTTTGTAATTTCCAGGTAACTAGTTGTTCTAGCCAAACAAATTAAAGAGAACCAATGCCTACCCCATATTACCCGGGATTCAAAAACTACTCACCAAGAAATTGATAGACTGTAATTTCATAGCAATTTACCTGGATGTAGTCCAAGTCGATAATCCAGCTTTAGCCTATACGCGGATTCGCGTCGGGTCATAGAAAGCCGGAGTGCCGGTGGAACGAGTCCCTTTTGTGATGGCTCATGTCAAAACCACACCTGGGCTTGTTTTATTTTGCAGCATAAATTTGAATCTAGGTCTCTTTGGCGATAGCCACCACTGGCAGTAATCTGCCTTCACGAGGCAAGTATGACGGGGTTATACTACTCGGTCGGGTTAGCTGACCATTTTTGTCTAGCAACCAAGAAGCCGCGTGAAAAGCGAGAAGCTCCGAAAAATATTTCCCTATTGTATAACTGGACCGGAAGAATGCCGATCACACCTCTATTATGCTCTCGTACTCATTGGATATGGTCAGGAAATGTCCCGGACGTGGAAATAATATATACGATGATCAACTCCCTCCAGTCAGAAATACTAGACCATCTCGTACTAGCAAATCGATTGCCTTCGAGCTCTTCCTTTTGCCGACCATTCATCCAGCCTCCGTAGTTGGGCCCAGGACATCTCCTTTAGTCCATGTGGCAGTCTCCATGGGATTTGGATTTAGATTACTACTAGCGATACCTTGAGTCGTAGCCTTGGAAGACCATGCACGAGGTCCGAGAATATAGCTTTAGTTAGCACAATTCTAAATCTACAGCTAACGCATCTCTAAATGAATCCCAGTTACCCGAGGGTGAAAAATTAAATAATCGTTTTGTCGGAAGACCATCCTCCTTCTAATTCAAACGGGGTATCTTTAAAAGTCCGCTGGGGCTGGTAGCTTTTCCGGGGTATCATCACGAAATTCGGAGGTGATCAGATCACCGAACGATGGTGACCATTCCACGCGGGGGGTGAGGCTCTCAAGCCCCCAGAGTTCGGATAGAAATTTCAAAATGGAGGTGTGGGTAAATTCGGCGAGACCATCTGCGGGCTTATTTTGAACTAGCCCCTTGCTGACCCAGGGCGAAATGAGCATGGTCGGGACGCGGATACCTAGGCGATCAAAGTGGAACACGTATGGGCTTCCATCTGGGGCCGTCTCGGTATAAGTCAGACTGTCGCCTGGTGGTATGTCTGAGGGAGGAGGAACGTGGTCGGCGAATCCTCCATGTTCGTCAAATGTCAAAATGAAGAGCGTGTCGTTCCACTGCGGAGAGCCCCGTATAGCCTCGTATATACCCTTCACAAAGTTCTCGCCCATGTTTATCGGAGAGGGAGGATGCATTGACATATAATTGCAACACTCCGGGTTGATCCAAGTGAATGCAGGAAGAGTCCCAGCTTCGGCATCTTTATAGAATTGTTCGATAGGGCGTATGTTCGACCGGGCGGTGTTCGACTTGGCTGTCCACTGGTAGAATAGGGCGTCTGGTAGGAAGGAGGGGTTTGATTTGGTCGAGTTCTCGTAGTTGGCCCATGTGATTCCCTTGTCCGAAAGCTGTTCGAAGATAGATGTTTGTGGGAGGCCGGATCGATTGAAAGCATCGTCATTCATTCCATGGCCATACGAGGTGCCAGAGGTCAAGTAGGCACGGTTTGGATTCGTCGGTCCCGGGACAGCGGCGAACCATCGGTCGAAGAGGACGTAGTTTTCTGCGATCGCGTTGAAGACGGGGATGTGGTCAGGGGTAAAATAGTTGATGACCTCGGCTGCGCGTGTCAGATCGTCTGTCTCATAAGAGGCTCGTTGTTCGGTGATGAACCCATCCATCCAGGATTGCGACTCGATTAACGGGTGATAGGTTCCAAAAATTTGCATATTACCACCAGCGATGCTATGGTTAGGATCTTCGGAGGCGATGTTCTGCGCCGTGTTTTGGGCGCAGATTTTGTCGGAGCGCAACTGTGACACATTGGCCGGGTTGCAGAAGGGGCGTTTCAAGACGCCATCAATATCAGCATCGTATGTGAGCCCGCCAAAGAAATGGTCGAATGACAGATTCTCCTGAACCAAAACCACCACGTTCTTGATGTTGCTCAGGCCGCCCGCTGTCTGAGATCGCGCGATTGTGCCGACGACAAGGGCGAACAGCACCAGGAACAGGGTCATAGTCGATGCCAACTGCGATCGAGATTGAAAAGGGTCATTTCCTTTCCTGGCCCAAAAATAACGCGCCAGGCTTTCCCGTGACATCGGGGGTCCACGCTAATCTACCGATGGCCCCCATTTCCCCTCATCCCGTCTCCACTAGGCCAGTTTCATGTGGGAGGTGGAGAGTCTCCTATTGGCCATAAATAGCGGGACTGCCTGATTGGGATTCGCGATATCTGAGCCTTCGGGGTCCGGAGGCTGAGCGGAGGTTGAAATATAGCGTTGGCGATTCCCTCGGTAGATAAAATTCGGACTGTCAATCCTCGCATTGCTCGGCATTAAAGCTGAGGTCTACGGAACTTTTTCAGCTTCCTAATGCCATACCGACCGATCAATATAGTGCTGAGCATGCATCCCGATACCAGGACCCCAAAGGCAGGGACGCTCTCCTCAAAGGAGTTGATCACGTTCATTCCAAAGAGGCCAGCCACAAAGGTAGACACGGCAAACCCCAACATCCAGATTTCCAGCTGAGCCTCGAAGATCATAATTTCATTCCGCCGAATATCGAGAACAGACTGGATTGTGTCTACCGTCCGATTCACGTCGCCAATCAAGGCGTTGGCGGATTCCGCAATTGCATCCGCGTTTTTATAATAGGCCTCCAGCAGATACTCCACCTCTTGATGATCGGCCGATAGATGCGCGTGGCCGGCTTTGCGATCGGATAAATACATCATCGCCATGTCCTCATCATTACCGAGGACCTCTTGTAAAGCCGAGCGCACTTGACGAGCACGCGACTCTGTATTGACCAGTCTCTTTCCATGGTGTCGAAGCCTTCGGAGAGCGGAATGAACGGAATCTTCCTGTTGAGAAGCGGACAGACTCTGCTCGGCATCGCGTCTAATCAAAACATTTTCCGCCTCCAGTGTCGCGATGACAGCCGCGAGTGCTGCGTCGAGGACCCGGTGCTCGAATGGCAGCTTGCCGGAGAGGCTGAGCCCGAACTCAGGGTTGCCCTGTAGCCTGCTTCGTAAATCTTTCAATAGAACATCTTGAATGCGAACTTCGTTGTCTTCTGGCTCCAGGAGGACTAGTAGCACTTGATCCGATTTGACCAGAAGCCGTAAACTGAAAAAACTGATGAAGATGGTATTCGGGCGGACCAGGAGATGGGGAAAGCCCGCGGAGACAAGATCAATGTTTCGCAAATCTCGCCCATCCAGATCATAGTCCTCGGCGATTTGGGCCTTGGTCAAACTTTGATGAGAAGGCTCAAGTGAGTCCCCCAGGCGGAAGAGCATGCATTGGATTTCGGTGGATTCATTCAGACGACTGCGCGATAGGGCGAGGGATTGGTTGAAGACTTCCTGGTTGAAATTATCATCTTGTTTGATATCATTGGATGGCATTATATGAAGACGCTTCTGGGTGGATGTGGCCATGTTTCGCGGGGTCGACAGTGAGGGTGATAGACTCGGAGATGTATATGTCGAGGAGGGCCTTGACCATATTGATGATGCTGGCAGACAACCCCATCGTGATGGAGGTATAGATTTGACCGAGATACCTTGAGCCATCCAGGTGGAGATCCTCCCAGCCCATGCTTTGCACATGATGTCTAAACCACCGATGAAATGAGTGCAACCTGGAGGATTTCACATTGGGGAAAGTTGGAGAAGTTCACGGGAATCCCAAAGGGGAAGCTGTATTAGTCAGCCGGTTAGTATACGACAGGCACAGTCACGCACTGTACTGTTAGAAGATGTCCAATGATTAAACCGTGTATACAGGTTGAAGTTAGAAAATAGCGAATTACAAGATAGTCAATACAATGGATCCAATCTACTTTAGCATGTCACAGTGCTCTGCCACGGTGTTCTGTTCTGTGCTCCGTCGGTCGACAGTGCGCCGAAAAGACGATTCTGGATCCTATCGATAGTAATATTGCGGGGCCAATCGAAGAGCGGGGTATACGTATACGATGATCAAACATAATTCTATGTACGGAGTACAGCAGTGACGTATAAAATATAGAGAACAGTTGAGGAATGTCCGAGATCCCTTCGGGCGACACCACGCCGACAGATCTAAACAGAAGCCACCTACGCGAAGCTTGTAGCGGGTGATTGATTCAAATTTATGGGAGGGGATCAAGTATTTAAATAGGGTGCTACTACAGCACCCTTTAAATATCGAGATTCGGATTCCAAGTTCAATTCTATCATATTCATCTGTCAAATTTCAGTGCTGGATGCTCCAAATGACCGAAACTGTCTGTTCTTCTTATCATCTCGTCTAAGCAATAATACCATGGCTGACCAGATAAACAGGATAATCTGTCATGCCTGCTGTATGGCCCTGGCAAGGCTCGATTTGAGAACCGCAAGATTCCCACCCTCGAAGATCCGCATGATATTCTAGTCCGCATCGCATATGTGGGTGTCTGTGGAAGCGATGTAAGTGGACTCTAGACACTCTTGGTCAATCCAACAGTGAGCCCTCCCGAAAAGATCCTTGTTGCTAACTTGCAAAAGGCTCACTTCTGGGCTCACGGCGGTGTGATCCGGATGGTCTCGGACGAAGAACCGCTGGTCATGGGCCACGAGGCATCAGGGGTTGTACACTCCATCGGGACAGCAGTGACGAAAGTCGTCCCTGGAGATCACGTCACTATTGAGCCCGGATTCTCCTGTCGGAGATGTAAACAATGTAAGGCAGGGAAGTATAATCTCTGTCCGCAGATGCAGTTCGCCGCCGACCCGCCGGGAAACCACGGTACCTTAACGCGTCTCTTCCGCACGCCCGAGGATTTCGTGTATCGTATTCCCGAGACAATATCGCTAGAGGAGGGCGTTCTCATCGAGCCATTGAGTGTAGCAGTTCACGGGGCTCGTCTAGCTGATCTCGCTCCGGGGCAGACGGTCCTGGTTCAGGGATCGGGGACAATCGGTCTGCTGGCAGCAGCGACGGCCAAGGCCTTTGGGGCGAAGGAGGTCTTTATTTCTGATATCAACCCAACAAAGCTGGAATTTGCACGAGACTTTGTGGGATGTCAGACATTCATGCCAGATGTCAAGTCACAACCAGAGGAAGAAGCAGAGCGAATGAAGAATGAGCTGGATCTGGGTGAAGGGGTAGATGTGGTTCTGGAATGTACGGAGTAGAGTCTTCGGTCCAGACGGGGATTTATGTCTCGGGACCTGGAGGAGTGGTGGTTCAAATCGGACTCGGCAAACCGGATCTGAGAGTACCCATCTTGAATATGTGTGAGAAGGAGACGGTCTTGAAGACGGCGTGGCGATATGGACCGGGCGACTATGAAGTAGCCCTCGGGTTGCTGAGCTCCGGCCGGGTGAAGGTCAAATCATTGATTAGTAGAATTGTTCCATTTGAGCAGGCACCTGAAGCGTGGGAGATGACCAGGAGGGGAGAGGGGATTAAAAATTTGATCCGGGTGCAATAAGTGGTGGTTGGGGGTTAAGAGTCCTTGAGGTAGTGCTTCGCGTGACAATCCAATCTGCTTTCTCGGAAATCATTCCCTCCCATCGGTAGAGTACGGTTTAAAGAGCGTTTGTCAAGAGTTCATTTCGGCAGAAGAGTGGAAAAGTAAACAAATTAAGCTCTACTTACTAAGCAGGATTCCGGCATTGGGTAAAAATCCGGCCCGACGCCAAGGCGGAAGCCGGCACGTGACTAGGCTTCCCCGCAATTTAGTACGATATCATTACGATATCAGAATCTGACAACCACACGGCCTCAAAGCACGAACAAAAACTCGACTCTGGAGGGGATCGAACCCTCGATCTCGGGATTAGGAGTCCCGCGCCTTACCACTTGGCCACAAAGCCTGACTTGAGAAGTTTATTTCTCCAAAATTTGTTACCCGTTGAAAGATCATGAAGATCTGGGAGGTTGCGGCTGAAGTGTGGCTGAAGTATGGCTGAGTTTGGACTTCCCAAAGCCTGAAGGGATCATGCAAAGATATTGTCTTGAGTATCCTATTACTCAGATACTGTGGTTATATCTCAGATAGAGCTTTGGGAGTCCCACTGGGGCAGGAAGTGGGAGATACTCGTCGTAGTGGGCGGTAGTCCGACAATACCTCGGCAGGACTACACAGTACATTCAACTATGGAAACATGCCTAGTCGGTGTGTATTCTAGAATTATTCTACAATTCTAACCCTATCTATTATTCAATTTACAATCTAGGACCTTATCCAGGGTACTCGAGGCTATCTTTAGTCTACTGTATACTCCGCGTACACCGCCTCTGCCCGCCGATAGCCGAGGTCCCTCCAGCATCCCCAGCTTCTTCCTTGTGATTTACCATTTAACTGCACCTGCACTCCATACTCTATACTCCCTCTCTTGCTTTTTCTCCAAGTTTGTTTCTACTTCCCTTCCCTTCCCCTCCCCTCTCAATATTCCCCGCCATGGCCTCCATCGCTCGCGCTCTGCGCCCTTTGTCACGTCCCCTTCCTACCCGCCTGGTGACATCTGCCCACATCGCCCGCTCCGCCGTACCGAGGTATCTATCCTTTCAACTCGCCATTCAATCGCAAATCACATTACTATAAACTTCTACTGATCGCATACTTTTTGATGAATCTCCAGCTCCTATGCATTCTCGACCACCCCCCGCAGGCGAGAGGCTGACCTCTCCAGCCTCACCCCCACCCCCATCACCCTCCTCTCCGACACCGAGTCCATGATGGCCGACGCCGTCCAGAAGTTTGCTACAGAACAGATTGGCCCCAAGGTCCGCGACATGGATGAGGCTGAGACCATGGACCCCACCGTGGTGGAACAACTCTTCGAGCAGGGCCTGATGGGTATCGAGATCCCCGAGGAGTACGGTGGTGCCGGTATGAACTTCACCTCCGCCATTGTCGCCATTGAGGAACTGGCCCGCATCGACCCCAGCGTTAGTGTTATGGTCGATGTCCACAACACCCTGGTCAACACCGTCGTCATGAAGTATGGTGACGCCCAGGCCCAACGCACCTGGCTCCCCAAGCTGAGCTCCGGCACTGTCGGCTCATTCTGTCTCTCCGAGCCCGCCTCGGGGTCCGATGCCTTTGCCCTACAGACCAAGGCGGAGAAGACCGCCGACGGATATAAGATCAACGGCTCCAAGATGTGGATCACCAACGCCATGGAGTCTGGTTTCTTCATCGTATTCGCCAACCTGAACCCCAGCGCCGGCTACAAGGGTATCACTGCTTTCATCGTCGAGAAGGACACCCCCGGTTTCTCTATTGCCAAAAAGGAGAAGAAGCTCGGTATTCGCGCCAGCAGTACCTGTGTGCTCAACTTTGACGACGTTGTCATCCCCAAGGCCAACCTTCTCGGCGAGGAGGGCCAGGGTTACAAGATTGCCATCAACATTCTTAACGAGGGACGTATCGGCATTGCCGCCCAGATGACCGGCCTGGCGCTTGGAGCATGGGAGCAAGCTGCTCGGTAAGCCAATCCTTTTCCTTTTTTGAAAACAAATATACGTTAAATGTTTCACATCTGACACCCAATTTCCTCCCAGCTACGTCTGGAACGACCGCAAGCAATTCGGCCAACTGATCGGCGAGTTCCAAGGCATGCAGCACCAGATTGCACAGGCCTACACCGAGATTGCGGCTGCCCGAGCCCTAGTCTACAACGCTGCCCGTAAGAAGGAGGCCGGACAAGACTTTGTGCAGGACGCCGCCATGGCCAAGCTGTACGCTTCACAGGTTGCCGGTCGCGTGTCTGGCTCGGCTGTCGAGTGGATGGGCGGCATGGGCTTTGTGCGCGAGGGGACTGCGGAGAAGATGTTCCGTGACAGCAAGATCGGAGCTATCTATGAGGGTACTAGCAACATCCAATTGCAGACGATTGCGAAGACCCTGCAGAAGCAGTATACCAACTGAACAGGCTGGCCTTGTGGAAGGATATGAATATGAATATCAAAATAAATCTAAAGACATAGAATGAATGAGTGGTCATTCCTCTTTTGTCTGTGTTATCGTTTCACTATTGTATAGTATTACAATTGCAAGTCGGGCATCAATGACAATAGTTCTCCATTTCTAGTCCCTATATTCGCTCTCTTCCCTTGTTTGACTTCCTATGGACCTTGCGGTGGGCGATGCTCATGATTCCCCGATGTGGCTTAGCTGCAGCGACGATGGTTCTCGTTGTATGCAACCTTACTCTTTTCTGTTCTGCTGTTTAATATGGAGGCATCTGAACAAATTAAGGAGGACTGTGGATGTGAGATTCGTGGAATTTCTTTATCAAGGGCAACACTGGTCGAGTGACTCGACTGGATCCAATGATCAGCATGTTTCAATATGTATACTCTATACTCTATACACTCCAGGGCTACTATATAGTACTACTACTATAGTATACTACTTAGGGCATGCTTTGTTTGTAGGGATCCCAGTGAATCGCACCTTCCACTTCTGGTCTCTTCACTTTCCCCAGCACCTTCCTCTGTTCCCTCACTACCCTCACTTCCTTCACCTGCTTCTCTTCTCTTCTCTTCTTCTCTTTCCCCTATGCCTTTCCCCTTCCAACTCATCCATCTTCTGGTGATGCTCCAAACTCGTGGGCTTTCACTCTCCTCTAAGGCCTCTTCCTCTTTCCCTGCCATACACCCATCCCACCGCAAAAAAGAGATACATCCTCAAAGATGGCTCGTGTAGTCCGAATTCCAGGGGGCCTCGCATGTTCGTTCCTGGTGACCCTTTCAAGCTGCAAATATAAATGCTAACTTTTCCAGTTTGTCCCAACTGTGCTAACTGCCTGTACACCAAACCAACCGACCCTGCTGACCCGGACCGAATCGGCGAACGCCTTACCTGCTATTGCTACACTTGCCCTTACCAATGCCCCGTTTCATGGCTCATGGAGAGGCATGAGAACGGCCAGACCCAAGAAGACTCAGACTCGGACTCGGATGATACGGATGTCGGCGTCAAGGTTGAAAGCGAGGAGGGTGGAAGCGACAAGGCAGCGAACGATAAAGTTGAAGATCACGCCAAAGATGCTGCCGTTGAAGATGCTGCCGTGGAAGATGCTGCCGTGGAAGAAGATGACGCCGGCTACTCTCCTACCAGTATGATCCCTTCGGACGGCACGGACGGGGCCAGTGATTCCCTCGTGCTGAATGCTGAGCAGCTCGAATTCGTCAATGCCCTGACCGATGCGATCTCTCAGCTGTAAAGGTACCTGGTTGCCTGTCTTTTAGCCGACGGCAAGGAAATGGGATACCAAACTGAATCCTGTTAAAAGTTTCTACCAGCCTTCGAGGACCTTAAGTAGCCCTGAAAATTTAGCTCAGGAAATCTTCTGATGATCAATCAAACTCCACTCATATTCAGCGAGGATGAAATTCTAACAAGCTCCAGTCCCTTGGCCAATCTCACAATACGTAATCATGTAGAACATTAAAGTATAGAACAGGAGAGGGCAAAGGATTCCCAGGTAAACTCTTCTGAAGTAGGGAAAATGCCGAGGACAAGGAGTGCAGTACCGTCCAAACAATATTCCCAGCTCCGAATCTAGGACTCAGGATAGCTCCCCTCCCCCTTGCCAGCGGAAGCATTGTCTCCTGTTTGTGGCGTGGGTTCGATCTCAGGAATCTTCCTGACGACTTGGAAGAATCTTCAACTTGTCCGGCCTTCTGGTGCGGTCACCAAGTAAGCGATGAGGAAGGTGCCCCATTGAATATTCGGTGGTTCCCATCGAGTAGACCAGTCAAACGGTGTCGGGATTCCTCGAGCCGGGCCAGTCCTAGCAGCTTCAAACCCAAAGTGTTTCGTCAAATAGGTACACCACTCTCGATTCACTGCGATGTAAATCCTCAATAATATACATTAGAGGCAGTCTGAGCTCGATCCGGAAAGCCACCCGGTGGGCCTGGCATGGGCGACGATTCCTCCTCACTGTCGTCCTCGCTGGCGAAATGCAAGTTTTGATGTTCATCCGGTGGAGCTCGCATACGCAGAAGTTGATCAGCGTCTATGGATGGCGGAGTATAGGGTGCAGGCGGAGTGTGGATGTCACGCCCTGACGGTAAGTTGGCTAATAGCGGAGCGGATGGAAGGATTGTTTGAGTATTCATCTGTTCATAATGTTAGTGGCTGAACAATGGAAGATCTGGACGAGTATAACCCACGGTATCATTCATTTTCGTCCACTTTGTCTCGAGCATGTCAATCACATTTCCTTCTTCGCCACGGCCCGCATCATCTCCAGGATCCAAAGATCCCTTGGCACTGCGAGAACCACCGGCATCCTTCCCAATCTTCCGTTCTTCCCGCCGCTCTGTCCACTCCCGTTTTAACCGGGAGAACCCACCTTTGCTAGGTGCGTTGCCAGCTTCATCCGTCGAAGAAGAAGAGCCCTGGTCGCGTAGTCCAAGAGCTGATCTCGCAGCCTTTAGCCATGCAATACCTTCGCCGGTCTTCCCAGCGAGCTCGGCATCCACGCCAAAGAATCGACAAGCCCGCGCACGAGCTACACGACCCAATGCCCCAGCATAACGAGTCACATCTTCCTCCACCCGGGCTGACTTACCAGATCCAGGTCCAACAGCCCCCAGCCCCGCCGCTGCTTGTTCCGCATACTCTGCCGCGCGAACGCAGAGTCGGGCGAAAAGTAAGGCACGCACTTTGGGGATCTCCGGGCGCGAACCATCCATTCCCGATCATTCGGATTGCGAGCCTGAATACAAGCCGCGACATGCGCATCGTCCTTCAGTACTGCTAGCAGAGTAGCTTCGGCCAATGCCAACGAGGAAAGCGCAGACTGTGTAGATGCGTTGAGATCCGGGATCGCAGATGCCGTGGCCGCGGTGAAAAGGGGGGATGTTGCAAGGAGACCATGTACAGAGCTTGCCAGAAGCAAGTGTTTCGTTGCGGTTTGGACTGCCGCGGTGCGCTGCTCGGGGGTCGGTGTGGTAGACGCGTAGAGAGATTCAACAACACCAGCGCGCGCGAGTCGACTCAGCACATAACCCAAAGTTGTAAGCGTGAATGCGATTTCAAAGTCGATTCCGCGACCGGAGATGCGGCCACTGCGCGTGCGGCCAGGGATAGCCCCCGAGGTTGTCGCATTTGGCCGGATGTTGATTGCACTGCTAGCTGACAAGGTGGGTTTCCACTCGGACTCGATCTCGGCGCGCACTGTGATGTCGATTTCCTCTGCATGGGTATCATTCCGAACGGACTGACCTCTCAGGCCGTGCGAGATAGCAAATAGGTAAGGTATATATTCGTTGAGGGCGGATAGGACAGTTGGGAGGTGGGCATCCTGGCGGGGGCCGTCGGGGAGGCGCTTATGCGCTTTCAAGGTGAGACGGAGGGCATGGCGGGCGGTGGACGCGGATTGCGGGAGAGAGGGATGTGTGGAAGACGAAATGAATGTCTGGAAGGACAGCGGCGAGGTGGTAGGAAGTGTGAAGCTATATACCATGGTGGGCAGTGGTGGTGGAGGTGGATGTTGGAGAAACACAGCGGGACTGCGGGGACTGATGTCACACGTCACATGTCACTGATGCTCTTGGCGGTAAACAGTGAGTATATACTTGCACTGTCTCTATATTTGTTGAGAGAGGTAGTCTTGACTCGATCTGAGTCTTTCTATGCTCATAGCTAAAAGATACGAATTTATTTTCATATTCTGGGAAGGCTAGTCTAAGAATTGATCATCGAAATCGAGGCCATCTTAGAATGAAGCAACAAACCTTCTGGGGTATTACAGAGTAAGATATAATTCAATCAGTATTCTAGTAGTATTTACTAGTATATAAAGTCACAATAGCATCTATGTAATATTGTAGTGGTATTCAGCAGCTCGATCATATTCTACTTAAATACCTGCCATTGAATTGATCTATGAAGCCAAGGCTTGGAGCATGCGCTTGAGACCTTCTTCAAGAATATCCCGCGGATGCGCAAAGACCATGCGGAACCAGCCACTTTCTTCGCTTGCATATGCATACCCTGCAGCTATGTAGACTTTTTGGTCCCGAAGTTTGGCCAAGATCTCATCATCAGTGGCTTTTCTATCGGCTGTAGCTGCTCCGAGTCGAATCCAAAGGAAGAAGGCAGCATTGGATTGACGATATGGGATTTGATGATATTTCAAAAACTTTGTGACAATGTCATAGCTTTCAGCGAGACGATGCCGGTTTGTTGTTAAGTAGTGCGACGTAAATGTGTCGTTTATCAACAAGGATGCGGCAAGCCTGTCGGCCAAGCTCGAAGGGAAGTTCAGTAGACTAGTAAGAGTCAGCAAGTAGTACTGGTCAAAGATCAAAGAATTTTGCTTACGAGAATCCTTCGGTTGCTTCCAAAAGTCGCCCATTCGACTGACTGATCAGACATCCAATACGCAACCCTGTCGCCCCAAAGTCCTGTCCATTTTGTGTCAGTATATTAGATTATTTACCGGGCCGCAGAACCTCACCTTGCTCATGCCCCAGACAACATGAACCCTACTCGGGTCCATAATTTGAGCTGCATTAATCGATAGAATTGATTTGAATGACACCGGGTCTGGGAGATCGGGACTCTCCCAAACAGAGAGAGCATATATCTCGTCGCCTATGAGATGAAGCTTGTGTCTCTCGCACAATCTCATATATTCTCGCAAGACATTTTCGGGATAACACCGGCCTATCTATCTATTAGCCACGAGGTAATATTTGGTAACACGCAAGGACTAACCAAGAGGATTGTGGGGCGAGCAGAACAGAAGTGCTTTCACTCTGACACCTTTCTGTCGAGCTGTCGACAGTGCTTCTTCATATTTCTCGATTGCAGCGAGACCAAATGGGTCAACCTTGCCGAACTCGACTTCTAATAATCCAACGCTATGCGTGAATAAGAATAAGTTTCCAAGCATGAAAATAAATTCAACGGGACCATCTTACCCTGCTCGATCACTGAAAGTTGACCGAAAGGCGTTGAAATAAGGCCGTCCCACCATGACATGATCTCCTTGGTCAAAAAGAGACCAAGCAGAGCACTCGAGTGCATTACTCACACCAGACGTAACGGTGATATGTGAGGGTAATAGGGCCGTGTCAGGAGAAAAATTCTTGTTCAAGAAATGGCATATAGCCTCTTTCAATTTTCGGCTCCCGGAAAAGCCGTCACCATAGGTCAATGAATGAGAATCAACTTGTATCTAGATGCTTTGATAAGTAATGTGCCGACTAAACGGATCTAATTGGCAATTTGCACCTTTGAATTCATAAATTCCTTCATTTCGGCGTGCATCAGAGTCTGCGAAATTCCTTAATGAGAGCCATAATATCGGTGGAATCGTCATTGCTCACGTTCTCTGCCAGCCCAAGATTCACAATCCCCTCGGGGTTGAGAAGCGGATCCCAGGCATTTTCCAGAACACCAAGGAATGCCGGCTTCTTTTCGCGAAGGCTTCACCACGCGTAGAGAGGTGGGATTCCATATCTCAGAAGTAGACACTCAATATTTTGAGTCGATATTTCGAGGTTGGATTCAATGGAATCCGTGGATAAAATCTATTTTCTGGAATAAGAATACCAGGACCCATCTGTCATAAGAAGGCGCAACTCAAAATCCAGATACAGAATGTTGGTTATTGGCTGTTTCTCCACGATCGAAAATTCCTTTTCAACCTTGTCCGCAATACCCGCAAATCCCGGCGTCGGCGAGTTTCTCCAAGTTCCTGATTTTAAAAAATCTACGATGATTTAAATATTCTGACTCAGAATCGATGGTGTACTGGCTTTAAATTCATGTTATTACTGGAAGTCAAGCAAATAATTAAACGTTGTATATAGTGAGATTCATAGATGTACGAAGGGATTCAGTCATTTGAATAACCGGCCAAAAACATAAAATAGAAATGATAGTTAATAGTAACTAATAGCTGGCATAGGATCTACTAAGCGAGAACACTAGCACCCACTCGGGGAACAACATACAGAGTCACGCCAAAAGACAATGTGATCAAGCCAAGTACGAGGCTCACAGACGTGGCATCTCCGGTCACAGAAACCAGCATCGCATCAAGAACACACCCAACAATTCCAGCCAGCCCCCAAGCAACCAAAATCCGACCATAACAATAAGCAAACTGGGTGATTTGAGCACAGCGGGCCATGAGCAAACCTGGAAGAATACTAAAACCGGCACCATGGCCAAACAAAACAATACAAAGGGCGAGTATTGCCATGAGAGGCTCGCGACATTGAGACAACATGATAAGAACCATGCCTCGTAAGCAGAATAGTGAAGTAAACGTATTCCGTGCACCAAATTTTGCGCTTATAAATGGTGCCAGAATACCTCCACCAGCGAGTGCGACCATACTCCAAGCCAAGATTTGCATCCAGTTCCAACTGGAGTTTTGCCCGTACCTGAAGGCAATCGGTAGCAGAGCGGCGAATACTGTCATTCCGGGCAAGGCATTGAAAAAGAGTAATATGGAGAAGAATCTCTCCGAAGAGATAGTATCGGTATCTGTATCGCGAGTAAGGAGAGCCTCTTCCTCAGCGCTCCCTGGCAACATGTATGAAACGATTGTTGAAACGGCGATGAATGTCACGCCGCCAATAGATAGTATCTGACCAAGTTGCACCTCATTGAGTCCACTAAATGAAGCGATATCATCCAGAGTCAAACAAGCCGCCACTCCAGTCGAGAAACCGATAGGGCCGAGAGCGCTCCGAGTCAGCTTGTTGTCGGGGAATCTTTGGTTGAGAAGAATCGCGACAGCGAGGTATGTCAGACCGACGCCGATGCCGCCGATAAAGAATGAAAAGAGAAGAGCTGGGATATTCAAGGAGGCCAGGGAGTATCCGGCAGCCATGACAGAGACTCCCCAAATAATCGTCCCTCTCCTCGCAATTGTCGAGGCACCACTTTTCTTGATCGTAGATGCGCTTTTCACGACACCAAGGGATAACCCTGCGCATGTGACGGCAAACGGTGCAGGGCTCCATTGATTCGATACTCCGAAGAGACGTGATATTTCCGCTTGGATAGTAGACAAGGCGTAGACTGTCCCAACGCTAAGCAAATTCGTGAAGGCCACGACTGCAAAGGGGAGTCGGTCCATGACAAATTGTGAGATTCAGTCGATGCTAATACCACAGGTCGCTTAGGAGGACGGAATCTAGTAGTATTCAGAAGATAACGCGACAAGTGTCGGGGATTTGTAGGGGTTGTGGTTATTCGAGATTGTTGGACTAGACGGATCTTGCGGGAATGCGCGGTTTCTGCGGGAGCTCAGGTGGAGGGACAGTTTATGCAGACCTCGGGACCACTGGAAAAGAGATCTGCCAGCAGGACCAACGAGCTACCCGAAATATTATTGATTGCCCAGGTGCGTTCATGCATTATGAACTCAATTCGACGCTAAACTGGTGTCTACTGTAGTAGAGTACCTGTGACTGAGTGTAGCAAGTAAAAATCCAAATGCTAGGGTGGTCTGAGTATAGGTATATTGACAGATTCTATAGTCTATGGTCTAGGTCTATGTTCGATGGTGTACATTATCGTATTATACATCTGGCTTGGGCACTTTGTTCGATTTCAGCCAGAATTCTTCCGGATGGAACGAGCTCTCGGCCATCCAGTACAGCATTTGCTCATTCCGAGGCTGGAGCACCTCTTCAAAATACCGGCGGCCCTCGTATTTTGAAAGGTCAAGTTCCCCATGCCGGAAGAGAGTTTGGGAAAATCCAGCCTTTCTCTCAATAAACAAGGGCAATCGCAGAATGAAGTTCGATAGCCACCGGGCGAAATTGCCATTGGTTTCACGGTACTGCGTAGGATTCTGTTCGGCAAGGTGAATATTATCGACCGTCCACTGCGTAACTTCGAGGGAATTGGTGGGAATAGATTCCGCACTGGCACGAACGAGGGTTTCGAAGAAGGCCATGTTGAGACGTGGATTACTGCGACCCACACGGGTCACTGTCACGAAGTGATCAGATGGAATTGTGTAAGGGAGACCGTTTTCCTCGCTCTCCTCGCGTACCTGGAAGTCGTAGACAAACTGATCGATCTTGAGTAATGAGGTAAGGGCGTCTAGGTTTTGAGACCGAATCGCGTTCCTCACTCCCTGGTGTAAGGCCATACGATCCACCTTGGTCGACGTCGAATGCCGCGGATAGTCGCGGTCATCCCACTGTCTGTGGTTTGAACAGAGGCGCAAAAGCTCGAGAAAGGCAACATCCTCGGCCGAGAAACCGGTACTGGAGCCACGGATGAGGTGGCCGGGGAACTCCTGAAGCTCAATGGCCGGCCTAAGTGTTAGACCAACCCCTTTCGTCGATATGAAGATAAGGACGTTGGGTTCGATAACGAGCTTATACTCGTGCGGTCCGGGGCGCAGGGCAAGGCAACTTTGATCGTAAGTTTGCCCGGGGCACTCGAGTTTAATTCCATCCGCTAACCGATCAATTACCCCACTCGTTGCTGTGAAGGAAAGGGTGGTCATATCTTCTCGTTTCATAAACCGATCAAGGGCGGCCTGCTGCTCCGGGTCCATCTCCAAGCCAGTATTGATCCAAAAGCGATGCAGCGTCAGGTTGACGATTTGGGGGATTTGGTCGCGCACACGGCGCATTGTGCACCATCGGCAACGGAAGATCGAGTCTTGCAATTTGCCCCGCGCATTCCTACTCAAGGGCACATATTCATCCAGCGGTGTAAGCATAGCAACCATTGCCGGGCTGAGCGGGTCGGTGGCCATAGGGTCATTCCATAATGCTAGAATAATGAGCAGATTGTAAATATGCTCTCGTGAAAGAGCGATCGCTAGCACCGGCGACGCTCGAGGTAGGTTGGGATTCAGCGAGTAGAGAAAGATCTTCTCAATCACCTCGACGGGTACAGTTTCGAGCCTGGACAAAGCGCGTCGGCGGATTAGTGGTGCTCCAGCGGGCGAGGCAGATAGAGCAGATATAGCAGATAGAGGCGATCGACTGGATTGAGACTGCGAAGAGTCACTGCGAGGGAATTTGAATGGGCGACCGGGGCGGCGCTTGGGTTTGGCGGAGACAGTTTTGGAGACTCTGTCACGGTTGAGCGGGGGAGCCGAATTTGGACGAGTATCATCAGCTCTGCGGCTGCGGGGGGCCATGAGATGAAGTCGGAGATCGCAGTGACCAGCACGCGATCAGGAGATCATCCATGACGGAGTGCACAGAGCACAAAATTGGTGGAGGGAAAGAGTTATGTTCCAAGGTTGTTATGCTAGTAGGAGAGCAGCGGGATAGGCGGAGACAGTTAAAAAAAACTTGGCAGGATAAAATTGCAGAAGTCTTAATTGAATCTCTTACCATTCCCCTTCATCAAAAGCCTCTATGGTCTAGTGGTATGATATGTCACTCGTACGTCAACCATACCTGAGGTATACAGACAGCGATATGACAGGGTCCCCAGTTCAATCCTGGGTGGAGGCATATTTTTTACTCCAGAGTCGAAATTTTCCATCTACAGAGCACATTAAATTTCTATGCTTAAAACTTTGTAAAGTCAAGTTTTTTAGACAGTTAATTTAAAATTTAGAGTAGAAAATATGACTTTAGATAAATTACTAATTTTTATATAGAGAATAGACCTCTATAAATTTACTGAAGAAACCTTGAAAGAACTAGTAGCCCCAGCCTCTGCCAATACTAGAGCACTAGCCTAGTACTAGTATCCTAGGGTACAACTGGCCTGGTAACTATTACTAGTAGTACCTGCCAGGGTACCTCTGTACTGCCAGTGAGTCAGTGCTAATTCACTGACTGTGGTGATTGGCAGCGGTCGCACCTGCATTAACTAGGTTGTTTACTTCCAATGTCACTACCATTTATCGTAACAACATCCCTAAAATCCTCTTTGGCCTTCATAATCCCCACTTGCTACTCTGAGTAGCAAAAAATCTGCACTGAGGTAAGCAGATACTCAACCTAGCTTCGACCAACTTTCGAAGAACACTGGTCTCCAGAACGAGCGAGACCTTCTTCTTTCTGAGAATTCGGCACTGCAGATCGAGCTGCAGACCGTGCGAGGTCCCTCCCAAAACATCCTGGCCGAGGCTACCAACAAGACTAATACGCACAACTTGACTTCGACCGACCTTTTCGAACCGGCTTGGTCTCGATGAAATCAGCAACAAGTTTGGCCCCACAGTGCCTATGATCCAGACACACCGTTTTCTATGCCCGCGCTGGTCATGACCAGGACTGTGGAGGACATGTCCGTTGGAACAATCCTCGAAAATGCCGCCAGTCATTTTTCGCACGGCTACGTGCCAGTATGTCATCTTAACGCTTTCCTTATTTCATGATCTAACAAATTATTGTATAGACCTCTCCGGAAGCCCTCGGTGATCAGCTTGTTCAGTCACAGAGTTACTCTACACAGACCTCGCTCAGCGGCACTCCAGGTACAAAGATGCTGGCAACTATTGTTGGCACTGGCATGGACCTTTTGCTCACCACACACTTTGAAAGAGCTGTCTATTTGACGCCTCGGGATTTGAAGGATACCTCCTGGTATCGTCTGCAGCATATCGTTAAGCGTGAACGGGAACACGACGAGGACGTAATGTCCGATGAGCAACTTGAACCGCCGGCCTAGACTGTTCTCAAGGGTTCAACTCTCGTTGTACTCTCGTTGTGAAAGCCGACCAGCATCCCAATATTATCCGCCTATTTGCTTGCCCGTTGATCCTTGTCTGGCTCCCCGGCTGTCCCCAACCCATTGCCTTGATATCAAATTTATCGATAGAATGGTCGCCGGTGATAGATCAGCGCGTCTCTCGAAAGTATTTCGCCCGAGCTTCATGCTGTTGGGGGTCTCGCCCTTGCCGGTGGAATAGCGCGGTTAGATGCACGTCGTAGCAGCGCCCTGCCGCATAGGACAGTCAGTAAAGGAAAATTGTTGTCGTGGTCAGGATAACCAAATTAAGCAATGAGGCATCACTAAGGGTCGCTGTAACTTTGGGGCGGAGCTGGCACTAGACGAAGTGCATGGGTCAAGGCGACTCGAATTGCGCGAGAAAATGATCCGAAAAAAGGAGAGAGGGTGCGTGTGTGTGTGTCTGTCGACTCTCAACTTATAACTCCCAATGTGCCGTGTGAGCAGCTCTTTTTAGTGGTCGTGATGGTGCCTATAGCGGCTGTTGTGATGGGCTTCTCGGGTCCCATGAATCCTTCCGCGCACCTGGGCATGTAAAAATGGGCGAGTCGAAGGAGCGGCATAGATGATGACATGGCCAAGAATAGAGCAGCCATCGAGTTACTCACACAGTTCGATCACGGGTGCTCCTGGTGCAAAGACGCCGGCAACTCGTATTTGACAATGGCGCGGAATCGGATGGGCTCATACCTAGAATCAGAATCAGCAAGCTTGCTCTAATGATGGCAAGAATATGGAAAAGTTCTAGTACATGCGTGAGCTTGAGATTAGCCACCTGTCGATCTTGCTTAATACAGGAGTCACTAAGAAGAGTGTGACTGTGCTGGTAATAGTATGAACATATGCCTATTGTTAGTCAGCATGTCTTCATGTCTGCACTCTCTCTTACACAATACACTTCATTGCAATTCCCCCTTTCTCCGCTCTTCTTGATTCATACCCCCCTCAATTTGCCTCCAGAAAAGCTGAACATCATGCTTCTAGTTGGTGGACATTTTGACACCCTCATTATTGGCGACATCCCCGGTAATGTCATCCAGCATCAACACTATCGTATGTCATCTTGTCAAGATGTTCCCTTTTGCATAATCTAACAGATTGATAGATTGACCGACCGTGCTCAGAAGCACACGGTGGATAGCTCAAAGTCCCGCCGTAAACGGGCCAAACGGAATTTCCAGGGGACATTTCTGCTCGCGAAGTGCACCGTCCACCAGCGTCTCGCTGCCGCACGTCACCGTGGCCCTGCGTGCGTCTGTCAAGGAGACTTCTGACCTCTGCCCGGTGTGATCATTCACTGTTCATGCAATAGATAATCCTATGGTTGTTTTACTTACACTTACACACTTAGTTCGACCCCCTCGCCGACGACCGATTTCCGGGTTTTTCTTGGCAACATCAAAGCGCCGACGTATGTCATCTCATCAAAGCTTCTGTGTTACATGATCTAGCAAAGTAATAGATCCACCCGCTTCTCGTACCGACGGACTCTACCCCTGCTCCCTTCTCTATGCCCACCTCACCAGCTCGCACACCTGGCACGGGATCAGAAGCCCATGCCTCTTCTAGGTACTATCGTTGGATTGAAGTCCGAAATGGGAGTGCAGAATGCAGGCTCAGATTGGAATTATGATTCGGTTCTAATGGAACGGACTCGATTACCGGCAACGAGCAAAACCTGGTTTCGACCGACCTTTTCGAACTCGAGAACAAATGGGTTAAGATTCCAAGGGACAAAATCGGTGACGAATACATGGATGCACCGGAGTGGAATATCAACACTGGACTTATGTTGATATCTTTGCTTCTCCAATAGGGGTTAACGTTCTCACCGCTGGCGACGCCTTTTGCGTTAGAAGGAATCACCTTGTACGATGGAAACCCGGGTCCTCCCATCGGCAAGGAATGCAATCTCGTGCTTTCATGTCGGTGAGTACTAGCTTTTCATCGGGCCCTGTACGATAACATACCCATCCGATCAATGTGCCTTGCATTTTCACACCCTGGAAAGGTGGGAAGTCGGGCTAGCTTGACGATGACAAAGTAATGCCGGTGATCCTTTGCCACAGCCAATTCCTGACCGTAGTGGCATGACAACTGCCACAGTTTGACAACGGTGCGATGCATCAACAATTATCTCTGCACCGATAAAGCTTTGGCTTCCGTTTTCCGCAATCGGTCCAACTTCGCCTTGACCTACGTGGATCTCCACTCGTTCGGAGAAGTCGACATGTCCTAGGAACATTATTGAGGAGATCTCCATGTACCCGACTTGCTATTTTCTGGAACCAGCGATATTGAAATCGTTTCTGAGTTTGAAAAATTACATGTTTGTTGCTTTGGGATAGTTACCTCTTGACACCCACAGACATACTTGTATCTAGTCGTGTATCCGCTTCCTCTTGTTTATCCTCTTTATGCTTAGTATTTCAGTCGAATGTTACCACCTTTTGATCTCGCTTTTCATCGAATCTAGGCTCTTCGATGACCTCCGATACGTCAGTGGGCGAGGTGGGCTGGGGTGGGGCGAGAAAAAGAAACAGAGACGGTAGGCAGGGCAGCCAGTGTAGGATCGTGAGGCGTGACTGAGCCAGACATTTATGCGGAAGAGGCAGGTGTAATAGTTCTTACAGAAAGCACCATGGTTGGTATGTGGCTTTGGGTCACGAATGGAGATATCTCTGTGATTATTTCGGTAGCTCAGACTCTCGTACTATTTGACATTTAATACCCCACTAGCGACATTGATCTGCGAGCTGCCTGACTACCAGCTCAAGGACCCTCCAGAATTCGGCGGCATTGCGAGCCTCGTGCAACGCGATACATGGTATCTGGCCGGGGCAAGGAGCTTCTTTCCCACTTGTATTCTCGTCTGAACAGCATTCCGGAGCCGTTCTCGCCCGGGCGTGTGGCGGAACAAATCCCCCTATTCTCCAGGTCCGAAAAAACAATGGCCGCTGGCACCCTACCCTCAATCCAAATCAGGATCATCACACGGTCACACACATGAAGTCAGATCGTTTTTCCAGGTTCAGCACGAGCCTTTTTCTCCTTGATCAAGAGCTTGTGACGTACTTTGTAGCTTACTGTCGATTTGGTCTCAAAGATGTAGTCGGCTATCTTCGGGTAGTCGGCTAAGTTGCAGCCCACCTTTGCAAACCCATTCCATATTTTCTCAAGTTCACGATACGAGATGGTCTTGATCGTCTTGTCCACAGGCTCAAAGTAGTGGTCTTTACCATCGCACTGACACCTAATTCGAGGTATCAGGAACCGAGGGGGGTGAGTGGATTGTCCACCTTGGAGTTTCATAGGGCTTTTCACGTCCGCATGCTATTTTCTCGTTGTCGACACCTGAGCCTTTACATCGTATGAGAACGGTTTGAGCACAGTTCTTTAGGTCCTTGCCTACTCGAAACATGTGAGCAAAGCGGTGTTCTTTGGGCTGAACAGGGCTCAAGGATCGACATCTTTGACAGCCGCCTCTCCCACAACCAAAGTCGCTATTAGCTAGCCCATATTCAAGGACCTCGGTCACACAGCGATGTGGAGATTCCACAGGGACAAATGCAAAAGCATTATCCAGAGCAGGCTGGTTACATCCATTGCACTTGAATCGTACCACTTGCCCAGGTTCCGCTGGAATAAATTTATCTTTCTTGCTTTGTGATTGAGGCTGCATCATCTTTCGAACGTAAGATATTGCGACCGATGAAGCAAGAAACCCAGCAGGAATTTGTTTGATGTGAGGATCGGGGCTTCTGTGAAGAAGGGAAAATACCAACTCGAGTGACTCACGGCTGTTCAATGGCTGACCTTGAATCTTGAGGCCGTCTTGAAGCGCAAGCCATGTCCGGAGTGCAGCTGGTATGCTATCAAAATCGAAGGCATCAGAGCTTACATAGTCATCGCTATGTTGGCTGTCTTCCATGATGATTTCGGGATCGAAAGGAGATAATATATCTTCTTTCAAAGATTGAAATGACTCAGCGAGAGCGTGTAAGCTTTCCTCCCTTGCATTGATGCGGAGTGTCTAAGAATTCATCAGCTTTATTGGGTCAAGTCCAGGTATAGGTGATGGGTGCTACATACCTGTTCCTCGACTGATAATGGCCCGGTACGATGTGTCTGCATGGGAACTGGTGGTTCAGAGAGACTGCGTTCCAGATCAAGGAGCGCATTTTTTGCACTCTGGTTGCAAGATGCCTTGAGCTCCCATCGCTTGAACTTCGCTGGGAATGCTACCTTGAATGCATTGAGTGCTGCCAGGAGGTTCTCTTTCTTTGCCAAATCTTGGTCCGTGGTCAGTTGAATATCAGCTTTCGAACGATGGCGATCGCCAAGAAGGTGAGGCTTGATGTTGATCCGCTGGCTCAGCCCAGCAAGTTGGACCGCCATGGATATCATGAGCTGCTGAGGCTTTCTGTAAGCGTCATCAAAAGACGGACCGGATTTCTTCAGCCGACTAGACCGAAAAAAGAACGACGGATGGTAGGCATGGATAACAAACCGCTTGAGGATTGACTCCGAATCGTCTAACTCAAGCCAGAGTCGGACAGGCTTAAACTTTCCCCATAAGGGAAATTGCACCAGATGAGAGGCTTGTTGGACGGCTTTGAAGACATCCTCCCGAAACAAATTTCGACCACAGCAGACATATTTCCTCGGAGCTTCCGAATGAAATCTTTGTGGATGTGTCGTATGTCTTCCGTGTAGAAGTGAAGGCAATCATCGGTTCGGTCTCGGCGAGAAATCTCATCAAACATGAAACAATGTTTGGATGATAGACCAACCAAGTTCAGCTCACTAATCGTCGCGTTGGTAGGGTCATCGGTGACGATGCTTTGCGCATCTGCGACATGAAAGGTGGGATTGAGAAGGTGTAGGGCGAGAGGGGACTTGATATCGCCACTTGGCTGAACAAACTGAGGCAAGCGTTGGACGCCTAGCTGCTCCCAGGCCGCGAGATCTCGCTGAGCCATCTCGGCAAAGTCGGGGGCAAAGTCCCACTCAGTTGGTGTCCCTGACAATGGTTTAGTATTTTTATGGGCGGGGTGAGTGAAAAACTGAAAAGACTTACGGGTCTCGAGTGAAGTTTGGAAGGCTTCCAACAATAGGAGATATTTGTCGGCGGCCTTGCGTTCTTCGGCGGTCGGGATTTCCATGACGCACTGCCCGAACAGGGGGAATTCTGTGGCAGGCTCCATGGCGTTTGCTGTGAGACACTGTCAGGATGCTGGTGATAAGTCGAGATAACGAAGTGAGGCCGAGAGGGAGGTGTAGGGAAACAGAAAAGGTGAAACAACAGGGAAGAAGTACGATGGGGGATTGGTAAAAACAAGTGAGAGATGCGGTGTTTCAGAATGGGTGAGATGACAAGAAGTGGGAAGTGGGAAGGGGGAGGGGCAAGAATTGAGTAGAGGGGGGTGAGGATAGGCAGTGGTGAGAGTAATGGCTGGTAAGACCAAGTAGAAGAGTGCTATTCACCAAGAACATCTCTAGTCAAATGTATGAAGAATTCTTGTTACAGCGCTACATGGCCCCAATCAGCCCGGTGTTTCTAGAAATAACCAGGATGAGAGATGCCGACATTCTGCTACTTGGTATCCTACTCATGCTTGCATCTAGTACCCTGAACTGTCAGGATCAGGGAATTTGGAAGGATAGGATAGCTTCACTGATGGCGTCGCGGAGCCTCATATTATAGAGTAGCCATGGAGGGAGCCAATGGCAACGCAGGATCAGAAAACGGCCAGCTGTGGCCAATCAACATCGAGGATCGGACAAATGACAGCCTGGCCAGCAGACCAATTAGCATCGAGGGAAGGAGCGATCTCCCACGACTATAGTCTATAGACCTTGTTGACATTCACTGTCGTGCGCGCTTGCGCGCTCTCTTTCTCTCTTCGTCTCTTCTTCTCCTCTCCTCTCTCACTTTCTCACACATACACAGCAACCGCCCGCCCGCTTGCCCATCATGGGCAAGAACAAGAAGAAGAATAAGGGCAATGCTGGCCCTAACAGCAGCAGCAACAGCAACAACAACAACAACAACCAGGTAAGCAGTCACTCCTATGCCCTCTCTTGTTCGGTTCCAAACTTATATCTGTTATCCAGGCACTTGGTGGCTCTGGTGCCCGCGCTGGTCTCGGTCAAGACGGTGGCCTTGACCAGCACCTGGGAGGACTCAGTTTTGTCCTTCCAGGTGGGACGACTCTGAACATTGATAGTGGTGCGAATGTTGGCGCCATTTTACTTGGCAACGCCGGTGTGCCCGTATGTCATCTCATCAAAGCATTCTTTGTTGCATGATCTAACAAACAATTGATAGAACCGTGTTCAGAAGCCCGCGGGAGGCAGATCGAAGGCTAAGGCCCGTCGTGATCGGCAGAAGAGAACCGAACAACGCCATGCCGAAGCTGCCCGCTTGGCGCTCCCAGCGCCAAGTGCTCCATCCGCCAGTGCCTCGGTGCCATCAACCACCGTCCCCGCGCCCGTCCGCGCGCCCGTCCCCGCGCTCGTCGCGCTCGTTTCTGTGGCTGAGGTTGTGCCGGTTCCCGCCTCCGCGGTCGTTCGTCGTGCGCCGTCCCCGCCTGGCCCCGCTGCGTTGGTGCCGCCCCCCGTGAGTTACTACCTATCCTTGATACCACGAATGATTCGATTCAATGGGCATTCGCTTACACATACACGCTTAGTCCGACCCCTAAGGGAGGATGACGATGAAGGTGACGACGATGACGATGACGACGATGACGATGATGATAATGTTTTTTTTTGTATATATTAATATTCAATCCATACGGATTTTCCGTCCCATGACACTCCTCAGCTTCTCCCCTACGTTTAGTTACGATCGTAGTTCAGTCGTTCCACTTGTAATTCCCGAACATGTAGGCCACGGCTTGAACCTTTTATTATGCTCTCGCCATCGCCATAGTATCAACTTGTCAATCAAGCGGCCGTCGAGGCAAAGTATAGCTTTTCTCGGTACTACTTCGTTTACGTTCCATCCGTCCCATGAGCCACCACAATAACGGGAGCTTCATCGAGTATCCGGGACAGGATCATCTGGATGTCCATTATCAAGCAGAAGCCCAGAAACAGCATACACCCTTCGGGCTCAGCGGGGAAGACTCTTGGCCTTTGGTACGGGTGCGGTGCTAGCTATTGGCATCTGGTTCTGTTTTGGTGCTATGAGATCCTGGGGGTGCTCAACCTCACCGGAAACAAGGAAAAAAGTGATCAAACAGGTGCCAGCATTGGCATGATATGGAACATGCGTGATACCGAATGGTACGTATGGCACATGAGGTATAGCAAGCAAATTACTTTGTCATTCATGATTGTTGGGTAGATCTCGCCAGTCAGGTCAAGCTCCTTTATGGGTAATCAGGTAGTTCCAATGGATCTCAGATAGGGGTCGGTGACCGGACCGGATGGGATAAGATGCAAATTCACGGTTTTTCAATACTCTCAGACCTTATCATGCTCCAAAATAAGTTAGAAAATCGAACAATGATCTGGCGCTACTGCTCGGACCTGCTTGGATTTGCGTTGAGTAATCGTCCTCTATAAGGGAAGATCTCGCCTTGAAGCACCTCGGGGCATTGATACAGTGATTTTCCAGTTACGGCCTCGAAATTTCGCATATACATCGCAAGGTTCAGCATGAACCAAAGACGATCTCCTCGTCGTCTGGCGATCCAGCCTCCGATCTCTTTGGCCGGTGCGCGGAGCTCGTTCGAAACCCCAAGCCTTACTCCCGGATAGCAAAGCCATTGCATAGAAGCGGTGTATAAGAATAAGATCCTGCCTTAGTTTATAGGTACCCAAGTATTAATAATACTAATACTGTACGTAATACGGATCTGGGTGCGAAGGCAGCTACGCCCGTAGCCACCCTCGCACCTGCACTGCGTAACTACTTGCGTGGCTGCCCATTCTGTGGCAGTTTCCCACTTCTTTCCTTCTTTTTTTTTCTCCGAGTCTCTTCTCTCCCGTTTTCTTCCCATTCAACTAACCAGGCCAACTTATTCAACCTCTTCAAATACCTTGAATCCAATCATTTGAGTTTCCCTATAAGAAATTTCCCATTTGTATAATCATAAACGGCTCAAAGAATCACTCGAGCTCACTCATCAGGGTTTCGAGACGGCCTATGGCGCAATTTCAAGCGATGTGGAGTACCTGACCATCGTGCAAAGCTCCAACCATGTCTCCGCCAGTATGTGACAGCGAAGTTTGTGGACCTCTTTGCCAAGCAGGATGCAGTCGGTGGAAGGCTGATCGTTGTGATCAACGGTTTCGATGGTCTCAGCAGTCACGAAGTCTCTCTTCTCAAATTGCTCGAAGGCCACACTCACAAGTGTGATTCCTTTCAATTTGAAGACCATCCTGGTTAAGATGAGTCCCAAACTTGGCGATTCTCCGAGGCAAACACTGAGCATGCTTGCAAGATCATTCGAGGAGATATCAATCTTATCGATGGTCAGGAAGGTGTCCATGAGCTGGAATCTGGCAGTGGATCTGGCATTGTCCGTGAGGAGGAGCTGGACTTTTTGACCGCCCTTTACGTTCGCATGATTCGGCACATCTGTGAGGACAGGATACAGCTTGGTGTGTGATTCAAGCGCCTGCAGAAAATAACTTGAAGGCGGAACATTAACCCTTCTACGTGAACCTTGGGCAAATGGTCCTGCGATGGCAAATGTGGCAGGGGGGACTGCGAACTCAAGTTCCCGACAAAGTTCGACTTCAACGCTCACTTCTACCACGCCAAAGAGAACGCTCTCGAATGCCGACGGGCCTGCGGAAAGGCCTTCACAAAGCCCTGCAGCCGGGACAGGCACGAAAAGGGAACTCGCAAGAAACGCCCGGGTTTCGGGAGAGAAGAATCAAAAGCGTGCGCGCAAGCGCCCGTATAGATACCAGTATGTCGAACCTCTGATGGTGACCGTCTTGATTACAACGAGGTCATTGCAATTCCCGCACTGGCACAGAACATGCCTACCATAGTCACCGATGAGGCAGTGCTGACTGCCAATGGGCTGCCCGCAGATGCGGTTCATCGCGGAGAGCGTGTTTGCAGGTGGTCGGGTTGCGCAAAACGTCGGAAAGTCTATTCGGGCGCGTCTCGGCTTCGCTTTCACTATAAGGGAAAGCATCAGTATGAATACACAAAGCATACTGTGGGGAAGGCTTCTCCATATATTGAAAAACAGCATGAGAATGGTCTCCAGTACCTTGCCTTTTCGGCACAGGGTATCACTGATGTGGTAAAGTCGTGGCCCGAAAGCTGTTGACACGGCTTTCTCTTCTTTCTTCTAGGATGGGGATGCGGCGAACTCAAAGCAGGGAAAGAGTGGGCTTTGGGAACTCACGGGTATGAATTTCTGATGCTCTAAATGGTCAATAATGTCTCTAGATCCCAACTCCTATTGTAGTATATTATGAAATGATAAAACAATGCAATAAATTTGAAAGCATAAACCATTTCCTGGCTAGGACCCAATTTTAAGTAGGGCCGAGGTTGACATTGCGGGACTAAAGGACACGGACCTTAAGAGTCTTGTTGGGTATGTTCAACATTGCGATGGATTGACGGCCTTGGATCAAATTGCTTGAGAGTCTACAAGGTGCCACCCAGGCAATCTGTACAAACACTCCGAGAGGGACAAAGTGATGCCGCCAACCTCAGTCAAGTCTGAAGTCTCTACGCGCTAAAAACTCCGATGCCGGAGGATATCCTTTTTTTGTTAAGCTGGCCACTTTTTGGTTCTTTGTCCTCGAGTACTGCCGGAGGATAAAACATAATGATCTCGTTGGCACACCGGGCGATGCTAGCTTTACTCAAGTTGTGGCTGATCGTGAGGAGTACAGAAATCAGCCTTCCCACGGTAACCCGGATTGAAGTAGTAATGTCTTGGGGAAAAACATGAATTTATGGAGTGAATCCATTCAAAGCTAACCCGGCGAGATTTCTGGGCCAACATGTTGGCAACTAGTGTTGACATTGGAGTGCCAGTGGCTGTAGGGCTTGGAAACCCAGAACTGATGTGGAATATGGAATTGGATGGGGAAAATGCTTCGAGAACCGCCCCCCCCCCCCTCTACGCACACTTCTAAACCAGGTGGTAGCCTTCAAGTTGGCTGAATACTGAATTACGGGATGGATCATGATGATATTCAAGTTAATCCATGGATGCCAGTGGTTGAGTGGCTGAGCACTGGGATGTACTAGTACTTCACGGGATGATATATTATGTATAGCACTAACTGGGCCGCTGTGCTAAATATACATATAACCTCAAGTTTAATTATGCTCTTGTGGTACTTTTAAATCACTGAGCCATAGAAGATACTTTCTTGGCTTGATACGTGATATTGTATGTAGTGGGAAACACTTGTCTTGAGAAGATGTTAAATCTGTTGGTAATACTGCCCAGGTGGCCTCGATACTAAGGTTTCTCCACTTCGTCGACATGCCAACCTTGAAAATCTTCAATATTTCTAATTCATACCTGTATTACGTTCTATAAACTATTATTTTGCGTTTCCATGCTCTTTATTACTTCTGTTTCATTCAGTTTATATACCTTGCCTCCGATAAAATAAGATTTTAGCGAAACGTGACTTAGTTATACCCCCCCTTCGCGCATATCAGATGTATCAAAGTAAAAGAAGTGGATCTAGCCAACCAATCAGTATTACTCGAATTTCAAAATGCTGATCAGTTCCTCGATTGATACACTGCATCATAGTAATTGAATGAGCAAATTACCAATTAGAAATAACAAGCCGGTCAAAGCCATTTTACCTCTGTTGGACCGCTTTCATGAATATCTTAATATTATATCATTCTTATATCCAATATAATAGATATTAAGGTACTAATGAAGCTTCTATGAGTCAGGAAACTTCTCTCCTCATAAAATCATGAATATATTGAAGTTATTATCCCCTTCGATGCTTTGACCACTGTTTTCATCGGTTTCTTTTGGCAATTTTCAGTCTTGAACACACCATCTTCAACATCTAGCGAGCCCTTATAGCTCAGTGGTAGAGCGTTGCACTTGTAATGCAAAGGTCCGTCGTTCAATCCGGCGTGGGGGCATCACGAGCGCTTAATTTTTTTTCTGCAGATCGAGGAACTTGTTCCCGGAGGTTAGATATCAAGCACGGATGGGGCGGGAAATGTGGGGGTCCGATTGGCTCAACCGGTGGGAGTGGGGTAATTAGTCCGCATTCACGTGATTGGGCAGCTCCCAATCATTTTTGAATTCTCCCAACTTGAACTTGACCCTTCTTGCAGAACAAGTCTTGATAATGATTATTTCAGGAGAGATTTCTTGTTCTATCGGGCTTGTAGATATGCAAAAATTATATCTACGCATATGAACGAATAGATGTGGTTTATCATCCGTAATTGCTTTTAACGACCCGACCGGTCGCATTCAGGCACTCAGGCACCCAGGCACCAAGCCATGCTTATCTTATCGCAAATCACCACCACACTGGGGCAAGTTTCAATGAATCGGACTTTGGACCTTGGCGAACTCCATGCAATCCGCTTCGCTGCGACCTCGTGGGTTCAAGTTCCTTGACTTTTTGACTCCCTTGTCAACTCGACTTATCTCTATGTCGGCCGACCCACAGCTCAAAGCGATGCCCTCCGCATTGACTTTGCATCATCACGCGAAATGCTCGGTACGCCATGCGATGCCTAACAGCAATGCCCCTCTTCTTTGCGGTCTAAGGCCATGACTGACCCGATCATTTTATTTATATTACTCTTGAATAGACCACCAAAGCTCGCGCATCTACTCTCGATCTACCTCATGGCTCGGTGCCTTTACCTATCTTCATGCCGGTCGCGACACAAGCCTCTCTCAAGGGTCTCACATATGACCAACTACGCGATACCGGCTGCATGCTTTGCCTTAATAATACCTACCACCTTGGCCTGAAACCAGGCCAGGAGGTTCTCGATGCCGTAGGTGGAGCGCATAAATTACAAGGATGGGATCGCAATCTCTTGACAGACAGTGGAGGGTGAGATCACAGCTATTTTCATTTCGCGATAGCACAACCAACAAACTGACAATGCCTGCGATACATAGCTTCCAGATGGTCTCCCTTTTGAAGCTCGCCACGGTCACCGAGGAGGGCGTGCGATTCCTCAGTCCGCACGATGGTTCACCAATGTATGACAACCCGCATCACCCGCAATTACACCTATAACCCACCCCAATCGAAATAATATACTGACTGGCGCTAGGCTCCTCACTCCAGAACACTCAATCTCCCTCCAAAACTCCATCGGCTCTGATATCATCATGCAATTGGACGACGTGATCGCGACAACGTCCCCAGACCATGCCCGCATTAAGGAAGCGATGGAACGTTCAGTGCGGTGGTTGGATCGGTGTATTGATGCGCATAAAAACCCCGAGACCCAGAATCTCTTTTGTATTATCCAAGGTGGTCTGGATCTCGAACTTCGTAAACAATGCTGCGCGGAGATGGTCGCCCGAGATACCCCCGGAATTGCCATTGGAGGGTTGTCAGGTGGTGAGGCCAAGGAAGAATTCTGCAAAGTGTATGTTGCCCACCCCACCCCATCGGTTCCTGCTGCTAACATCTCGAAGGGTGGACACCTGCACTGGCCTTCTTCCAGAACACAAGCCCAGATATGTTATGGGTGTGGTACGTTGGCCCTCATTCAAAGCAATTACGATTGGACCTGACCCCAAGCTTTAGGGATATCCCGAAGATATAGTTGTTGCGGTGGCCCTTGGTGCGGATATGTTTGATTGTGTATGGCCGACTCGGACAGCCGTGAGTTCTCATTTGCCCGAATTTTACCCAATGTTCTAACCCAAGCCAGCGCTTTGGAAATGCCATTGTGTCCGCCGGAACGATTAACCTGCGGAACAGTTCATATGCCAATGATTTTAGCCCGATTGAAGAGGGCTGTACATGCAAATGCTGCCGGCCCACAGATCAAGGCGGCCTTGGACTCACCAAGGCATATATGCATCACGTCACCGCGAAGGAAACTGTTGGCGCTCACCTGTGAGATTGCCCACTACTACTGGCCGCATCGGCTACAAATGACAAATGCTAACTACATTTGCAGCCTGACGGTTCATAATGTTCACTACATGTTGACTTTGATGGGGGCCGCCCGGCAAGCTATCATCGAAGACCGATACCCTGCCTTCATTCGCAAATTCTTCTCCGATATTTACGAGGGCGATAAAACGAAGTATCCTGAATGGGCCGTGGGCGCTCTTCGAGGTGTTGGAATGGACTTGCTTGAAGATTAGTCTCGAGACAGCATTCTGGAAGACGATGTGATTTTACGGGAGCTTCACCCCCGATTTCCATAGTCCTCGTTCCAGGGAAGGACAACTACGCTATTTCCAACGCCCTATGATGATCTCGATACCAAATGGCTATTGATCTCAGCCACACGTCTTATCAGCCGTGGTTGAGGGGGGCTCATCTATCTTGGTCGAGCTTCACCGAAATTTGTTCGATTGATTCTGGTGGCGGGTTACTGGCAACCGGCGTTGGCTGTCTCTAGCATAAATTGACCGATGCTGGCCCGGATTACGCGGCCCCGCCCTCTATCCACCTGCACGGCACCTGGCAACGAGTGGGATCATCTATCCACTGGTTTTCATACCGATTCTAAAACATCATTTACGACACAATTGGACAGAAGTGTTGATACCCTACACTAACGCGCCACCCCGCATCTCTCCTATCTCTAGTATATAATTCAAGCCCTCACAACAGTAGAGTAGTAGACATAACCCACATAACATTCTATGGATTACGGAAATTGTCAGGTTAGGGGTAATTCGAACGTGACAACTTTGGAGAGGAACTTGGTCCATGCTCTTTTATGTCGAGGCTCTATGCTTTGAAAGACACCGTAGTATTACAGATTCGCACTTCTCATCTCACATTGGTCAAGCCATGATTGAATCGTTTGAACCAACCCTTCAATCTCGGCCTCCGTGTTGCCAGAATGCAGACAGACACGGACTCGCTCCTTGCCCTCCGGGATGGTGGGTGGCATGATGGCACGGACGATAAACCCATTTTGCTGGCAGAAAGCCGCTAGCTGACGAGGCTTGGAGGTTCGTAATGAAAAGATTGGAGATGTGGGGAAATGGTCGACCTCGAAAAGAACCGACTGGTCTGTCCGTAGGCTGTGTAGGCGGGTGTGAAGGTGTCGGATCAACTCCTGGACGCGTAATTGTAACTGTTTCTCTTGGTTAGTAAATGCAAAGTTGTGGCCACTCTGCATAAACTGGATGGTACCTACAGATTCCGTTTCGCCATTCGCTAACAGCTCATACGCTGTGCGAATAGATGCAAGGAAGGGAAAGCCAAGCGCAGTGGTGTAGATCAGACTCCGCGCGTAGTTGATTAGGTAGTCTTTCGTTTCTTGGCCACAGAGAACCATCGCTGAATCAGAGAAATTAGCATGTATTGGTCGCAACACTCGAAGACATCATCACATACCACCATGACTGGCCAATGCCTTTCCGAATGTGTGCACTCGGATGAACATGCGATCCTGAACACCCAGCTCCTGGACAACTCCAGAGCCCCGAGGTCCAAATACGCCAGTGGAATGAGCCTCATCGACCATGAAATACCCATTCTGGTGGGGAAGAAGATCGTCCACTACTTGAATGAAGTCTTTTATAGGGGCCACATCGCCATCCATGCTGTAAATAGACTCAACCACAATGAACACATTCTTAGTGCCATTTCGAACAGACGGATCTTCATTGATCTGGGCCTCAAGAGCATCACGCAGGCCTGCCGCCGAGCTATGGGGGAACATGACGCGCTTTCCGGCGCGAGATAACCGCATTCCCTCATGTGCACTGGCATGAATGAGCTCATCATAGAGAATCACATCACCGGGCTGCGGAATACTCGACAGAACGCCGACATTAGCATCGAAGCCAGAATTGAATAATAGAGCGGTGGGAGCTTGATGGAAATCAGCCACGAATCGTTCCAATTCCTCGGCATAAGCGGAGTTTCCATCTAGCAATCGTGACCCTCCGCTTGCAAAGGGGAATGAATCCGGTGCATTGTTGAGGTGAGTCATAAACCGATTTCGATAAGCTGGGGATGTCCCCAGTGAAAGGAAGTCATTTGAAGAAAAATCAACGGTTTCCTGGGGTAAGACGGTTAACCTCCGGCGGGCGGATTTGGCTTCCCGGCGAGACAGCGCTCGCGACAAGGCATTCACGAGCGATTGCGGAGGATGCGAGGAAGATGACGCAGAATGCGCGGCGGGAATAACCCGAGAGTCAGACATGATGAAGTCGATCAAATGAAGATCATGAAATGGATGGAATGCTAATATAAAATGACGTGCCCGGGTGGTTCAAGTTGGATGGGGCGGCTAGGCTCGGAGAGATGTAGATGCAGTGCCTCTTGCGCGAACGCCGGTTCCTGTGCCTAGGCCTGCAGAGGGTGATGGGGATTCGGGCACGGCCGTCAGCGATCCGCACTTTAATTCTCTAGTTCGAGGGCGGACCACGGACGAATCCCGGGAGCTGCGGAGGTGGGGAGAGAAAGAGAGGAGAAGCAAGGCGATGCAGAACGGAAGAAGCGGAGGAAAAAGGGATAATTGATGGAATGAGTCAGTCCGGGGTCAAACTTCCGATTCAAGTGAATGATAAAAGTCAATGGTAATGTTTTGTTGATGTACGGAAAGCGAAAGTTGACCTCGGTGAAGAGGAAGTGTGGAGTGGAAGAGAAGGAAGAAGGTTGGTGATTGGTTGATACGGCCCGAAACCGGAATGGACTTCTTATCCTGTCGCACTCTCTTGGTGCTGCAAGATATCTGGAATATATCGTAGTCAGCAGATGAATATTTTGAGAGATTTTCAATCATTATTTATATGATGTCTCTCACCTCTACTTGCATGTAAATATGAACAAAAGTGCCAGTGATGCCCTGTTGATATCACGTGGCCGGGCTCCAACTCTCGTCACCTGACTGCATGTGACCCGCGGACAACCGCGTAGCAGGTGGTTATGTATGGCCTCAACGGTCTTTTCTCGGGATTGGTTAATTTTGTTGAATGTTTATGATTTGGTTTGATTATATTGGGTCTTCGAGTCCTGGAATTTGTTGATTGTAAGCTAGTATAAGGTGCTAGTATATCTCTATTCAAGAACCGAGGAACTGGTTAGATATGACTCAGCAAATCAGTTCCTGAATAAATGCAATATACTCCGCACAACATATAGAATTATTTATAATCGTGATTATTGGTAAACATTGTAATAATTGTACTATATACTCCGTACCTAATACCTACGGACTTTCCAAACCGTTGGGGTTGGCCAACTTCGGCTGGACTTGGTGGACTGGTGGACCTTCCCGCATTCTTCTCCCTCCACTCCACTCTCTCTCTCTCCCCCATCACCTCAACCTACTCTCTCCCAACTTCCCATTCTCTCACCCTCAACAATTGATATACTCAATTGTATCAAATTGCATTAATTGCATCAATTCAATTGACTGTGCGACTTCACGATGCCCCCCGTCGGTGCTGGGCTGTGGCGCTCCTTGCCCGCCCACCAAGTCTACGGCGCCAACACTAATGTCGGCAAGACAATTGTCTCCACCGTTCTCTGCAATGCTATCCAGAACCAGAGAAAGAAGGCTGCCTTCTTGAAACCTGTCTCAACTGGCGCTTTAGACGATGCCGACGACCGGTGCGTGTTCTCACTACCTTTGATCAAAACAAAGACAGCTTAACTGACTCAATCACAGCCATTTGTCGCGGTTCGGAGCTGGTACCCTCACCAAATGTCTCTACCAGTTCGATGAACCGGTTAGCCCTCATCTCGCGGCGAGGCAGAAGATGGTGAGTGGCTCACTGATGCACCCGGGCCGATCACCCCAACTAACATCATCAGATCCCGCGAGATGACGATCTCCTCGCCTCAATTCATCAGACTCTGTCCGACTGGGCTCGGTCGGACATTGATCTCGCCTTGGTGGAAACCGCCGGTGGTGTTCACTCACCAGGACCTAATGGGAATTCTCAGGCGGACCTCTATCGGCCTCTCCGGCTGCCCATTGTCCTAGTAGCCGATTCGCGCCTCGGAGGCATCTCCTCCTCCATTTCCGCGTATGAGTCACTTGTTCTCCGCGGTTATGACATTCAGTCCGTGCTATTGTTCCGCGATGACTACTACCAAAATCATGAATATCTGGCCGATTACTTCAACAAGAAAAGTATCCCGTTGGTCTCGCTCTCCGCACCACCTCCGCGGCCCCCGGTGGAGAATGCCGACACTCAGGCCAGGGATGAGGAAGCCATGTCTTCCTACTACCGCCAAGTCTCCGCGGAGTCAGACATTCTTCGTTTACTCGAAGAATTGAACACTAAAAACCAGAAGCGCATCACGCGTTTAGAAGAGATGGCCGATCGGGCGCAGGATTTGATCTGGTATCCTTTCACTCAACACCAGGGCATGAAACCAAAGGACATCACTGTCATCGACTCTGCTCATGATGATTACTTCCAAACCTTTGGTTCGAGTCAATCAAAGGAGTCGAGTGCGGAGTTGCGGCCAACTTTTGATGGCTCGGCTTCGTGGTGGACGCAAGGATTAGGCCATGGAAACCCTGACCTGGCCCTCTCGGCTGCCTATGCTGCCGGTCGCTATGGCCATGTTATGTTTGCTGGTGCGGTTCATGAGCCTGCACTTTCACTTGCGGATCGTCTCCTGAAGACTATTGGCAACCCCCGCTTCACGAAGGTCTTCTACACTGACAATGGCAGCACTGGAATGGAGGTGGCCGTGAAGATGGGACTCCGTGCCGCTTGCGATAGATATGGCTGGGATGCCAGCCAGGAGCAGATCAGCATTCTCGGCCTCAAGGGGAGCTACCACGGTGATACTATTGGGGTGATGGACTGCTCGGAGCCTTCTACTTTCAACCAAAAGGTTGAATGGTACCGCGGTCGGGGCCACTGGTTTGACTTCCCTCTTGTCAAGATGGTCAATGGGACCTGGAAAGTTGAAGTCCCTGCTGAGTTGAAGGCCGACCTGGGCTCCGAGGATGCCGAATTCGAAAGCCTCGGATCTGTTTTTGATCTCGAGAAACGCTTGGGATCAGAAGCCACTCAACGATACAAGACCTATATCCACCGCACAATCAAGGACCTCGTCGAGCGCCACGGTATGAAATTTGGCGCTCTGATCCTCGAGCCCGTTATCTTGGGAGCAGGTGGCATGCTGTTCTGGTAGGTTTTCCAATAAGTACCAGCTCGCCATGATTTCCATACTAACCTTCCCAGCGATCCTCTTTTCCAACGCTGCTTGACCGATGTTGTCCGTGATCACCCAGAGCTCTTCTCCCCCAATGCTTCGTCGCCGAAATCAGCCCCATCCTGGTCCGGCCTACCAGTCATCTTCGACGAAGTTTTCACTGGTCTCTACCGCCTTGGCCGCCCATCATCTGCATCCTTCCTCGACGTGCACCCCGACATCGCTGTAAACGCCAAGCTGTTGACCGGTGGCTTGATTCCTCTGTGCACTACCGTTGCAAGTCAAGAGATTTTTGACACATTCTCAAGCCCGGAGAAGAGTGACGCTTTGCTTCATGGTCACAGCTACACGGCTCATGCAGTAGGCTGCACTGTTGCTGTGGATTCTCTCCGTACTATGGACGACATGGACAAGAATGGGTCGTGGGATGGATTCAAAGCGGACTGGGATTCCAAGTCGGTGACGTCTACCAGCGGGCCCTCCGATGTTTGGAGTGTGTGGTCACAAAGCCTCCTTCAAGACCTCTCTCGCGCAGAGACGGTTGAGAGCGTATTTGGTATTGGTACAGTGCTCAGCATCTCATTGCGAGATGCTGAGGGTGGAGGTAAGCAAATTTGCATCGATTCATTCATGAACAAGCACTCTAATATATCAACAGGTTATACATCAACGGCCGCAAAGGGCCTTCAGCAGAAGCTGGCTGTTGGCGGAGATCAATTCAACGTCCATTCGCGGGTTCTGGGCAATGTCCTCTACTTGATGTCCAGCGTTACATCCAAGCCCGAATCACTCAAGGAGATGGAGAAGCTTCTTCGCTCGTCCTTGATTTAACGAAACGAATTATGCCTGTCGATGTGTCTCTTGAGCATGACATTCTGATGGCGGTCTGTTTCCCAGATCGCTGTACATGACGCTAGGGAATATATAAGGCATCGAATCTCAATGACTGTACATAGTATATCAGGCAAGCAATCAGGAATCATATGGCAACCTTGAAGTGCTTCAAGTTCAAATTCTCCGCTCAACTTCCTAACAGAAGAGACATTTGTAAACAGGAGGCCGCTGATAACCAAATTAAGCGTTGGGCTGAACTTTGCCATGATTTCACATTGAACGATTGGGGCCGATATTTCTGCCTCATAGCCTGATAACCAACGAGCATCTGGGCTACCCCTTGGGGCTTAGACTGGTTTTCCGACATGAAACCTTGGAACGTCACGAGGCTGGCCCCCAAATCTGCTTCAATCTTGGAATTTGTTCTTTGGCTTCGGCCCCTTCGATTTGTTGACTGCGTGCGATCAACCACTTTCACTTTCTTGGAATCCAGGACTCAACTTCTTTATGGAAAACTCTTTCCATTTTGTAGATGGCTTTCAGCCCGATCGGATCTCCCAAAAATTGATGCGTCGGCATGTTATGAGAGGCAAAAATGCGGGCAAACGGCTTCATCGGAGATCGAGAAAAGACTTGACTATAGATGCTCACCCCTTCAAAGAGACCAATATACACTGCCCCGGTCGACAAGAAGCGAATTTAATCAGATTCCCCAAGTCGTTCGGACATGAAACCCTCACATGCGTTCCTCCTGTGGTGGAAGTCGATCAACGTGCGCTCGGGATTATCAACAGATGTTGGTTCAGCCCTTCTGGAAGTGGAAATTGCTCTAATCGAGTTGCCAGTCTTCAACCTGACAAGTGAACGACTATACCCTACTAAGATTGGGTTCCCGTTGTCCGATGCTAAACATCTGTGGCTTTCCTTGCTGTTCACGGATGAGGCTGGTGAGGCCCGATGAAATTCATTAAGTTGAAAGATTCTCTAACTTCGAATCAGCCTACCACTGCAACCTCAATCTAATGGAAACGTGTAATGAAATTTACCTTGGCCGTGACAACAAAGCCCAAACGTTGCTGAACCGATCAAAGACATTAATTCAGACCCAACGAAGGGTCGAAAGTTGCGATGCTCTTTCTGACTCCACAATGGGACTTGTCACATCACTCATCACCCAAGAACAAATACGGAACCAACAATCGGCTGCTTTAGTGCACGCAAGAGGACTGCAAAAGATGGTCGAGCTACGAGGCGGACTCGGTCAACTCGAGCAAAACCCCACACTTGTATTGGCAGTTTGCAAGTAAGTGAAGAGATCCAGAAATTGGAAGATTCTGGCTGACAGCGGGGACTTAGAGCAGACATATTACTTTCCTTGCAATTTGGAGAGCCAACGATGTTTTTCAGAGATAACCTGACTGAAGTATGGACTACAGCGGCCTCCAAAAATTACGATTTCGATGAAATTGGTGTCATACATTGCGAGAACCTGCATCCGTATCTTTACGCGATATTTTGTGACGCCACGAAGGTTTGCTCTTTGCTGAATAAAAATACTAAACAGCCTCTACTTGATTTTATCAGCCTAGAAGAGATTTTCGTGTCGATTTGCTACCGCCTCCTACGATTCATTCCAATCCATCCTCACACTGGGAGGATCGACTCGCAGAGTGCGCTAGGTCTTGGATTGCTCATCTTTACGATGACTACCTTTTTCCAAGCGAACGAAAAGCGAATCATGGATTTCAAGGCATTATGTGTACGTTTCGAAGATCTCCTACGCGGTAATCTTTCGGGATTTGGAGACGAAATTAGCCTATGGCTGCTGGCTTTGGGCGGGATCTGGTTTCAAAAAGAGCTGGTCACAGATCACGTCGCTTCTAAAATGCGAAATTTGTGTTCACTTCGAAAGATCTACACTTGGGTCGAATTTCGAGCATGCATATCTAAGTTCCCCTGGATAACAGTTATCCATGATTGTCTCGGTGAAGAGCTCTGGAACCAGACACAACGAATGATTCAGTGACAAAATAAACTATGACAGCATTCCATTTGAATCCAACGGATAAGAATTCCAGACCAATGGTTCGTTCACCATTCAAAGGCCTGCTTGGCCAAACTCTCGGAAAGACCCCACAGTTTCTCTGCCTCATCATTGGAAACTGCAAGAGGATGCGCCTTGCCACTGATTTGACAATTGTCAAGATATGATCCCCAATTTTCGCTGTCGCCTTTTCTTTCCCCAACACCTTGAGCAAGTTCCGGGTCCAATGCAGCGACTAGACTCGTCGATGCTCCAGCTCCCAACGTTCTCGGCTTGAATACGCTCTGCCTCAGCTTCGCAAAAGTCTCCTGGTCCTCCCGAGACATGTTCCGTCCTAATTCAGTCTCTATGACTCCTGGGTGCAATGAGACACTTAGGATCCCATATTTGTAGAATAAGCGGTTGTTGGCAGCAATGCTAAAAAGGACATTTGCAACCTTGCTGCGATTATACGCATCCAAAGGAACGAAAGATTCTTCTTTGATATTCGGACATCCACACATCGCAAACCACTGGTAGTCAGGCTGTTCTTCCAACGGCAGATCCTTATTTCTCTTCTCAAAATTGATGTCACTCCAGCGCATACCAGAGACCTGAGGTGAAGCAGCGCTGACATTGATTATGCGAGTAGCACCTTTGGGATTTAGCTCTGCAGCTCTGATGAGCTTTGGCATGATTAGACAAGCCAGTAGCCAGTATCCCAAGTGATTTGTTGCAAAGTGCAACTCAATGCCATCTTTGCTGAGTGTGCGCTCTTGAATGCCCATTATTCCAGCACTATTAATGACTATATCGATTGCGGGTATGTCTTTCCAGCTTATGACCGTGGCAGCTGCATCTCGGACCGATTGTTGGCTGGAAAGATCGACCTTAAGACCACGATAGTGTACATCGGGGAAGGCAGCCTTGAGATCATCGATGGATTGTTGAACTTTGCATGGGTCTCGACCGACAATTATGAGCATTGAGGGCGACTGGGAGGCCTAAAAGAAAAAGCGGAAGTCGCGTCAGCTAGATAGTTTTAACAAACGTTTCGAAATCGCATACAAAAGCCTGAGAGGTGGGAAATCCAATGCCACCGCGATTCACACCAGTAACCATGATCGTTTTACCACGTATTTCAGAGGGAAATGCCTCTGCGACCTCAATAGCTTCTGTATTTTCCGAAAATTCGGGATGGGTTGTAGCAGCCATTGTGTCAAATAGGTCGGAAACAACTAGGGTATGCTGGGCAGATTTGTGGAGGGAGAATGGGTATAGAGCTCGTGCTGGAGTCTTTTCTAATGCCTTCCAGTGAGGGATAGCCGTCCTATTTATGTTCTCGCAAGGCCGATCAGCGTAGCATCGTCAGTTGCGAAGTACATATTTCAGATGGCATCGCTATTTTTGACCAATGAGAGATTTCTTTCCCTTTTAGGTTAGTTAATGTTGCCCTGGCCAATGAGATAATGAATAAACATGTGGTCCCCGCTAGAGTTGCAGCTTTTAATTTCCCAAACTGACGATCAATCAATCAGTAAAGATACTGAAGGCACCGTCTAAGTTCTAAGAAAAGAAATTAGGTTGAGTTTGCAAGGCAGCGTGGGGGCATAAATAATACCCAGTTGACGAAATCAGAGTCCATCCATTCACGTATATCAGTCCAGTCTTCGACTGTATTTTCAGATTGAATCTCCGAGTTAGGCGGTTGAGCGGTAGCCGTACTGGACTGGATCCTGTGAAGACTTTTAATATACCAAACCATCCTTGATGGAGGTTGACTTACTGCAGATGGCAAAGTATTCGATATGACTTCGCGCACATTGCGCTTCGGCTGGAAAGACTCTCCATGCGCTGGGCTAGCCTTTGTATCGCCTCCCGATAGGGTTCCAGATCACCCGATGGCTTGTCGAGTAGGCATGAGTTGAGAGCCACGGCGGCATGAAGTACCTTCAGACCCGTCACTCCAGTCAATAGCCAAACAAAGCTTCGGAGCAATGGAGCTTCATATATCTGTTTATGAATTGAGATCAAAGCCATGGCAGAACTGAGGCATCTTTCTCTCGACTCTGGAAGAAAACACGGCGATTTCGTATGATGAAACGGGCGATGCAGAAGTAGGTAAAGATGATGCGCATAACTTTGCAAGACGCACCAATATCCGTATGCAGTTTGATCCAGGATATTTGGAGATCCATCAATCATATAAGTGGAGTCCCAATTTGCTTGCTCCTCGGCAATAGCGGAGTTGAACTTCTGTAAAGAGCTTTGATCAAGCCGCACGGGACCGGAGATATGGCGACAAATATGAGTAGAGAGCCGGAATAGACGAATCTTAGCCATCATGACCGACATCTGGGTGGGCTGGCTGAATGAATCAGCAATACCGCCTTCGGTAATGTCGAGATCATTGACATCAGCAGGCATCGTGGCCTTGATATCGAGTAAAAATGACATGTCAACATCCCTGAACAGAATTCCTTGGTATGTATGAAGCGTCAATAGACCAGCCCAGCAGCGCCGTCTTCTCTGGGTTTCTATGGGGTTCATCCCTCGAGAATCCGCATTGCACCGTAGTGCAATACCCATATTTAACGCCATGCCTAATAATGCCCATCCTTGATCTACGGATTCATTATGTGACAAGCTATAAATAAGCATCAACAGTGCCTCGAATGTGCTGAATTTGTGCCTGATGAAGAACTGATCCTGTAAGAGACAAGTCATTGACGCTTGTAAAAGTCTGCGAGACACAGATGTGGTCGTGAAATCTTGGGCGGAGCTGTCGGAAATGGTTGGCCAGATGTATAGCAGCCTTGGATCGCTTATGTCCATCGTGTTCAGTGCTAGAGAGCACATTGAGAAAAGTAGAGCCAGCCAAGGAAGATCGACTTGACGGGACTGAGGTTGTTGTGTAAAAAAGGCCGCGTACTGAGACTGAAAGGTTGGGCCATGGAGAATTGGAAACAAAGGATGTATTAGTTGGAAGAAATGAGAAATCAAATAATCACAACAGGCTTTTGGCGGTAGGGGATTAATGAGTTCTTGCAAAGGCAGGCGTGGACCTGTTGAGAGAGGCGACATTGTGCCCTGGGTGCCATCTTCTGGCGCAGGTCTTTCGAGCACCGTTTCCCAGTGACTATCGGAGAGTACTTCACTTGCGTCTGGGACCAGCGAACGATTATTTGGCCCCGAGGATGTACCAGTGACGATATTCTCACCTAACGGTGAAGATCGTAACTCCGCGGTATTGCTTTTCGACAGCGGAGTTGCGGGGGTTCGGTGATGGCTTCTCGTCTGAGAAATTCCAGATGGAACCTCGTAAATACAGGCATCGCCACGGTTGCGTCGCTTACAAGTAGCACACGGATGTTGGCGGTCGCACTTCAATTTAGAGCGTCGACATTGCTCGCAATTCACGGGTTTGCGTTTCCGGCGATAGACCCCAGGGCTATGACCTACTGGTGTTGTAGGATGTGGCAGACTATGGCTCATTGCTCGCTAAAAGGAAGGCAGACGAATCTGAATGGCGAAGACCGACGCGTATCGAAGATGTTGGTCGGAGATAGCAGAACTTCAGTTGAAGGCAGGGAAGTCGGAGAAATGTGGATCGTCTCGCCACGCATTCCAAAGTGGCTCACGCGTTAAGTCCGACGCATCGGAGAAGACTGTATAGCACATATCTCGCTGTCAACAAATTTACGGAGATTAATATACTGAGAGTAATGACTCAGGACAGTAAAAATATAATTATGATGCATTTCAATGGAGAAAATAAGAAAATGAGGTTATCCAACGCCAACAGCTGTCGTGAAGTATCCTGGTCAGTCGGAGATATCGTCTCCACCTGGTGGCATCATCTCCGATGGTTGCATATCTTTTCAGGATCTAGACAAAAGTTGACTAATTGACGCTCTTTCTCACTTAGTGAGTCAAAATGGTTTGTTTAAATAAAAATCCGAGCCCCCAAACTAAAATTTAACCCTACCTCGATGCCCGTGTCTGTCTCCCACTACAATGGAGAGCTATTTTCAATACCGAAGAATACAAAAAGCTGTCCGCCAACAATTATCAGAGGTGAAGCAAAATTGTACTTGCATTGACTACACTGTCGGATGTTCCCACGATTCAAGGTGCGTTTGATCTCAGTAGAATCTGATTTCTGATTTCTGACATTTTCCGTTTAGTTGCAAATTGAATGTCCATAGCAATGACCGCAAGGACCTGGAAAAGCAGCCCCCTACAGAAGTCGCCACGCCTGATACTTTGATCCTCGTGGGCTGGGATGGCAAGGATGATCCTTTGAATCCTGCAAATCAAAGCGTTAAGCGGAAACTTTTCATGACCTTCCTGGTCTCTCTGATAGCACTTGCTGTAACTGCAGCATCTGCGATTGATGCTTGTGGCGTCAGGGAATATAGCGAATATTTCCAGATATCTGAGGTTGTTGGGTCACTCGCGACAGGTAGGCCACTCCTCCCTGGTAATATAGAGTAATGAGGTTTTCAGCTAACTTTTGAAACTTGATTAAAGGTCTCTTTCTCATTGGATTTGCCTGTGGCTCCTTGCTGTCTGGCCCCTTCTCCGAAACCTTCGGTCGCAATGCAATTTATCTTATTACGATGCTGATTTTCCTCATCTTTGTGATGGCATCGGGATTGGCTCCCAACCTTCAAAGTCACCTTGTTTTTCGCTTTTTTGCGGGATTCTTCGCCTCGACGCCGCTCAGTTGCGCCGGAGGCACTGTCGCAGATCTGTGGAACCCAGTCGAAAAAGCATACGCCTTTCCTCTCTATGCTATCCCCGCTTTCACAGGGCCGATGATCGGTCAAATTATCGGCAGCTATATCCCAACTACGTTAGGATGGAGGTGGCTGGAATGGATCATGCTCATCTTAGGAGGCCTAGTCTTGGTTGTGGTTCTTATATTCCAACCAGAAACTTATGGCAATCTTCTTCTCCTTTGGAAAGCAAAAACACTTCGAGAAGAAACAGGCGATAAAAGATACAGGGCTCCGATGGAGATGAAACGTGAAAGCCTGGGCCAGCGTTTGCGGATTTCCGTATCCCGACCCTTTGCGATGTTTTACTCAGAACTGATCATTATTCTGATGTCCCTATACCTCACTATTATGTATATTGTCCTCTTCACCTTCCTTGAGGGATATACCTACATTTTTGGGGAGGCATACGGCATCTCTGAAGGCTTGACTAGTCTTTGCTGGGCTGGAATGCTGATTGGCACTATACTCCCTGTCTGTGTGGTGCCGATTGTTTACAACTGGACCGTAAAGGAGTATAAACGTGGGAATGATTCGTTTATTGCGCCTGAGATGAGATTGTGGTATGCAATGCTTGGCGGTGCGCCAGCAGTACCGATCAGTTTATTCTGGATGGGATGGACAAGTAATGTGAGTCCTTGCATTCTTCCAGTCCCTTCAAAGCCCGATATCGCTAACCTTTCTTTTACTCAATATCTAGCCTTCAATTTCCATTTGGTCTCCCCTTGTCGCGTCCGTTTTCTTTGGCTACGGTATCACGACAATATTTTATCGTCGCATATATGTATCTCATCGATTCGTATGATACATACTCAGCGTCTGCCCTCGGTTTCTTGGTTTTCACGCGATACGTCGTCGCAGGGGGTGTCACTGTCGCCGGCGGTCCGATATACGAGGCGATAGGTGTCCAATACACGCTTACAATACTTGGGTCAATCAGTGCTGTTATGACCTGTGTGCCCTATCTTCTCTACATATATGGACCACAGATCAGAAAGCATAGCAAATATGCAGTGAATATTACGAGGACATGACACGGTCGAAGAAATTCAAGGCTGCTTTGAGATACAATAGTCAGCCCTGGTGAGTGAAGTGAGTCCAAACAATTATTCCAGTGGAATAAAAGGGCTTTGATTCACTATGGTTACCTAAAATACTTTTAGAATTTTGATTTTCAGACAGAGATATTGTCGCAATGTATTGATAAACACCTGATAGATAATTCATATTTTGACTTTTGCTCCGAAGTGAGCCCACGGGCGACCCTTTGAATCCTCAAATAAAATCATATAACAAAGATATTATTAGTTTCCGCTTTGTCCTATGAATGGGACAAAAATAAATGGCGGTTTCATTGCTCTACTTCCTTTATCACAGAACAATCATGCTATGAAATGAAAGAGTGCCCTCACACCATTCCAGGTAGACTTTGTGATGACTTAGTTCTATGTCCCGACACAAAACTATGGTATTTTACACATAGGATTTGGCTCGAGTCTTTAATCAAGCTTTTAAATTAGTCCACAAAGGTGAAAGACAAAGGGGTTATTTCCTTTGCCGAGGATCGGCTCTATTTCTGAATGCCGACCGCAGCCGCTCTCATTTATAACCCGGCTCGAGTTCGAGTCAAGACCCATCGATACTTATCTCAATTAAAGCACTCTGTCATAAATTATTACCATCATGTCGAAATTGTCGCCTACTCTTAAGGCCCTTATTAGCTCCCCGGCGGCACGCCCTTCCACAGTGCCCGCACCAGCGCACATTACTTCAGTCTATCAAGCTATCCGACAGACTGCCATCACCAAGCGCCTTTCGGAGTACTCATGGCTGGCATTATCGGTATGGATTAGTCCCATCCCATCTTTTAAGTTGTTTGTGCTAACTCAAATTTCTAGGCCGCTGCTACAATGACCATGAACTCCCCTGAATCTCTCGCCGCCCTATATCGGCTTGGGGCGACGTCTTCTGGGCCTGTGCAAACTGCCGAGTTGATTCGCGAGGTCGGACTGAAGTGCATCAGTTTCAACGGCATACCACGCACCATTAACTGCCTCAATGCATTCAAGGCCGATCTTCCGGACTCTGTGAGCAGCAAGCTCTCAACCACCCCGACCCGCGCCCCAGTTCCAACCAACATAACTAGTATTACTTGTCGCGGAATCTCATTATGGGACTCAATTTACCACCCATATGAGCGAAAGCTGTACAATAAACTGGCAGATTCCCACCCAGATCTCCCGATTCACATTTTGAACAGTCACTATGGTTCCTTGCTCTCTGATCCCGTCCGGTCCACCGGTGCGCAGGTTGGTCGTATTTTGACTTCGATCGTTGCGGTGTCATGCTTGCGTGCGCAATCAGGAGTTGGGCCTCAGGTAACCTCACATGTCTTTGGCTTGCGCAAGGCTCTAGAAGATGGGACTTGGAGCACTGATATTGAGACGGAGGAGGGAGCTCGATGGTTAGCGAGTGATGAGGGCAACACTTGGATCTTGAATAGTGTAGATTCGATTGTGGAGGCGATTGGAAATGGCCATGGATCAAATTTTGCACCTGGAAGGCAGTGATTACAGATGACGGTTATGGCGTTTCCTTATCTGCCTCCAATCCAGATGATACCTGGAGCGACTTTATTCAGCGGTTAAAGTAGTGCAAAATTTTAGACTTATACAAGACAGTTAACTATAGACGGGAATCTTGAATGTAGTTTTGTATTGAATAGCCACTATCGTACGATCTCTAGAGCACAATACAAGTCCAAAGTCTTTGTGCGGAGGCTAACTGATATCTGGTAGAAATCGATTCACTTCTTCCAACCTTCCCACCTTTCGAAAGCAGCTGTATCGAGATCAAACAAGTCCAACATCCTCCCCACACTGTGGTTGATCAAGTCTTCCACCAAAGATGGCTTGATGTAGAATGCCGGTACCGGTGGAAAAATAATAGCTCCAGCTTGTGTCACAGAGAGCATGTTTTGCAAGTGAATTGAGTTCAATGGTGTTTCTCTTACTGCAAGAACCAGTCTCCGCCGTTCTTTCAATATCACGTCGGCAGCACGAGAGATGAGGTCGTCACAAATTCCTGAGTTTATCGAAGCAAGTGTTTTCACACTGCATGGGACGACAATCATTCCATCCACCCGAAAGGATCCGCTTGCTATTGGAGCAGACATATCGTTGGCACTGTAGACATGGTCGGCAAGGGCCCGGATGTTGGGAATGGTGTAGTCGGTCTCGTATTTGATAGTAGCTTCAGCCCATTTGGAGATAATGAGATGTGTTTCGACATTGAGACTACGCAATGCAATGAGTGTTTGGATCCCTAATATTGATCCTGTTGCACCTGTGAGAGCAACGATGATTTTCCGCCGCGGTGGTGCAATATGTGTATTGGTTTCGGTTGGTGGTGCATGGTCGCCCCGGGATGTGAAGAAGTCCATAATGTAAAATTGGTAGCTAGAATTCACTGAGAGCAACCTCACGGGAGAATTTGATTCATGAAAAGAATGAAACCATGCTTGAAATAGGGGTTGCACAAGAGATAGTTCTCTCGCTCCAATTTGGGGAACCCCCGCTTCTCGAGAGGGCCATGCGAGCACCACCATCCAATGCCCCGTTAGCTAGAGCGCCTCTTAGGTAAATTTTGGACCTATTATTGTTTCTTGACCTCGCAAAGCTCCCTTTTATTGAATGCTTAGCGCAATAAATGGTCAGTTTCCTCTAAATTGGGGGTCCCATCTTCTTGGGACATGCCCCAATTTGGGGTAATATACTGTCCCTCCGACGTCACAAATAGAGACCAAATTCCTCATCCGTGCAGATATTACTATTTGTGAAACCTTGCATAAAGCAGAGTATTGCTCTTCTTCGGCCGCTCTTTCATTTTGAGCTATTTTCCCACCATGGCTACTCGAACCGCAGCGGGGGACCTCCGACAGTTCCTCAAAGAGCTGCACGATGAGAACGACCTTCTTATCGTCAAGAAAGAGGTTGATCCTGCTATGGAATTAGCGGCTATAACACGGAGGGTCTATGAGACTGAAGAAAAAGCCCCTCTCTTCGAGAACATCAAGGGTCGAGAAGGAAACGGCCTCTTTCGCGTGCTCGGAGCACCAGTTGGACTCAGTCGCGTTCCCGGCCAGAGATTTGGTCGGATCGCGAAGTCCCTCGGCTTACCCTCCAAAGCATCAGGAAGTAAAATTATCGCCAAGATCAATACGGCTAGAAGCCTTCAACCGCTAGAGCCAAAAGAGGTCTCGACTGGTCCTGTGAAAGAGCATAAGCTTTTCGGAGACGATATCGATTTGACTGCCCTTCCGACCCCTTTGTTACATCAACATGATGGAGGAAAGTTTCTCGAGACCTTTGGTATGCACATTGTGCAAACACCGGATGGAAGTTGGACGAATTGGTCGATCACTCGCGGCATGGTTCACGATAAGCGCAACCTTGTCGGTCCTATTATCCCCAAGCAAGATATCGGCATCATCTATCAGATGTGGAAAGATAAAGGCGAAGATATGCCTTGGGCATTATGCTTTGGCGTACCCCCAGCTGCAATCATGGTCGGTGGTATGCCGATACCGAAGTGGACCGACGAAGCTGGATTCATCGGTGCACTGGTTGGAAACCCCCTTGAAGTCGTGAAGTGCGAAACAAACGATATCCGAGTTCCAGCAAATGCCGAGTTTGTATTCGAGGGAACTGTCTCAATCACCGAAACTGCTCCCGAGGGCCCTATGATGGAATACCATGGGCATGTTTGGCCGAACAAATCTAAGCCGTGCCCTCTTTTCAAAGTGAATGCCCTCACCTACCGCGAGGACCCGATTTTGCCGATCTGTATAACTGGAAGGTCAACTGAGGAAAGTCACACAGTGTGGGCTGTGATGATCGTTGCGGAAGTCTTGCATATTTGTCAAAGCGCAGGTTTGCCTATCCAGAATGCTTGGTGTCCCTTTGAATCTCATGCCATATCGTATGTCTTGCAAGTGGACCGCAAAAAGCTGTTGGAAATGAAAACAAACATGTCCGAATTTTCCAACAAAGTCGGCCATGTGGTATTTGGCTCGAAGCCGGGTTGGTACATGGGCAAGATTTTCTTGGTTGGGGAAGACGTTGACCCAACGGACCTCCGTGACGTTATCTGGGCCGAGTCAACACGCTGCGAGCCTGGGACAAGCGAGTTCCTGTTTGACGAATATGGAAACATTCCGCTGATTCCTTATGTGGGATACGGAACCAAGCCGGAGCGCAATCACAAAAAGGTCGTCAAATGTTGTATGCTACCTTCGGAATTCGAAGACGAGGAACTTTCTTGGAAAGTGGGCTCTTTTTGGGGGTCTTACCCCAAGGATGTTCAGGATAAAGTGGAGCGCGACTGGGTGAAGTATGGATTCGAAAGTCTGTGATACCACTTGGGTATAGCAGCTGCTACACAGTAGAGATACCACTGGGGAACCTCAACATCAGACCATCATGAGGGAAGTTGACTGTAGATAGAAAGACTTGATAATTACTAAATTCAAAGTCGAGGGATCCTGGTGATTCAGTCCATCTCATTTCAATCCCAATGACTTGTCGCGGGACTTTGAATATCATGAACTGCATGTCTTTGTCCAAATATCAGCAAGATTATATCGTAGTACAACGCGCGTCAGAGCTCCATTTGTACCTTTACTCACATGATTATCCGTGAATCCGTCATCGCATCTTCATAGTGCCACATCCCCACTTTCCTCGTAAAAGATTATCCAAGTCCTCGTTTCCCCCCACTGACTCATCCCCCAGATTTGAATCTTACATCAAACCCCGCAGGTATCCAAACCTCATCCAAAATCCTCTGAATTGAATATTATGAACAAATTTCCATACAATATGGCACAGACCACTCGTTCCTCAACCCACGACGCCTATGATGCCCGCCCAAGGGACAACGATCCCCGCCCGGCCGCGGTGGATGACTACTTCAAAGCACATCTCCATGCAGCAAGCTACAACGATAGCTTAGAAGTAATCCGCAACAACTCTCTGGTCGCAGGTCTCCCGGACATAGCTTGTTCTCCATCACAAGCCAAACTACTCATGCTTCAGGCCCGTATGTGCAATGCAAAGCGTATCCTTGAGGTTGGCACACTGGGCGGGTACAGTGCCGCGTGGTTTGCGACCACTAGTCCCGAGACGAAAGTGACTACCATCGAGTTGGATAGTCATTTCGCCGAGGTAGCGCGGCAAAACCTCGAGAAAGCTGGATTGATCGACAGAGTTGAGATCCTGCAAGGATTAGCAGTTGATGTTCTTCGGGGTATTGAGGAACAAGTTCAAAGAGGGGATAGGGAGAAGTTCGACTTTGTGTTTATTGATGCGAATAAGCAGGACAATCTGGTGTATTTCAAGGCCGCGATGGGTATTACCAGGGAAAGGGCGGTTATCGTTGTTGATAATGTTGTGAGGAATGGAAAGGTTTCTTCTGCCGAGGAAGCTGAGAAGGATGATCGCATCAAGGGAACAAGGGAGTTGGTTGAGGCAATTGGGAAGTTGGATGCAGTTGACGCAACAGCAATTCAGACAGTGGGAGAAAAGAACTATGATGGGTTTCTGGTTGCAATGAGGAAATAAACCAGTTTACTGATCGCTTACGTGTTGCAGTTAGTGAGTGAAGGTGCCCATGAAGACAATAGGCCTGTGTTTGAGTCAAATCATTGAAAAATATCCATAAAAGAATCCATGCTGCTTCATGTGAATCACTGTAGACCAATCCCCAGCGCGAGCTAAAAATAATAAGAAAATCTTTATACAGTCATATGCAAATACATTCATGTCATCTCCATCTTTACTCCATAATTTCCAACGAGTCAGCAATGGTGAACTTGGCGTCTGTCTTTTGCTGCACCTCTTCAACCTCCACACCCGGCGCCAGTTCAGTCAAGGTGAGCTCGCCGGTGGCCCGGTTCACTTGGAATACACACTGTAAAACGTTGTTAGTTTCGAGACTCGACTCTCCCGCTAGGAAGGTAACATACCAAATCTGTGATAATTGTGCTGACTACATTGGCTCCAGTTAGCGGCAGGCTACACTTCTGTACAATCTTGGGTGACCCATCCTTGGCCACATGGCTTGTTGCGACCACAATCTTGGTTTGGTCTGGGTTGGAGATAAGATCCATAGCGCCACCCATGCCCTTGAATACCTTGCCAGGGATCATGTAGTTCGCCAAGTCACCGTTGGCGCTTACTTGCAGAGCCTGAAGAAATATTAGCTGAAGGATCCAGATGATAAATTCGGTTTACTTACTCCGAGGATCGACACATCAACGTGACCACCGCGAATCATGCCAAATGATTCAGTGCTATCAAATGTAGCGGCACCGGGAACCAAAGTCACGGTTTCCTTTCCTGCATTGATGATGTCCCTGTGGCATTGTGAGAAAATGGTTTGTGCATGAACGAAAAAATTAACTTACGGATCGACCTCGTCCTTGGTTGGATACGCCCCCTGTTCAAGTTAGCTGCCATACATCCTTGTTTCGTCGATATATCACTTACCATGCCTAGAATTCCATTCTCAGACTGGATCCACACCTTAACATCCTTAGGTAGGAATGACGGCGCGAAGAGTGGGAATTCCTGTTGGCCATGATTAGAGTGATTAAGATCATCATGGGTGGTCGATACATACCAACACCAAGATTCACATAGAATCCTTGCTTCAGCTCCTTAGCCGCGCGACGACCAATCCGCTCTCGTTCGATTTGTGCAGCATTCTTGGTAGATCCAGACTCGGCAGAATCCTCGGCCTCTCGGAGCTTCATGATCTCGACATGCTTCTCGTCCGTGGCGGGAACTATACGGTCCACAAAGATACCGGGTAGGTCGACATCATTTGGGTCGATGGAACCAAGAGGAACGATGTTTTCCGCTTCCACAATGGTCAACGTGGCTGCCTTCGCCATGATCGGGCCGAAAGCCTTGGTAGTGTATCTGGTTGATGTAAGTCTTGTTTCCTTTCTGAACTCGGGGAAAGTACCTACCGGAAAACACAGTTTCCAGCCTCATCGGCCTTCCATGCCCGCAATATAGCCACATCTCCAGTCAATGCCGTCTCCATGAGGTATGTCTTGCCATTGAAGTCGCGGGTCTCGCGGGGCTTGCCCGATTCCAGGACCTTGCCTGATTCATCCATGCGAACAGGAATCTTTCCTTCTTGTATATAGGTGTCTGAAAAATCCGTTAGGTTTATAAATATGCTATGCTCGGCTCGATATCACTTACGAACACCGGTCGGAGTGAAGAATGCTGGAATTCCGGCGCCGCCTGCGCGCAGGCGTTCTGCCAAGGTGCCTTGGGGGCAGAGTTCGATGGCGATATTTCCTGAGAGGTACTTTTTCTCCAATGCTTTGTTATTTCCCAAGTAGGACAGGACCAGTCGGTCTATTTGGCCATTGTGTGACAAGGTTGAGAGGCCTCCTTTGCCGGCGGCACCGGCATTATTTGATACAGCAGTCAAAGAGTGTAGTTGATCGACGCCTCGACGGTGCATGGCATTGATCAGCGTTTCTAGAGGCAGAAAGAGATCCAATTAGCATTTGGTCTCTTGGATATGCTCCCCACTATCTGGAGAAGAACATTGTTATCCGAGACCTGACTGACCTGCAACACCGCAAAGTCCAAAGCCTGAGCTGAGGATGGTGGATCCGCTCTTAATATCACGCACCGCAGCATCTGCGTCAGGGAATAGTTTGGAGCCACCGCGCTCAATTTTGGGAGCGAGAGAAGGGGTCGGGGCCGCGGTAGAGTATTTGGATGCGAATGAGGGGACGCGCGAGATCGGACGCGCGGCACGAAGTCCGATATAGAGTCGTGGCCGGCATGTTGCGAGGGCTTTGCGCGATAATGCCGTAGAGGTGATTCGGACGGTCGCCATGTTGGAAATGATATATGATCGAGGGGAAAATGCAGAGAGACAAGAGCGAAACTCGATGGTAATTAAAGAATTCGAAAAGGCCGAGGAGGAAGCCGGTTCGGAGCTACTTCTGCAGCCGAACTGACGTCAGCGAGAAGTAGAGAGTAATGCTGTAAGGCTGTAAGGCAGGGATGCAAGAACCAAGCGGGCAGAAAAGTAGCAGGTATTGATTTGTGAGCCTGGTCCACAGGGTCCAAATGTAATCAACCTTTCCAATTATAATTGTGGTGATTGTGATGTTTCCTATGATTTCGGAGCGCGGGGATGGATAGTGTCACGTGATGTGTATGGCTGATCTTGAGTCACATGATCAGGACGATCGCATTCAGGCACTAAGGCGCCAAGGCACCAAGGCACAAGGCAGAAATATCATTCTGCCTCGGCACAAGTGATGAGGGGAGATACGAGTATATCCGTAAATCTAGATAATCTAGTGGACCATACACTCAACGTATACTGTACTATGTAGTCCCCTGGAAATATTCTAGTATACTCGGTAAACTACACTATCGCCAGTACTCAAGTATGCCAGTAATGCTTGCAATGTCACTGGCTGCGGGTTTCCCGAGTCGGCCGAGAGCCCCAGCTTTGCGATTTCTCCCCCGGACTCCTTTAGCCCGAGCTTCCTAACGTCACCATCTTCACTTATTGCCTCTTTTTTTCTTCTTTTCCTCCATTCCTCTCTCCTCCTCCCCTCTACCTGTATACCCATATACTCACACACCCATACACCCACCATGAGTCAAGGGAAACTCACCGGCGCCGCCGTCGCCGAGCACAACTCCAAGAATTCCTGCTGGGTCATCGTTCATGGCAAGGCCTACGATGTCACCGAATTCCTCCCAGGTATGCTTGCATGCACCTGGGCACTACATGTCTCGCGATATTCTATTCCCCTGCTAACCGCCCCCAGAACACCCCGGCGGCCAGAAGATCATCCTCAAGTACGCCGGCAAAGATGCGACCGAAGCATACGAACCAATTCATCCCCCAGACACCCTTGACAAGTTCCTCGACCCGTCGAAACACCTCGGTCAGGTCGACATGACCACCGTCGAGCAAGAAGAGAAGGAATTTGATCCTGAGGAAGCGGGCCGCCTGGAGCGAGTCAACCGCATGCCCCCACTGGCCGCTTGCTACAACCTGATGGACTTTGAGGCTGTTGCCCGTCAAGTTATGAAGAAGACTGCCTGGGCCTACTACTCCAGCGGTGCTGATGATGAAATTGTACGCACAATCCCACCCCTCCCCTTCCTCCGTTTCCCAATTTGCGTTGCGTGGCTATATACTGACCATTTCAGACGATGCGAGAGAACCACGCCGCTTTCCACAAGATCTGGTTCCGCCCACGAATCCTAGTCGACGTCGAGCACATCGATATGTCAACAACAATGCTTGGAACAAAATGCGATATCCCCTTCTATGTCACAGCCACCGCTCTGGGCAAACTGGGCCATGCCGAGGGCGAAGTCGTTCTCACCCGCGCCGCACGCCGCCACAACGTCGTCCAAATGATTCCCACACTAGCCTCGTGCTCATTCGATGAAATCGTTGACGCCAAGGAAGGCGACCAGGTTCAATGGCTACAGCTATACGTGAACAAGGACCGCGCAATCACAAAGAAGATTGTCGAGCACGCCGAGAAGCGCGGGTGCAAGGGTCTCTTTATCACCGTCGATGCGCCGCAACTCGGCCGTCGCGAGAAGGACATGCGATCCAAGTTCTCTGATGCCGGCTCCGACGTTCAATCCGGTGACGGCTCCGTTGATCGATCCCAGGGTGCAGCCCGTGCTATCTCTTCCTTCATCGACCCCGCTCTCTCCTGGAAGGATATCCCTTGGTTCAAGTCCATCACCCGCATGCCGATTATCTTGAAGGGTGTCCAGCGTGTCGAGGATGTGCTCCGCGCCGTCGAGGCTGGTGTCGACGGTGTAGTCCTTTCCAACCACGGTGGTCGTCAGCTCGAGACTGCGCCTTCAGGAATTGAAGTCCTGGCTGAAGTCATGCCGGCCCTCCGCGAGCGCGGCTGGGACAAGCGCATCGAGGTCTTCGTTGATGGCGGTGTGCGTCGCGCAACCGATATCCTCAAGGCCCTGTGCCTCGGCGCCAAGGGCGTTGGTATCGGTCGACCTTTCCTGTATGCCATGTCCGCTTACGGATTAGAGGGTGTCGATCGCGCGATGCAATTGTTGAAGGACGAGATGGAAATGAACATGCGTCTTATTGGCGCGACGCGAGTTGAGGATTTGAATCCTAGTTTGCTCGATACCCGTGCCCTGCTTGCTGGACACGCTGGCGTAATTCCTTCCGATACTCTGGGCCTTCGTGCCTACGATCCACTGGAGGCGCCTCGCTTTAACGAGAAGCCTAAATTGTAAGAAAAAATAAGCCTGGCGTGGGCGTTGTGTTTTTGTTGAATATTTTATCCCGACTGCTGGGGTCGACTGCATGTTGGATACGTCGAAGTCGGAAACCTACCTAGGTAGTATATATATCCATATACCCAATCAATCAAGACTCATGATATTAGAACAGAAATTTCTTTCTTAATACCTAGCACCAGGGCAGCTAGGAAATAGTCCAGAGACATTGTAATCACATGTGAATAATATTCTGACAGTATTATTAGTAGCAGGAACCTTCAAGTTGGAATATTAGTTCGTGACTCTTTCAACTTGAAGTTGCAACTGCATGCTTTTGCAGGAATTATGTGTGTAGGCTATTATATCAAAAAACGCACAAAAATTACTCAACCTTCGCTCTTGTGGCGCAGTTGGTAGCGCGCCAGACTTCTATAAAGGAGTACATCTGGTGGTCCAGGGTTCGAGCCCCTGCTGGAGCTTTTTGCACCTCTTAACTCCGTTCGGTCTGAGTGGTGCTTTTTTTTTTTGCTTTCATCGCCGCCACTAGTAGTTATAAGTTTGCCTGAGTGATGAATAAGGGAAAATTAGTGATGTGGTGGTGAGAGCGTAAAGCTGTTTACAAAGGACGGAAGCACGGCAACCTGGAGGCCGCAGCGCTACAGGCACCCACGCCTCAACAACTTCAAGCTTGTTTCTCACTATTTTTTAGTCTATACAGTATGATCTTCACTAATTCGCAGTGTGGTTCAGGTTGCATATATCTTAGTAATATAAATTATAAAGCCGTAGTAGTGCTATATACTTTGCTATATACTTGAAGGCAAGCCCCCAAAAAGGTTGCCATCCCAAGGCTCCGTGCCGCTGTAATCAAGATTATCAAACCAGCCACCCAGATCCAACGGCTGGAGAAGATTAGCAAATGAGTCGTATAGAACGAAGTCGGTCGATGCTTCACATACCGTAAAATCACCCAAGTCTGCAGAAAAAAGGGAAGGAAGATCAAAGTCATTCGATATCCCTGACGCTGGAGTCGTGCTTGCAGGCAGTACTGGCGTCTGAAACGTCAAGTCAGTCAGAGGCTGCATGAGCAAAGCTTTGATCCGGCAGGGACTCACCTGGCCAGCCTGGCGGTCGGCAATGATTAAAGCATCTGCATACGAGACGCCATTCAATAATGTCCGGCAAACTCTAACTGCTCTCTTCGACGACGCTTCAACGTTGACCATTGGGTCCTCCCCCTTGATACGCGACTTGACCGATGCTAGAATAAGGGTCAAGAAAAAGTACGGCTTGCAACCCTTGCCACTGGGGCCGATGCGTCGTCCGAAATCATTCATGGTTCGATCCACAGCTTGCAGCATGACGCTTTGTTGAGACTGAACCATACTCATCAAGACACTGGAGTTTACGCCTTCCATTGTCGGTCCAAGAGATTGGCTCATTTCTTGCGCCTGGAGTGAAAGTTCCACGCAAACTGTTATCGCGGCGTGAAATATCTCATCCCGGAACATCCCACTTCCCAATTGAGTGATGTGCGGGTACTGGATGCTTTGGGGGGATGGGGGAAGTTCCATTTGAGACAACATGTCCAGAGAAACTTCCAAGCATACCTTTCGAGAATACGAACATTTTGGGAGACGCGCCACGCTGAGCGAGAACGGGCGATGCAAAGCGAGGAGGAATTTTCTCATCAAGAATAGATGTAGAGACTGGGCGAACCGATGACGTGCCGTTTTAATCGGGTCGATGTCTGGTGTGTGATCGTCAAACAACGATGAAGCATGTTTTGTCGACCGGAGAAGCTCTTCTCCCATGCGCAGGGCATCGTCATAGGACAGGTTGAAGTTGAGGGTATTGATCTTGCGGGCGATTCGATATCGCAGGGGTAATGTTTTTACCAGGATTGTCTGGTAGAAGTTTTGACTAGTATTTGTCAAGGTAGATTCGGTAGGGCTGTGTTCCATCTTCTCGAACATTTCGTTATCATCCCAGTTTGACGGTGCGTCGCAATCGCACTCGTCCAGGTCCACAGATGGCGGCACACCGCGATCGAGGGATATTTTCAGATCCAGCTCTACAATGGTCATCCAAAGCCTCCGGCGAAGTTCGGCCCAGAATGGCGACATGGCTTTGCGAAATCGTGACGGATCCCGATTCAGCCCCATTGTGATGGCAGATCGGATCAAAGATCCAGAGGAAGCCCAGGCAACATCTCCGTCCCCGGCGACCCCGAGTCGTGCAACCAGTAATAGACATTGAGTCTGGATCATCTTGAAGTCAATACTCGGACTGACAAAGGTACAAGAGATATAGGACTGCACGGCCATGATCCACTTCATTGCTGGATTCTGGTAAGAATCTCGGTCATCCCGCTCTGCAGATGGTGTATAGAAGCAGCTCCCTGCTGCCATCACAGCGAGTAGTTGAGCGATGAATGATGAATCTGATTTCTGGCCAGTCGCCCAGTAGTCGGCATATTGCTTCAAGAACGTGGGAATATGTAGGATGCGAAATGTGGTCTCAAAGGTGTCCAGATATAAGCCAAGAAGCTGGTCGGCCACTTCTCGTGAAGGAACCATCTCGTCCAATTTGAAAGCTTGCTCTCGAAAAGCGCTCTGGTGGTCCTTGCTTTCTCGGGACCATAAGTCACATTTGAACTTTTTCATGTCGGTGTATTCGGCATCTTTGCAGTTGTTGCGGCCACGCCGTAGGAAAGACCCAATGTCTTGGAACTGTAGTCTCGGTTAGTATTGATTCGTTGATATTGAATTTTTCCAAAGGGATGGGGTTAGATACTCACAAAGGATACCGTTGTCGTATAATGGCTTCGACCAAAGTAGCGTGTCTTGCCCTTTTTGCCTCGGAAACTCGAATCAGGCAAGAAGCGCACTCTATCATCAACACCCAGCGCATCTGAGCTATTCTGAGAGGTGGTGATTTCGGAGTATACATCGGAGATGGAAGTTTCGGGAGTCTGTAGGACATTCGATTTCCCGAGGCTTTTTTTCTAGCATTCTCATGCGGTTCCGAAGCTCCTGAAGCTCGTTGGAGCTACTGGCTTTCTGGTTACTTTTGGACACACGATTAGAGCTTGATTTCGGCCCTAGTTTGGCATCAAAAACAAACATGCCCCCTGACGTTTGGGACTGGTCGTCGTGGCCATTAGGCAGACGGGTGCGCGATAGAGGCGGCGACATGCGATGCGAAGACTCCGAGCTAGTCACTGGTTGCGGACCAACAAAGACACAGCAGTCGGCAGTCTTTGAGCGAATACATTGGCCACATGGTAGCGACCGATCACATTTGAGCTTACGTCGTCGACATTCGGTGCATGAGAGTGGGGGTCGGCGTCGTCGCTGCACCATTCTCGCGGGGTCACCGCTCTCTTCGTGGTGGAAGTCATGATGGTCGGCCATATCGGTTCATTTATAAACTGAGAGGGAGAAGATGGGAGAAAGTTTTCGTGCGATTCCAGAGCTCAAATCCCCCGAAATGCGCATCTGTTGGGGTGAGGAGTAGAGCACTAAGACTTGATGCTGCTGACGTGGAAAATGACACGGAGTCTGCTCCCGAGCGTTTTTAGCTCTGATTGCGTCTGGGATTTTTTGTGAGGAACAGTTGTATCGAAGGAAAAAAATTGAACAAAGAACTGAGGGAGAAGGGAGGAGAGATGAAGTGAAGGAAGTAGAAGTAAAAAAGTATACGAGTAGTTTAAAGAGTCAATCTCCGGAGTTAACGAGGAAGCCGCGTCTCGGGTATTTCCCCATTCGGAAATAATGCCAAGCCCCGAAGATTCTGAAGGCAGGCACGCCAAGTGAGCATCTGATAAGGAAGGAAGGAACGAGGGGAGTTCAGATGGCCAATGGGATAAGCTTATTTGGACGTAGATCTTATATCTATATTTATATCTATGTCTACCTTCTTATTTTCATCTCCATTGGATATATGAGTAGTAGTAGATCGAAGTGGGGGGTACCCGAATTGACCGATACGAGCGAGTTTGCCGAATTCCCCGACACTCACCATCTTCATATAATTATCGTAATAGTTATATCGGTGTGAAGTCCGCAAGGTGGATATATTTCAATTTTCCCCCTTATTTCCCTTTTCTCCCTGCCCAACTCTTCTTTCGTACGCAGCAATTGGCATTTTTCGCATTCCACGGCTGCCTGGTGTCAACTCCATCCTGTTAACCCCGACCGTTCGGACTTAGTTACTGGATCGCACCCGCCTAAGCTTTTCCCACCCCCTTCATCGCCCCTCCGACCCAACCCTACTACTAGTACTAGTAGTACTACCCTCAATCAGCTTGAATCATGTCAGAAGTAACTCAATCGCCATCGGGCGGTGGGCGCTTCCTGACCAATGCTCTCGAGGAGCTGGGTCTTATCGCCATGTGGCAGTCGTCGCGCGACGTTAAGTTCCTATGTGCTCAGCGGTTCGTGCGCCTATTCGCCTACGGAGGCTCGACTTTAGTCCTTGCTTCGTATCTGTCTGCCATGGGTATTGCAGATGATAAAATCGGTCTTTTCATGACCCTCACCTTGGTCGGAGATGTCGCTATCAGTTTTTTCCTCACTCTCTTCGCTGACTCCATGGGCCGCAAAGCGGTCCTGGCCCTGGGTTCCGTTATGATGGCCTGCAGTGGTATCGTATTTGCGCTCTTTGGAAATTATTGGATCCTCCTAGCTGCCGCTGTATTCGGAGTAATTAGCCCCAGGTACGTTCCCCTCCTCTTTCCCAATTTTCCCTGCAAACCCTTAACACGTATCTAGTGGCAATGAAATTGGACCCTTCCGTGCCGTGGAAGAATCTACTTTGGCGCATCTTACACCTAAAGAGAACCTCAGCGACGTTTTCGCATGGTACTCCTTGGTCGGCACGGCTGGCACAGCTCTCGGTCAGCTTGTATGTGGCTGGACGATCAGCTCTCTCCAATCCTTGCATGGTTGGGCATTCATCCCGTCATGCCGCATTATATTCTTCGCCTACGCGGGTGTTGGCGCGGTCAAATTGATTCTCACTCTGGCTCTGAGCAGAAAGGTGGAAGCTGAAGAAAAGCAGTCTGAGTCACAGCAGCAGGGTGAGACGCAACCGTTGCTCGCGGACTCCAGTCCTTCGCAAGGACCAGCAGCGCCAAAGTCTAAAAAATCCATATTTGCGTCTCTCGATAAGGATTTGTGGTCGCTCATGATCAGCTTGTTCATCTTGTTCGGACTCGATGCATTCGCATCCGGATTGGCCTCGCTGTAAGTGATATTTCACATCCTCGAATTTTCAAATCACTAATCTCTGTAGATCCTGGATGACATACTTCTTCCGTCGCAAGTTTAGCCTTCCCGAAGGTGAACTTGGTACTATATTTTTCTTCACAAGTATCATTTCCGCGGCGTCCATGCTGGTGGCATCGTCGATTGCCAAGCGTATCGGCAACGTCAAGGTTCGTGATTCACCGAGCTTCAGCGTATCCTTTTTGATAGTTGGCTAATCAATGTGCTAGACGATGGTTTTCACACATCTTCCATCCGCAATTTGCCTGTCACTTATCTCTGTGCCAAACAATCTACCCTTGGCCTTGACATTCCTTGTCCTCAGGGCTTGCTCACAGAGCATGGATGTGGCCCCGCGTTCAGCATTCCTCGCAGCGGCCTTGCCATCTGATAAGCGCACAGCGATTATGGGCGCAGTCAATGTTGTCAAGACAACCACTCAAAGCCTTGGGCCACTTCTGACTGGAATATTGGCCCGCAACAATATGTTCGGTGTCTCTTTTATTATTGCGGGTTGCTTGAAGGTCGTCTACGACCTCGGTATGCTTTTCACTTTTGCTGGCAAGGAGGTCGAAAAGAGGAAGCAAGCTGCGCAAGAAAATGACGAGGAGGGTCAATAAGTTCCTAGTCTATATCCAGGCCTACTCGAGGACAGTGGAGGCCATTGTGTCTATTTTCCCTTCTTTAGATCTACCCTTAAAAGTGACGTCATTACAGTAAATGATATAATCATGTCTCGAGGCAATCAAATTCCATATTAGAGCTCGAAAAACTCATAGATGCTTCCTCAGAGCCCTGTTCCATGCTTTTCGTACGTCTACGCAGCTAATGATTACCGAGAAAGCTGCTCATTTTTCTCCCAAAACTTTTGAAATACAAGTCTAAGTCACTTCCCTACGAGGCACCCTATAAAACCCCATCGCAGGTTGATTTCGAAACTTGTATTTTAAGGAAGCATTTATGAATTTCCCACACATCCTCCTTCTATAATGTAAGTTCTAAGGATATCTATTGTTCGAAATTCCCCCCGAATGGTGCAATGTCATGCTTTGAAGCAGCCCACTGTCTATTTTGGAGTGGCTCCCGCATGTGTGGTGGCAGAGCTGTTTGAGTAAAGATGATAAGTTCTAGAAAAGCCGGCTGGTCCTTCGAGTTCCAAAGTAATGATTGAGCTTTCGTCACTCGTCTCGGATGTTGACTGATGAACGGGCCTGCTTTCGCCAGGAATGCTTCTGAATTAAGTCAGCAATGTTCATCAAAGGAAGTAAACACGATCTGGGAGAGAAAAAAGGGTTCTGGCACTTACCTGATCCTGAAACTGTTTACTTTGCCAAATGTCTGAACAAACTAGTGTTGAAGTAAGTATATGTGTCTTAATAAACCCCATTGTACGGCTTGTCCACTTCGCGCTTGACTGACCTTCTCCACTGCTCCTCCAGGTCCAAAAAATGTATCAATTGCCCACTGCCATAGTATATTCAATCTATATGTATCATAACCTTTGCATTCAATACGGCTTTCCAATCTTCGGACACTCCTTTTGGACTCAGGCGTATTGTGTGCGTGAGAAGAATTTCGGACGGAGCTGAGCCCCTTGAATGCATAGGTAGCCTCCCTCAATAGAATAACGGGATCTGTTTCCCGTATATGAGCTATTTGGACCCAGGACCTAGGCTCGAGAGATGACTGAACAAAGGGAGAAAGGGGTCCACCCATCTCGATGGATGTATACTAGTAAGATATAGGGTAACAAACGGGCCTTCTGACAGAGCAAGACACTAAAGAGATACCCTCAGGGAATTGATATTTATAATGAAGTTGTAATTAGCGAAGTCTGTTTTGATAAATAGATTCATTATCTTGGAGATTAGGCGAACTAGCCCGTAGAACAATTGTTTGGGAATGTTCCTTGAGAAGAAGATTGTGGCGCTATGTCTTGGGACTTCTAAAATCGGAATTTGAAATTTCTCTGCACCACTGGCAGCTGGTAGGAAAATGGTTAGTTGGTTCCATACGGTTCAAAGAGGCCTTGAGAGAGTGGTGAAAGCTACTGTCAAAGACCCAGTTCTTATGAGCCGACAAAGAGAACATTCCCGCGAACCTCTGCATGGTTTCTATTCGAACTTCAGAATTCTCCCTACGATCCAAATTCATGTTTGGGTGAAACATGTTCTACTCTGTTTCCTTTGTTTGATCTTTGCACACGGCAATATTCAGACATCTCCAGAAAGCTCACAAGGGACCCGAAGTCATATTTCCACGGATCAAGACTGACGGATGATTCAGGTGATTATAATGGATATTCCTCAAATTACCTTTGTCATAACAAAGGTTTCCATTCTGGAGTCTGGACTAGTCTCAGACTAAGACCTCTATGTCCAGTGAGGCATCGTGATCTAGCGCATGCATGGTCTATTTCTACCATCCTGAGAGACAACCAGTAATCTTTCGATGTTTTATCCCATTGTTTCTATTTCTCATAGTGCTTTGATAGTTACTTTTGTAACTTGTTGTATAGTTAGTGTTGCCATACTCTTAGATATAGATGATGCCGACTAGTCCTAGTTGGGAACTATGGATTATGTAATCATGCGATTCTCCGCATCTCAGCTTCCCCTCGCGCCTTGGGGCTTCTTCCCTTCTCCCACCTCTTTGCATCTTTTTACACCGCTTCAAATCCATCAACCCACTATCGTATAGCACTATTGGACACAGCAGAATCACCATGGCTTGTGTAGGCCCTGGTGGCCCCCGGCCATGGCGTTCGCGGAATACATTCCTTTCATTCCTCACGCTTTCAGCCTTCTCCACTAGCCTTGGTTTCGCCCTAGCCCAACCCCCCACGCCTCCGCAGATCGCCCTAGCGGATCCACAACATATCACGGCCAGTCATGAGTTTGTAAGCTACCAGACGCTCCATGATTTGTACAAAGGAAGAAAACGCTAACTATATCCAGTCTCTCCGTCATGTCTTCCACAAATCCATGGACCCACGACACGATCGGTTCGATCGACTCGATGTGGGTCCAGACACTCGTCTCCAGCGCATATCCGATGACAGCAACGAGCCAGACCTTGAAATGGAACGCACACCCCTAGTTGCGCTCTCCAATCCGCTCATAATCCAGAGACTTGCAGATCGACGCAAAACGGCGATCGAAAGCCACCGGAAGGCTGCACATTCGGGATCACCCGCGGTCCTATCAGCCGAGGCATGGAATATGGATACATTATCAGGCCCGAATATCACAGACAAAAATACAATCCTGACTTTCGCGCGGATGACGGCCAACGATTATATCGAAGTTCCAGGATCAGAGGAATGGCAGAATGTTCGTGGCAAGTTCAACTACTCATCGAGCTTTGGTTGGAAAGGGGATGCTTTAAGAGGTCACGTATACAGCGACAAAACCAACGATACAGTTGTTATTTCCTTGAAAGGAACCTCGCCGGCTCTTTTTGATGGCTCGGGTACCACTACCAAAGATAAAGAAAATGATAATTTGTTCTTCAGCTGCTGTTGCGGGCAAGGAGGATCAATCCTCTGGCGAGAAGTCTGCGATTGCAAAACCGCCACCTATACAGCCAATTTGACCTGCATTATCGACGCTATGACTGACGAGAATCGATATTACGCTGCTGCAATTGATCTCTACTACAACGTCACCGAGATATACCCCGATTCCAATGTTTGGTTGACTGGTCATTCTTTAGGTGGCGCTATGACCAGCCTCCTTGGCTTGACATTTGGCCTCCCAGTGGTCACATTCGAGGCGGTCCCTGAAGCTTTGCCTGCCGCTCGACTGGGGCTACCCAGTCCGCCTGGATATGATCCCCGACTGCCACAGTCGCGAAAATATACAGGTGCTTTCCATTTCGGCCACACAGCTGATCCCGTATACATGGGCAGTTGCAACGGAATTAATTCCTTCTGTACATGGGGTGGTTATGCATTAGAGACTGCCTGTCACACTGGCCAACTGTGTACCTACGATACGGTAGCAGACAAAGGATGGGGGGTGAGCTTGACTAGGCATAGCATCCTGCCCGTGATTGCCGATGTTCTCGAGGCGTATGGCAGTGTGCCATCTTGTGCAGCGGAAGAGGAGTGTGTTGATTGCTTACTGTGGAAGTTCTTCCGGAGCAACGGCTCCGAAAGTACCACTTCCAGAACAACTTCGACGACCACGAGGATATCTACCACCACAAGTAGAACATCTACTTGCAAGACCCCCGGTTGGTGGGGCTGTCTCGACAAAACAACATCTACAACTATTACCGCGACAACAGCGACTTCATCGCCAACAGCTCCAAGAGCGACAACCGCCACAACGACTTCTACGCAAATGTCTAGCACTTCAAGTTCAACTCCGTCCAGCTCATACTGCGAAACCCCCGGACTCTTCTGGGGGTGCTGGGACGAGCCGACTTCGACACCACCTATCACGTCTATGTCGTCTACTGCCCCAACAGAAACGCTCATCACCCCGGTTCCCACCCAACCCCCTGGCATTCCGATTTCCGCCCCATCGAGCTCACTCTGTCAGACACCTGGCATTTTCTGGGATGTTGGGATGAACCAACCCCTACCACCTCAGTCACATCCACATCCGCTGCATCCCCGAGCTCGGTTCCCTCAAAGCCGGAGTGTAAGATTCCTGGAATTTTCTGGGGATGCTGGGATTAAACTTCAGATTCAACACACGCTGCATCAGAGCTCATTCGGAACATATGCTTTTAGAAGTTCGAGGCTCCAGCCCACTCCCTGGTATATTGCAAAACCAGCGTCAACGAAATAATGACCAGCACGACGCAAATTTGCGATTCCTACTTTCGGCTCTGCTATCACCTGTATTTATGGGCACCATTCGCATGGAATGATTTGGGGTTTTCAAGGCTAGATTTGGGATGGCATACACTTTTGGAATCATGTTTTGTTTCTTTCACCTTTTTTCGGGATAATGATTATTGACAGTATCAGACTCTGAGACTTGGAGTTCTTCCGGGAAGCATATAATTTGAACCAGCTCCAATTCGGCTCGAGATGACTTAAAATTCTAGATACCCTTGACGGGAGATACTCTCACTAGTTACGGGATACACAGACTTGAACTAAATTAGAATTGGATTGCGAGGAGGTAAATTCAATGATCCGACATATTAGTACTACTCATTGCAGTGTCACCTGTTCCTTTTCTCAAATACAACCAATTGCGTAGGCACACATGAGAAACGATCTCTTTTGATCTCAATTGCCCCTTTCTCCGCACTGAGAATGAAATGGCGATTCACAGAAACAAGGAAAAGCTTCACGATAATATTTGCAAAGTTCTTGCCGAGACATTTCCTTGGACCCATTCCGTACCCAAGCCAGCTGTAGCGCGCCTGTCCTGTGGTAATCTTTAACCATCTTTCTGGTCGGAACTTGTGTCCCGTACCACCCCAGATGGGTGATGTTTTGTTGAGTCTTATGGTGTCGATAAGGATACTTGTCCCGGATGGAATCAGATATCCATCGATTCGCTTTTCGATTGCCGTGGCTTCAGCGAAAGTAAACCCTATTACCAAATCTTGTCAATCTGGGAGGTCCTCATCGCGAAATGTATCCATTGACGTACAAATTGGAGGGTTAGTTCGTAAGATCTCGAGGTACATCTTGTGGAGAAAGGTATCTTCACGTCGGGCATAGTTATCTGTTTCATCTTCCAAATTTGATACGCCTTGCACTTCTTCATGCAGCTTCTTTCCCGCCGTTGGACATTTGCCAGTGTTGATTAGAGCGTACGCGAACTGGGCTGATGTCACGTCTATGTTGGTAAAAAGGATTTCATCGAGGGACTGAAGATACTGTTTCGTCAAGTTAGTGCAATGCTAAACCCCAAGATGATGAATTTATATTCTGCATACCATATCCAACGTCAATTCTCCCGTTTCGACAATAGTGAACATACGTGACGCACGGCATGAGGTATTGTTCTGCTTAAGTTAAAAAATAATCAATAGCACCAAGGGTCTTGTACAACTGACTGCTCTAGCTGTAGTGACAATTTCCATATTAAATTTCTTCCATCCTTCTTCATACTCAGCAAATACCCTATTTGCTGCCGTCGGAAGCAGATGGTAGTATGGTATGTTCTCCCACGTGCCGAAGAATGTGTGCTGCGTAACGTGGTCATGTAGCTTATTAAGTTCCCATAAAGCATCGAAGCGCTGATATTGTTAGCAATACAGAATAGAAAATAATGTTTGAGTGTTCCTGTACTTACCTCGTCAGTCAGCATGGTTCCGTATAAGCACATAGCAATCATTCGAAATGGCAATTGCCTGCAAATAGCCACACTATCTGCGACAAATTTTGCTTCCTCAATCTGTTGTGATGCAGAATTTGTCGGTACTGTTTCTGCCCAGGCATCTAGAACGATGTTGAAATCTTGGATCATCGATGCAGCCTCTGTTGCCGAAAAGAACCTTTCCAGATGGTAGCGCGTCTGATGCCATCGCTGGCCACTTTGAACTCCGACACATTGCCCCAGACTCCTATCAAAGTAGGATCCAATGCTTTGAACCTGCTGTTTGGTATGAACTTGAAAGCCATAATTTAGTCACCATCTCGAAAATTGGAAATTTCATGCGCCGCAAGACTCACGCTTTCCGTCATCTTTGAAAAAGTCGCGCATTTGAGCCGGGGTATGCAGAACTAGTTCGAGCTTTGATTTATTTCGAACAAGATATGGCTCTTCACCACACATATCGCTCCCCGACTGAGATAACTCCTTTCTGTAATTAATTAGCTATGGTCTTTGATTCTGCAGTGAGGCTTTGTTACCCATGCGTAAACCGCGTATAGCGAGTCTCACCAGGTAACACCTTCATTTCTCTTCCATCAAAATGAGAAAAATAAAACGACTTAGGTCTTCGTTTGAATATTATTGGCGAAGATAGGAGGATTACAAAGCAACCGAGAGTCAAATGCCAGGCAGAAGCAAAAAGTATAGACTTAATGATAAATACTGTCACAGACGGGTCATCAAGCCCAATCTCATGTTCATCCTTCATGTTGTATGAAGCGTGTGGAGTGTGAAAGTTGCGCGGAGGAATTTCCAAAACGATTCGATTAGCGAAAGGAGTACTGCCAATATAATATCGCGATGGAAGGAATTTAAGTCAGATTATAATACAGAGAGGGGCTATATGTTTCAATCTAATATTTGCTTGGCGGCTATCCCGTCCTGGATCCAAGGTTTTTAATTTCTGTACCCGAACGGCATGGCCGAAGGAAAGAATGATAAATCTTCTACGGATGACATTGCAAGCCTGAAACCACCAGACATGGATGCTTATTCCCCATTTAGGTGAGATATACCGCCAAAATGGGCATAGACACTCCACAATTAACTTTCGGCCGGGAACTTTTGTAGATCAAGGTTGACCACGCTGACTGTGAATCCGACCTCGGCGCAAGAGGGATTTGTGCCAAGAGCCTCGTGCTCAGCTCTCGGGATGATATCTTTCTAATATTGGCCAACTGGAAAACCTTCGGCCGTTCGGGTTGTTTACGCTCCCGGTATAATACGATATGCAGACGAGAGAGCAGGTATAAAAGGGTGGGCTGAGATGATCTCACTCAACCACCGGCAAGATAATCGTCCGTATCTAAATCAAGGCACACATTTTGTTCAAAAATGGATTCGAACTCTAACCCTGTTCGTGAACTCGAGCTCCTTCGTGATTTGATTGTGTCCTCCGTTGATATCGTCAAGGCGACCATCACTGAGCATCAGGACCCACAGCTTACCCTTGATGCAATTGAGGAGCATCCAATTTTTCAGCGAGAAAACCAGGCTGTCTCCTATGCATTGAAGACTATTGGATCTGCAGGGCAGATGCTGCGTGCTCTTTGTGATCCGCATATCTACCTCAACGACTTCACATACGGATACCATGACCAGACCTCTCTTCTCGTCGCCTGCCAGGCAGACATACCAAGCCATCTTGAAAATGGCCCTCTTGAGATAGGCGAACTGGCCAATCTGACGAATCTGAACGGTGGGGTCTTAGCACGTTTTCTTCGGAATTTGTGTAATTCACACATCTTTCGGGAGATTGAAGCGAACAAATTCGCGAACAATAGCCTTTCCGTCAGATACAAGTCTGAAACTTGGAAAGCCATCGTCGGACACTGGTAAGAAAACGTTTTCGGTACCCCAATTCTGGCAATGTCGCTGACTTCTACCATAGTGTTGATGGCGGCCGTCCAGCCTCATGCAAGGTCTGGGATGCTATGAGTGACCCCGAATACAAAGATTCCACAGAACCAACTAAGTCACCATTCAATATTGCCTACAATACATCGCTTGACTACTTTGCGTACACGAAAACTGTGCGGCCCGAGATGGCCGAGCGGACTCAAAGGGCCATGGGCGGCAAGGCCTTTAATCTAGAGGAATTCCTGAGTCGTAAGTATCAAACGACGCGATGATGATATGAGAGTGCTCAATGACATCTATTAGTCTATCCGTGGGCCGAACAGAAAAACGCGCATATCGTGGATGTGGGTGGCGCCATTGGGGCGGCCACCCTACCTATCCTGCGTGCTTTTCCAGGTCTAAGTTTGACCGTACAGGACCAACCCGAATCTCAGCCGCTTTTTGAGAAGGTAATTTGTAATTCAAAACATTTGCAATATCTGCGTCACCATTGCTGATTATCTTAGCATCTCACGGAACGTTTTTCGGATGTCGTTGGTGTATCAAATACACGTTTTGTCTCCCTGGACTTCTTCAAAGAGTGTCCAGTCCATGGAGCTGAGATTTATTTCTTGAGGCATGTCATCCATGACTGGCCCGATACCGAAGCCATTCGAATTCTCAAGACGTGTGCTTCTGCCATGATTCAAGGAAGTAAGCTTCTGATCTGCGAGCACATGGTATGTCCAACGTATCACACTGCCGGAGACAAAGAGTCGGGAGCAAATAGCCAGGCGGCCCCTGAGCCACTCCTAGCAAACTGGGGCAATGCACCTACTAGCCGTCTAGACCTTCAGGTTTACACGTTCCTCAATGCCAAGCAGCGCACCCGGGTTGAGTATGAGCTTCTCGCCAAACAGGCGGGGCTGGAGCTCGTACAAGTGTGGCGCAATCTCGGCGACCTCTCGATCGTTGAGTGTCAATTGCGGAGAGAATAGTGATGATTCTGGAGTAGTTAGTTGTTACACCGGAATTTGGAAATAAACCGGATGCCGAGACCATTGATTCCAATGTCGTGTAGTGATTCTAATATTATAACCTTTACGGCTCGGAGAATCGGATACCGGCACAATGTGTAAAATGTGTTCATAGCTATCTACCATGTGAGCCAACGGCAATTATTTGATTTTCAATCATCATTGAAACTGAATAAGGTAGCGGAGAAACATCCAGAAACGGCAAGTCAACGGGTGATGTCTGGCCAAGCTGACAGGCGCCCCAAACAGCCCTATCAGACTAGTTCATACTAATTTCTAGTTAGCAAGAAGTACCTTCTCTTGTAGCTGCAATTTAAAATATAACAGAAGAGATACAATGTGATTCTGCGGCTAAGATCAAGCCGTAAACGTGGACTTCTCTCTCATGCCAAGAGAGTACGCCAACAAGAGCGCCAACAAGAGCTTGTGAATAGCTTCAAACCGGTCAGCACGCCTTACAAATACTCTAGCGGTGAGGATTGAAGCATAATCAAGTAGCTTTCCTAGGCCGGATTACTGATTATTTTGTGTTACCTTGGTCTATGTCATTTCCCCGAATACTGAGTTGCTATTGTCAGAGCGGCGTACCCGAACCCACCTCGTGGCAATCGCTTGGCCAGACATCCAATTATGCCTAGATGATTATTGCATGCCAGTAATCGAAGGGTGCGAGAACGGGGCTAGCGAGATCCTCTATTTCCATCTTGCTGAGTTCGGCTATTCCGATGGGCATTATTTCCCGAGCGATGCAGTAGATTGGTCTCGGGGCATTCAACGAAAGCTGGAAGAAAATATTTCCCAAACGATTGCGTATATAATCAAGATAATTCCCTCGTCATTTGAGGAAAAGTTACTCAATTCGATCTTTTCAGTTTGATACTGCCGACATTCATTTTTCTTCCGAGCCCGTCATGACGGATCTCCTTTTTCCCACCTTCGAAGCTCGACTAAAATGCCAGAGAAAGCCTCAGTACGCAGCCTTTCTAACGGATCTTGTTCGTGCTGCTTCTGACGGAATTGAAGCATTATGCACATTCCGTGCAATTCTATATGACAGCCCAAGTGAGCCTAAAGATGGATCATTCCTGGCATTCGATGCCCATGTTGGCGATACTGGCTGTCATCTACGAGCCGGCATGCTCTTTGAAGCATATGCTCTACACAGGGAAATTTCAAAACATCGTCTGACCGGCAAAGCCTTGCCACCGATTTGGATAGATGAGACAATTCGCCGTCTTGAAACAACTCGCACAAAAGCCCAACATATTTGTCTCGCGTTGACCCGAGATGGGGCACGGCCGCAGACACTGGGATTTGGCGGCAAAGATCTTGTCATTGCGAAGGGGCTTAAAGCACTTGAATGGGAGGAGGTTGCTCTTTCGAAAGGTCCATTCTGTCTCTATGAGAATAACCAGAAATCCCTGCAGCGTGAATTTGAATGCCTGTCCTTTGCAGATAGCACCGCAATGTCGTTAGTGTCTTCAGATATTAGTCGACCAACCACACCTTCGTCTGACGAATCTGAATTTGGTTCTCCTTTTAAAACAGAATGGGACTTGTATGACAATAGGGTCTTGGTGCGGTTGGTTATTTACTGCTTCATTCTATCAAAGTACAAGACCTTCTCAAGCATGAACAATACCGTCGCAGCTCGCCTCTGTCCAGAAGCCGCCGCTGAGCAAGGCTACGCCTTGATGAAAGATTTTTGGGATTTCAAACATCCCGAATACAAAAAGGCACGACTAGACAGGATCGGACAGGAACTTCGCGTGCTACAAGTGTGGATATCCGATCTGAGCTGCGCATGGTTACACTCCATCGCGATGCGATGCGACCTGAAAGAAATGGGAAAGTAAGCTTATTTTTTCTAGACCCTTCTTCTACTTGAGCAACTGCGCCCTTCATATTTGATTTTGAACCTGACTTCCGATACTACAGTCTTATAGCCGAGACGGCCCGAAAGTCAAGCACAGGGCTTATGGTCGCACCTTGCTACCCAGGCTATCTCCTCCTCCGCAGAGAGTGGGCTCATGGCGAGAATCAAATCCTTCTCGTCGACCGCTATTTCTGCTCGTTGGGGTGGCATTTCAATATCTTCGTTGCTCATATGGGAATACAGCGGGACGGACAACAGTTCAATGCAGACCTACAGTGCCCAATCGAATGGTACATCCAGCCTATTACGCTTGACAAGTTGGCTTCATCTGAGTGGAGCTCGCGACCTCTCCCGGTCGCCGTGGGGAATAGTATATCGGGGGGGGGTTCGATCAATATAGGGCGCGTCTCTTGTCAAAAGAGCGAGCAGGATACCATACATACGAAGCTGATGAGTGCGACGAGAACAATCAGCATCTTCGTGATTTCAAAGAAGCGGATCATGACCGGCTTGCGCTTGCATTTTTTGGATCTCATAAATGTTATCCTTTTCAGATAGAGCCTGCCGATGAAATGGAGTATGTGGGATTGTATATGGATATTCTTTGTCCGGGGATGCGGGGACAGTGGGAGAAAGTTGCAAATGAACTGGGGAGACGAGGTGGTGGAAAAGAGAACCAGGATATCTTTGGTTGGCAGCATGTTTTCATCGAAGCCCCAAAGAAAGTGGTCGGTAAATTGAAAGAGTGGATGGCAGCTGGGAACTTGCTACCTTTATCTGTTTAGATGGGATGCTGGACATGGCGAATTCGGAGTTTCAATACACTTGCAAGGCTTCTTCCAGCTATCACAGTAAACATTCTGCCTGACAGAAGGAAGTTTCAGTAACTTGAAAGCAGTGATCATTCCAATATAACAGAGCAGCTATTTGAAAACAATCAATCCTACAACACTCGATCGATGATGAGGACAAATTTTAGAAAAATGGCACACACAACGATCCAGTCAAAAGACGCACTAGATATGCACAGAACCACCGATCGAACGAGGAGGCCAAGAGAAAGCCAAGATACCAAGAGAAACAAGCAAGTTACTTGTCTCGACCCGCTCGCGGCAGGCGTTTTCGTGGCGTTTCTTGGAAATTCGCTGCCCCGCCAGGAAAGAATGCCAGTATAGACTTATCTGCAGGTGGGTACTATTTATTTCATGGGCAAGGCAAGTATTGGTATACAATCATTTTAATCCTTGGAGTAGATCTGGACTGGTACTCATGGTTATTTTCTACTAGGTACTAGTCGGTACGCTACTCGAATCTGAAACTTGCAGGAACCATATGAAGCGAAAATAGAATGCGGGTATAATTATTATAGACTAGTATTTTGCCCACCACGAGAGCGGGATTCGGGATGCAACATAAACACATCAACTAGACAGCAAAAGGCATACGCGAATGCAAATGCGAGATCATAGCGAGCGTGAGATCTTCATGATTGTAAAACGTCTAGCCTTCTGGGACCTCGGGGAAACACAACATTTCCGCAAATCGGATTTGATTTGATCAAGATGGTATATATACTGTCCCAGATTTTGATAGCTTAGAAGACCATACCCTTGACCTGGGGAACCTTCTTAAGATCGATGTTGCGGATCATCATGGTCCAGGCGATCGCCAGAGCCATGATACCCACACCAGTAGCAAGAAGACGGACCTCGGAGTAGGCGTAAGCTGCCTGGATGGCAGTGCGGGTAGCGTTTCCGACGGGGTATTCAAGTTGAGTGTTAATGTCGTCGTAGATCATGTCGATGTTGGACTGAGCCTCCGCGGGAAGGTAGTTGCTAAGGGCCTTGTAGAAAGTATTGGTCCAGATAGCGGTACAAATAGTGTAACCAGCGGAGCCACCGATGGTACCGACGACGTTAAGAAGGGCCAGAGCGGTCGCAAAGTGCTGGTGGTCAACAGCAGCCAGGATGGCCAGCTGTTCAACGATAATGAAGACAGCACCACCCATGGAGATGAAGATTTGGCACATAACCTGGTAGCCGACGCGCATGCCGGGCTTTCGGAAGTAGATCATCAGACCCTGGGCGAAGATATACAGAGGAACGGCGATGTAGAGCAGCCACTTGTAGCGGCCGGTCTTGCGAATGGACCATCCGACAAGCAGAAGGAGTACACCCGACACAACGTCGAAAGTGTTGGAGATGTATCCAGCTTCGGCAATGGTGAGATCGTAGACGACCTGCAGGAAGTTTTGGAAGAAGTTGTTCCAGCAGTAGTAGGAAAGCTGATAAGTGGCATCCAGGAGACAGGCACCCAGCACAGTGCGATCGGTCAGAAGACGCCATTGGAACAGTGGAGTAGGCGCGATGAGAGCCTCGTAGATACCGAAGAAAAACAGCATAGAGAAACCAACGACCAGCATAGCGATAATATAACCAGTACTCCACCCATCGGGGGCCTCGGTGGCAATATCGAAGGGGACCTCGAACAGAACCAGACCAGCGGTGAAAATGAAACAACCGATGACTATTAGAAAATATATGTTAGTTTCAAGTTGCCGATTGTCTTGTTACACAGCTTGATAGACTCACTATCGAATTCCAAGGCCCAGTACTTGATGCTCTGGAAGATGGTACGTCCACTGGGCTCCTTGATACGGTGACCCTGCTTCTCGGCTTTGCGGAGAGTGGACTTCAGGACAAAGTACAGAGGGGCGGCGACAATGGGGAAGATGATCGCCCAGCAACCGAAGCCCCAGCGCCAGCTGACTTCATAGTAAAAGCGATCAGCCACCTTAGGACCAGCAAAGGCGGTGATGATATAGGGAGAGGAGGTAAAGGCATAAGCCAGTCCTCGATTCTTCAGTTTGGTCATATCGGCAGTCTAGAAGTGGGCACAAGATGATTAGATGCGAGAAAGGGGTTTCGGGAAGCAAGGACAAACTCACGATCACGTCAATGGAATACTCCATACCACCGAAGCCAATGTAGTAGAATACCATGGCGGCACAGTAGATAGGGAAGCTGTCACACGAGGCCATGAGAATAAGACCAATGGTGGCGAAGATGGTCATAACGAGGAAACCTTCGGCACGGCCCCAAGTATCCATCATCCGTCCGACGGGCAAGTAGGTGGCGGCAGCGGCGGCGTCGGCAAGAGCAGTGGGAACACCAGACAGAGAGTGCTCCTGAAATGACGAGGAGACATAAGTGCTCAAGCTATTGTAGACACTGGACTGGAAGGCGTTGACGAAGTACAGGAACCAAATACTGTGGGAAGGTAATGAAAATTAGTTATTGTTATTCAACGACTCCGGAGACGTTGGAGTCTCGCTTTGCAGTGGGTCCAAGGATTTAAGCATCAGCATCGGAACGAAACTTACTTCATGAAAACGAAGATCAGGGTACCCTTCGACCAGGTGAGGGTGATGGCTTCGGCATCACGAACACCATGCTGGGCGGCGGCATTGGGCATGTCCGAGTCCGACTCGGGTTCACTCTGATTATAGACAGGCGGCACCTTTTCGGCATCGGTATCAGACTTGCCCTCGGTAGTGCTCTGGACGACAGCCGATTGATCAAGGGAGCTCTGCTCGACCGAGGAGCTGGCGGCCTCATCACCACGAAAGTGACGGAAGACGGCGCGGCCTCTTTTAACCAAAGGGCGAATTCCCATGGTGAATAACAGTGGGAGGAAAGAATTGAAGTGGAGGATAGACGAAGTCAAACCAAAGAGCAAAATAGAAAGAAATGAGGGAAATCCTTTCCCTTATAGAACAACGGTCCCGAGATCGGCAATAGTCGGCAGCGGGAAAACATCCACGACACGCGGACCAAGACGACCACAACGACTAAGACAAGGGGGGCCCAGTGGCTACAAGTGAAAATCTTTTTCCCAGAAAGAAGCAAAGTGGATCAGCAACTGGACAGTGCCAGGAATCCACCAAAAAGAGGGCAGGTCAATAAAAACGGGGCCCAAGCGATGGAACGATCTAATCAGATGCCGGGGCCATCTTATCTGGCGCGCACTAACTCGTCTAGTGAAAGCGCCATCCACAACAAGCATCGGATTTGTCCGCCTCAAGCTTCGCTTGGCTGCTTGGCTTTTTCGGAAATGAATTGTGGATACCATGCGGGCTTTTTTTTGTTTTGGTGCTGTGTCCTGCTGTATCCTGGTTTGCTGGGGCTTTCGTTTTCTTCTTTTCCCTTCGGTTCTCGCGCATGCGGTGGTTAACCCGGTCTCCACTCTCTGTAGAAAGAAATAAGAAAGGAATACGGACCAAAGAGAGGACCAAACTGGGTCGGTTTATCTGATCCGGTCAGTGTAACCGATCAGCCCAGATCGTGTGGTCTGGCGTGGAGTGGTGGGAAGTCAAATTCAGTGCGGCCATCACAGTCATCACAGCCCTAAAAAAAGCCCAGTCGATCTGTTACCTAACAGATCCACCGTGACAAGTGCCGCTGCTCTTCTGGAAAGAATTCCATGCATGACATCTAGACCACATCAACTGATCAGCAGAGGGGAAGAAAAAAAAACATGATCAAAAAACAAGGAATAAGTGTCTTGCGTGGCGGTCAATCAGCCCACGAACGGGGTAGTATACGAAGTGGAAACGAAACCCCGATTAACGGAGGATGTAGGGTGCCACACTCCACTGTTCGCGTGTCGGGGCCGACAGTAATGCATGGATCGAAACAGCATATACATAGAAACCATATCACAGCGACAGCTCGACTCTACTCGCACTCTGTGACTGCGACAACCACGGCGAAACACGGGTGGATCAAATTAACTCGACCAAGGACGCTGTAACGGAACTAGCCATATACACGTCGGGGGCGAAGAATCAAACATTCGAGCATTCATTATTGACATGACTGAACAGAAACAGACCGGTTGACCTCTATGGAATAAAATGCAATCGCTCAAAGGGTATAGTAACTCGCCATTTCCTCCTGGAACCAGTTGTATGAATAATACAGTTGATCCGCCATTTGCGGATCGATCATAGGCATGCCGCCGCTACCGTCGACCAGCAAGACATCGTCCAGAACGGGGGCCAAAGGCACCGGTGGCCCTGGGGGCGGCGCTAACGGAACTGCCGCTTGGTTCATCAAAACCGGTGGGTATGCCTGCGGTGGTGGTGGTGGTGGTGGTGGCGGCAGTGGCTTTTGTTCTAGTTGTTGCTCCAACTGCTGCTGCTGTTGTTGCTGCTGCTGCTGATAGGCCATCTGGCTAAAAATCATCGTGCTCTGGTGTCGGAATGTCTCCGCCAGGCGGTCCACACCCGCTCGCCGTTTTCCGAACTCCTCCAGTAGAACCACCACAGCTTGGATCCCGCGACGCATCATCTGCTCGTCCGGATGCCAAGGCGCGGGCTGGGATTCGCGGAGCGAGCGCGCGTTCTGTTCGAGACACCAAAGGATCGTAATCCCGGCAAAGTAGACTTGGCTCAGCGTGAGCCAGATCCACTTGAGCTTCCCCACCGAGTAACTGTCCCAATAAGATCGGATCACTTGAATGCTGGAATCGCCGCAGCTGACAATGCTGGTCAGATCCGGTGTCGGGTTGCGAGCACTCGGGCGATACATCAAGAGAAGTGTGGTATAATACAAATAGTCATAATACGAAGTAGAGTAGAGTAAAGCAGAAGGGTAGACCGGCGCTGACATGCGCCAGTCGTCGACCTCCCGGCGGAATTGGCCTAACGTCGTTGCCACTTCCTGTGGCGATGGTCGTGGCAAGTTGCTGTATACTATAAATCCCGATCATTAGCATGGAACTTCCCATTCGGAATAGGGGAGTGGGTGCACTTACGGTATCGATAGATGCGCGAGAAAATCCGGCGGAGGCGTATCACTTGCACCGGGATTGTCATGGCGCTTGTCCCTGGGGCTTCCATCCCATCGTCGTTCAGTTCCCTTGGGAGGCTCACGCTAATATCTTCATCAGCAATCCCCAGCGGTCGGCCCAGAGTGCTCGCGATGAGACGGTCCAGATTGTACAAGCTCCAGAACGCCCGTTTGGCCATTTCCTCCTCCATCATACTCGAGTGGGCCCGATCCTTATGCAGACCCATACTGATGGAGAGACGCATGGTGGCGCCCAGGACGTGCCAGATACTCGGACCGGAGGTCGCGAACATGGTGTAGAGCGCGATACCCAGCAGCGCCCGAACTGCGGGTAAATCTTCATTCTGCAAGGCCAATGGCAATGTTTCTTGACTGGCATTATAGAATTCTGCGGCTCTGGTCGCATCTGCCGACCCGATCAATAGCGAAATGGCGATAATGACATGATATGCGTTGTGCACCTCGGGCGACGGCACCCCTCCGGTATAGATGTGTCGCAGCTGGGCCATGAACTCGGGGCGGGACATGAACGGGTACTGATAACCCATGCTCTCGAAATATTGGTCGGCTAGTCGTTCTGCTTCCTCCAGTGATGACAGGCGCAATACCCGCGGTGCCGAGGCCGGTCGGGCGACGGATGGACGGCGATGCTCGAGCTGGTCGCGAAAGATCTCGCCCACATTGGGTAATTCCGCGCCGACCCCGGTCGAGGTTTCAGAGCCCGCGGGGGCGGTTGTCACAGAAGAACCTCGACTGCCGTTCGGACTGGACATGGAGGATGTCCGCGGACGATTCCCCCCGGTCGCAATCATGGCGGGTACTTGATACCACCAATCCGGGTCACCTTCGCCATCGACGGGGGTTCCTGTGACCAGGTCGGCGACCGAGATACCTGACTTGCGGTGCACGACTTCCTCCAGCCATTGGACTCTCTTTTGTAGGTTTTCGAGCTGATCGCGGGGGACGGAGGCACTGGCGACTTGCGGACCTGGTGGGGGGATGGTACAACGAACGCCGGCGCGAGTACAAGCGGAGCAATTGGGGTAGCGAAAATCGCACTTCTTCTTTCGTTTGCGACAAAAGTCACATGCTGTTGAGACTCGTTTGCTGCGGGCGGCAGCGGCGGCGGAAGCAGAAGCAGAGTGAAGATTTGAGTGAGAAAGATCTGGGGTGGAGGTGGAAGTGGAAGAATCGGGGTGCGACCAGGCTGGGGTTGGCCCAGTGGAGATGGACTCCAAGCGGAACTTTCCCAGCTGGTCGCGAAAATCCTTGTTATCGGGATTGTTCATGCTGGCGGGTCGAACCGTCCATCTCAGCCGCAGAATTGTGGCGTTACTGCAGGTGGAGGGGGAGAATGTGAGGGAGAGTTGGGGTTGGAAGTGAAGGCGAAGGTGAAGGCGAAGGCGGGGACTGCACGGGGAAGGTGGACTTCGCTTAGCTTGACTCTTCTTCACTTCACTCCATCTTCATCTACTACACTCTCTACTCTACTCAACACATTCACCTATACAACATACCATTGAAGACTCATTAATCTACTTGCACGAAGTACCTCAACTCACCTACTTGATACTCACATCAGACAGTCTCCAAATCCGCATCGAATCACCCCAACTCCACCCATGAAACACCTGCTGCACGCTCTCCAATTGCCCGCTGTGATTCGAGCTTGATATCTCCGGGTCCTTACGAGTCCTTAATCTGCCAAGGTTACAATCGACATCGGAACATCCTCTCAGATCGTCTCCATCAGCCGATCATCGTCTCGCTTGCTGTACTCAGGCACATCCTGCGAGTCTAATGACCCCCGGATTCTGCAAGTGACGCCACAGGGTCCGTCGCCAAGATGGTTCCTCCTCCACCAATCCAGCCTGGTGGATCGATCGTCACCGAGGAATGCCACAATCGGCCAGCGATGCCCTCGTATCCGTCCCTCGCTTTCAGGGACGATCGCAAGTTTGTTATTTTGGGATACGATGCATATCAAAGGTAGTATCTCACATTCTATACCTGCCCTCCGTCTCCGTCTATAAGTTAAGACACTTGGCCTCGACAATCTTGAACTATCTACTCCATACCTACTCCATACCACCAATTGACATCCCTTCAAGTTTCTTACTATCAATTCTCACTCCCTATCTTCTCGTACTCTCACTTCACCATGACTTCTACCGTCAAGGCTGCAGCTCTCTCCCTCCTGCTGGCTGCCGCCGCTAATGCCGGTCCCCTTGAGGCCCGCGCCAGTGGTGTCCAAGGCTTCGACATCTCCGGCTATCAAGGCGATGTAGACTTTGCCGGTGCCTATGGAGCCGGTGCCCGCTTCGTCATGATCAAGGTGAGCTTAGCTGCTTTAAAGCCCCCCCTCTCATCCAGTGAACAGCCCCATATTAACCCGCTTACTAGGCCACTGAGGGCACCAGCTACATTGATAAGTCCTTCTCCAGCCACTACGAGGGGGGCAACCTCTGCCGGTCTCATCCGAGGTGGTTACCACTTTGCGCAACCCGCCTCCAGCTCCGGAGCCAGCCAGGCCGAGTACTTCCTCGCCCACGGTGGCGGCTGGTCCAATGATGGCAAGACCCTCCCGGGAATGCTGGACCTGGAGTACAACCCATCCGGCTCGACCTGCTACGGCCTCAGTGCGTCCGACATGGCTGCCTGGGTCAAGGACTTCGGCGAGACCTACAACAGCAAGACTGGCCGCTACCCCATGATCTACACCACCGCCGACTGGTGGAAGACTTGCACCGGTAACAACGGTGACTTTGGTGCCGACTACCCTCTGGTTCTGGCGCAATACGCCAGCTCAATTAGCACGCTCCCCAATGGTTGGTCGACCCAGAGCTTCTGGCAAAACACTGATTCGTACAAGTATGGTGGTGACTCGGATCTGTGGAATGGCAGTGAGGATAACCTCAAGAAGTTCGCCAAGGGTTCATAGAGTAGCAGTGATAGCCAGTGAGATAGTGTATAGAATGATATATTTTTACTTTTGACTACCGGACAATTTCATATGTCTTCACATACTGTAGAGAATGAGAATACTGTAGTTGTACTCAGGCTCGTAGTAGTGGTTCTCGTGGTTCTAGTAGGACTGCATTGATAGTAGACCTCATGCCCGCCTCATTGGTTGCCCCTCACTGATAAATACCGCCTGCACGCTGCACCCAACTTCGTCGCACCATCACCTCTCCTTCTCCATGGAAGACCTCAATAATAACTTGAACTCCGATTCTTCTCCAGCCGCAGGGCTCCCACTAGCCTTCCATGGCACCGTGATTCACTCACGCAGCCTGACAGAGCTGGAAGTCCTCGAAAACTGCTTCATCGTTGTCGATAAAGCGGGCAAGATCCAGACCTTACAAGCCAACGTTCAACCTGAACAGATCAACACGATCCTTTCAGATCACGGCTATGCCCCAGATGTCTTCCCAATCAAACGCCTCCAACGCGGCCAATTCCTCTGCCCAGGCTTCATCGACACCCACAACCACGCACCACAATGGGCCCAACGCGGTCTCGGAATCCGCGGTGAGTCCCTACTAGACTGGCTCAACAAAGTGACCTTCGCGCACGAATCGAAATTCCAAGACCCCGAATACGCAAAACAAATGTACAGCTCTTGCGTAACCGGATTCCTCCAACAAGGCATAACAACAGCCTCATACTACGGCTCCCACCACGGCCCCGCAACCCAAATCTTAGCAGATATCTGCTTCGCAAAGGGTCAACGCGCCCTGATCGGAAAATGTAACATGAACCGCAACGCGCCAGACTGGTACCGCGACTCAACAGTCGAAGACTCACTCCTCGAAACACACGCTTTAATCAAACACATTACAACCCTGGACCCAGAATCGCATCTCATCAAACCAATTCTCACCCCGCGCTTCGCGATCTCCTGTACCCCCGACCTCCTACAGGGTCTCGGCGACATAGCAAAGGAGCACCCAACTCTACCAATCCAAACGCATTTCAACGAAGCAACGCAAGAAATCCAATACACGCAGCAACTCTTCCCACAATTCCGCACCGAGGCAGATCTCTACCGGAAATACGGCTTACTGAACGAGCGAAGCATTCTAGCCCACTGCATCTTCCTGGAAGAAGAGGAGATAAAAACACTACAAGAGCTTGACTGTGGTGTAGCCCACTGCCCGATATCTAACACAACGATGCAAGAATTCATGGTGGCGCCGATACGGGAGTATCTGCGTCGCGACATCAAGGTCGGTCTTGGGACTGATAGTGGAGGTGGGTATTCATCTTCCATGCTGGACGCGATGAAACAGGCCTTTATCGTGTCGAATGCGAGAACGATGTTGACCAAGGGGGCGGATGAGCCTTTATCGCTTGCTGAGGGCTTCTATCTGGCTACCCTTGGTGGGGCGAGGGTTTGTGGGTTGGAGGCGAGGGTGGGCAATTTTGTTGTTGGGAAGGAGTTTGATGCGTTGGAGATTCATTCGGGTGAGTTGTTGGATATGCCCGGGGTTATGAGTCCGGTTGAGGAGGAGGATTCTATTTTGGCGGTTTTTGAGAAGTTTCTTATGACTGGTGATGATCGGAATATTGTCAAGGTTTTTGTGAGGGGGAGATCTGTCAAGGTCTGAACTTGAAGTATACACGAATGCATAATATCATATACTAGTATTTAGCTATGAGCATTGATCTCTTGATGAAGCAAGCATGACATTTCAAGTTTGTCTAATCCCAACCCCTTAATTAAGCCAACCAGCGCCGATCTATGTATAGTATACCTAGTATAGCAAGAATATCCCAGTAAAACCACCAAACACCCAAGATTGAAGAAAGCAACCCATCAGATATGTAAATGAAGCAAATCGCAAATAGATGTCCAGAAGATCACTGCCAGGCACCCTGAGGGGGACCAAAGTATCCCCGAGCGGGCAGGCTCTTATACGGCGTGCCCTTGCCATCAGCGGTTTTGGTATAGACAGTATTGCCCCACCATTCCAAAGAACCCGCAGGTAATGTGATACAAAAGAAGATGAGGACAGTAGAAACGGCAACACCGCAGTCCAAAGCAGCAGAAAGGACATAATTGTATTTCGACCACCACGCGGGTTTTCGACGACGCACCAGGCCGTTGAAGATGACGTTGATGACCCACCAAGATGAGAAACTTACACCCGTGGCGGGTGGGACAAGGCTCATGGCGCCGAATGCAACGGGCCACGACAGGTAATTTACGCGTTTCCAGCGCCGCCCGAGAAAGTATGTGATTATCACCACGACGGGTCCGACGAGGAAGAACCACAGTATATTGCCGTAGATCTGACCCGGGGAAAAGAGGCGACCAGGACCAACGGCTCCTAAATGCATGTTAGCGGAATGGTCACGCAGTGAGAGGCGAGCACAAAGTGTGGTACGGCTAGGATTAGAACATACCCCAGATGAGAGACGACGAATAGGTCACCCGACCATGAGGACAGGTGAAATTACCCGTAGCGTCCGTCGTACAGACCCCATCAATCCTCGTAATCATAAACACCGTCACGCCGCACTGAACAATCGCCCCGACGAGGGTGGCCAGTCCCTGGGCGATGAAGAGGGTGCGCGGCGCAATGTGCAAGTAATGGGCGAGCTTCATGTCGGCAACAAACTCCAGTCCCTGCTGAACGGCAACATAACCATAGAATTTGAAGACCATGTTTGCGATGGGCCGGCCTAGGAAAGCATACCCACCGATAAACTCGGTAAGTAGGTTCAACTGGTTGCTGCTGATATTCGTGACGGCTTTGATGATTCCCACCGGGATGAAATAGATCATTGGCATGAGGAAGGCCACTAGCACTGCCCACACCGGGAGTCCGGTCTTCCACACCTCATTCGTGACAACGCTGAGCACAAACATCAGCACGGTGACTGTACCAAACCACCACCAGGGAACGGTGCGGTAATTCGACATTAGACGCGCATGCACGTCGGGCTTGCTGGTCCCTTTCCACTGTTGCCAAAGGTCTCGACCATGGTAAAGTCCAATGTGAAAAAAGATGCCGGAAAGATTTGCGAAAGCGACTCCAAAGGTGATAGCATAGCCCGCGGGTAGAAACATGGGCGAGTAGCTCCTGTATGCCGCCTGGTCCACCATACCCTGATCATTCATAATGCGGGCAGTGTCGTACGTTTTGCCGGTGTTGTCAAACGTATTCGAGTTGAGCATCGGGAGGAAGGCCGAGTACCAGGTGTTGGTATAGTATAAGATGGGACAGAGGATCCAGAAGAAAAGGGCAAAGGAGCCCATCACATTGAGACCGGCCCAGAATGGGACCAGAAGAGGACTCTGGTTGGCATAGACCACCTGGGCCCAGTCAAATGTCAAGACGGACATTCCCAGACCAGTAGTTTGTCCGAACAACTGGTTGACGATGATATTGTCAGGCACAATCCAGCAGATGAAGCTGAAGGTACTGAGACCCGTGAACAGATACCCCGGCGCGAAATACCAGATGGCGCCTCCGGAAAAGATGATTAAGAAAAACCGCAGACGGGTGATCCTCCAGCCATCGGCCACCGCATTCTCCCGATTATGGAGAGTGGTCAATAGTGCCGCATTCGAGAGAACCTGAGGCCACAACATGGAGGCCGGACTGACCAGCCAGCGGGCCGCCATGCCTGCCAACCCAAAGCCGAACAGCTGCGTGGTGATGCATAGTAACACCTCAAAACCACCCTCTGAAGGCATGTTATAAAATTTGACGACCGCTTCAATGATCTGAGTCGCCTGAGCGGAGCCAATGGAGACATTGGCCATGATGGTGATCAGCCCATGTTCCTTAATATTGAAGTGGCGGTCGGGGTTGAGCCAACCCAAGGGCATCCATTTCGCCCATGCACAACCGAGCGGGAAGGCCAGGAGCTGAGCCACCAAGGCACTGATTGTGACGCTCGGTTGGCGCAAGCTGAAGAATTGGTTCAAGCCACTGCCAACGATCGTGAAGAGGAGGCCAATGGTCCACATGCGGGCAGTGTTCACGGGTAGCGACTGGTCATCGACGGGCTGGACGACGGCGCGCACCTCCGGGAAGGGCGAGTCGTCGGCCTCGTAGGGAAGGGTCTGCTTGGCATCGCGATCGCGCAAGATCGAAATGTGGTCGTCGTCGTCGTCGCGGTCATCATGGGCGTGTTCAGAAGTGCTCTAGGAGAGGAGAATGTCAATGCCGAAGTCAATTGTGGGGGAGTGGCAGTGGCGGTCACGGTGAGATGGGGAGGGGTAGAGGAATGTGACAATGGCACGACAAGAATGCGTCAGCACCTGCACATGCATATACGGAGTGGACGAAGCTGTCGATGCGACTGCCACGAGGGAAGTGGGGAAAGGGATATGCAAGGAAGCAGTCTAAACCCACCTGGGATGAGGAGTGACGGTGCTTAACCTTCTCGACCTCCATGGCCAAGAGGGCACAAGGCCAATCGGCCGGATGCAATGGGAGAGCGTCAAATCATAGACGGGTCAAGCCGACAGATGACGGGGATGGGGCACAAGGAGGGTGGGTGGAGGGGAAGAGAAGGGGACCAGAAGCGGGTGATGCGAGGAAGTCAAAGTGGAAGTTGAGGAAGTTGGGCGGGATGGGCCGAACAGCAGACAGCGTAGTACAGCATAGTACATAGTATTACATAGTATGCGATAGTAATACACTATACTATAGTATAGCATAATATATTATTGTAGGATAATATATTACATTACCTGCATTCTACTGCTTTACAGTCTATATAGTATCTGTAGATATATCTGGGTGCTAGAATAGTATTGTATATTCAAGCTGTAACTATCTCATCACTGTGGGTCTTGGCACTCCCACCTCTACTATATAGTAGTACTACTACTGTATACTTGACCACTTCTCCTTCTCCTTCTACTTCTACTTCACTCTCTTCCTTCCTCAACTCCTCTCCCCCACATAATAGAAACACACCCACCTTCTCTGCCGCATGCATTATCATATCTCAAATACATCAGATCTTCGGTCTACCCCAAATCCAGCAACCTCCCCGGCTTGCTCTGTCGGCATGACCCGACACGCAGCCGTTATGCTCCACCAGGCGGACCGGAGCGCCTCCAGATGTGCGAGCCAGAAAATTTAAATGTCGCCCATCATGGTGATTTAACGTGAACCTTGACCTTATCTCTCCGCCATACCCATCATGCGCTACAGAATATAAAGGTCCGTGCTGTTCAAGTTCAAGTTGTCTGGCCTGTATCTGCAACTGGATCGACGACAGAGTAAGACCTTTTTTATCTTGACTCTATACTCTATACTACAGTATACTACTAGTATACTCTACTGCCAGATACTAGCCCTGGAGTATATCCAACTTGAATCGCTCACACCGCACTGATCATGGGCGACGCTGGTAAAGTTGGTGCCGGAGCTGAGCACAACTCCTTTCCCACTCCCTTCGCCCAGCGGCCCATCATCATCCTGGGTGCCGGTATCATCGGATGTGCCACCGCTCGACAACTCCTGTTGCAGGGATTCTCCGTCCAGCTCGTGGCAGAATTTCTCCCCGGAGATCAGGATATTCACTATGCTTCCGCATGGGCCGGTGCAGCCTGGCATGCCGCAGGTGGCATCACTCCGGAGCAGCGTTATTTGCAAGCCGTCACACATCGCATCTTGCTTCAAATGTCCCAGGACCCGGAGTCTGGTGTGAGCGTTGTGGATGCTCGGGAGTTCCTAGAAAAAGAGCCAGCTCCAGATTCCGCCATCTGGGGGAGGACGGTCGTGTCCAAGGTTTGTCCTCTGAGCCGGAGCCTCCAGAGATGAAGATACCTTCTAACCTTGCACAGTTCCGTAAGATGGACCGCGCAGAGTATCCCGCCGAATTTCACAGTGCTTGGGCTTATGAGACCCTCGTTTCAGACCCAACCCGCCATATGCCCTACCTACGCCGACAGGTTCAGTCTCTAGGAGGTCAATTCATCCGAAGGCGAGTGCAATCACTTCAAGAGCTTTACGACATGTTCCCCGACTCCCGGATCTTCATCAACGCCAGTGGAATCGGCAGTAAAACTTTGACGGACGTCCTGGATGACCGCTGCTTCCCCGAACGTGGTCAGAATGTGTTCCTTCGCACCGACCAGTGCCACACGATGTATTTCCGCAACGGCCAAGAGTACACATACGTGATACCCCGGCCCCAGTCCGGTGGGGTGGTACTCGGAGGCGTCAAGCAGCAAGATGACTTGTTAGTGCCCATCCCCATCCAATCTATTTGATCTCACTTCCATGGCCTTGGGAGAGATAAGCGAGCCGCCACTGACCCTAGAACCAGGTCCCCGGAAGTCGATCTTGATATCGCGTGGGATGAGATCACTCGTGCACACCGGTTGGCGCCTCATATCGTACCGGAACACCCTGCAGATGAAACCGTCAGCCATATCATTGGGATTCGCCCGTCTCGCCGTGGGGGGATTTCGATTGGACTCGACACAGAATGGAGCACGCACGGTGCTGTCAGCGTATGGGTTTGGTGGCGGGGGATATGCATTTTCGTATGGAATTGCCGACGCTCTGGTGGAGATGGTGCAGGAGGCTGAGCGGGAGAACGTCATTGTTTAGCGGGAGTATTGAAGGGGGTGTTCAAGTTGTTTAGGATTGATTGTTTTACGATTCTCATATGATTCCCATTGATTTGCTATGATTTTGGCTTTCCATATTACTGTCACTATTTATTTACTTCCCCCTCCCCTCCCCCCTCCCCCCGATGTCTGATTGTCAGACGAAACCAGGGGAGGAAGACGGGATGATTTGCCACTGAATGATATCATTCCAGTACTTTTTAGTACTGTTCCGTGAGTGCCTGATTCGACTGGACTGGTCTCGACTCGACTCATCTCAACCCTCCACGCGTTCGCAAGTGGGATTAGCGCGGCCAAGCGTGGGCGAGATCCCTCTTTTCCCTCTTGTCCCTCTTTTCCCTCGCTTCTTCCCCGCCGGCGAAACTTGCCGTCCACTCAAACGTCGACATTCGCCGGCTTTCCTGCCAGCTTTTTCCATCGCGTTTCGCCTCCCTCTGCTTGGGACTGTTCAGACCCCGAAATCTGAAATCCCCGTTTCTTTTCTTTCATCTGGGTATTCCACCTCTTCTTTTCTCAACTACCCTTTGCCTTTGCCTCCTCGGGACAAGCTCAAGATCAACCCCAAACATCCTGCGACCGCGTATCCCTTGACGCGACGGTGTTCGTTCGGCTGAAATTCGGAGATTCTGGAGATTGAAGGACTTCGTCATCGGACAAGAAAACAAGAAAGAGGAAAAGACTCCGATCTCAGAGATTGTCCCTTCGACCCGACCAACCCATTAGAAGACACCACTCAATCAATCCCTTTCCTCCTACAACACTCTCTTTGGATGAGTCCATCGTACAGTCTCTCCCCGCCTGCTGGCCTTGGCCTTGCCTCCAGGCAGGACACTTGAATCCTGAATCCGAATTTCCAAAATGGTCCTGGACCAACAGATGCTCCACCTTTCCCTTGAAGATCGCCGCCCGGTCGGCTTCGATATGCTTATCACTCCGCCGGCGCAGAACGACGTGAATGCGACCGGCGCGCTTGGCCCATCACGGGGACAATCACAATCACAATCACAATCACAATCAGAATCACAATCACAATCACAATCACGCGACAACTTTGGGAAAAATCACTCCCCTCTCGACCACCCCATGAGTCGCATATATCGATGTACCCCTACACCCACCATCATCATCGACGACTCCCTACAAGTGGTGGAAGTCTCCGATAGCCACCTCGCCCTCTTTAAACATACTCGCGCCGAGCTGATCGGCTCCAGTATCTATGATTTAGCGCCACGGGCCGTCCCCGCCCCAGATATTCCCTTGTTAAGCGGCGCATTAGGTGCCTCCCTTACTACTCGATCCGTGCAGTCTATTGAACCAATTCGTGTCGCCGGGTGCGACTCCGACTTTGCCCTCCGAGTGACTCCGATCTTTGACGACGGCGCCCTCATTTACGTGGTGCTTGAAGCCCACAGCATCAAGCGCGAACCACGTAGTCAACCCGGGTTGAACGAGGAATACTTCCTGAATGAAACATACAAAATCCTCGTCGACACTGTCAAGGATTATGCCATCTTCATGCTCGACACCCGCGGCAATATCGCAACATGGAACTCAGGCGCTGCCATCCTCAAGGGTTACACCCCGAATGAAATTATTGGCCAACATTTCTCCATATTCTACGGCGCCGATGACCGGCGGGCGCGAAAACCGGCCCGAGAACTCGATGTCTGTCTACGTGAAGGTAGGGTAGAAGACGAAGGCTGGCGCTATCGAAAGGACGGCAGCCGATTCTGGGCAAATGTCATGATCACCCCAATCTTCCAACTGGGCCGACATGTCGGCTTTGTCAAGGTCACCCGGGATCTCACCGAGCGCAAGGCCGCCGAGGCCCGATTGATCGACGCGTTTGAAGAGTCGGCCAAGCTGAAGACGGATTTCCTGGCCAACATGTCGCATGAACTACGCACCCCTATGAACGGGATGTTTTTGGCTCTGACGATGCTGATGAGGACCTCCCTGGGCGATGATCAACGGGAATATGCGTTGATTCTGGAAGACTCCACCTCCATTCTCCTAAAAGTCATCAATGATGTCCTGGACTACTCGAAGCTCTCGTCGGGCTCCTTTTCCCTGACCACTGATGTCGTCAACATTCCTAGTGTGGTCAACGCCGTGGTCCGCAATTGCCAACCCGCGGCAAAGCCTGGACTGTCAGTGGTGAGCTTTATTGCACCGGACTTCCCTTCGAACCTCGAGGGCGACTCGCTGCGATTTCGCCAGGTCTTACAGAACCTTGTCAGCAACGCCGTCAAATTCACCGAGAAAGGCCACGTTCACGTCAAGGCATCATACAAGGTGGATCCGTATAACTCCCAGTCATTCGATATCTCCATAGAAGTCGTGGATACTGGAATCGGAGTTCCCGAAGAAGCTGTCGGTACACTCTTCACCCCGTTCACCCGCTTTGCGGATTCCGCCACCAAGCGATACCAGGGCACAGGGCTAGGACTGTCCATATGCAAAAGTCTAGCTGAACTCATGAAGGGTGTTGTCGGGTTCCGTACCAACCCAGACGGACCTGGTAGCATCTTCTGGATGTCAACCAAAATGAGCCGAATCCATGACCACCAAACGTCACGATCGAAGCCCTCTGTTTCGCCGACCCCAATCATACATGATTTTGACCCGGAGCCACTCTTGAAAAAGATCGCTCCACAAAAGCACATCCTCCTGGTCGAGGACAACAACGTCAATCAAACCATCATGATTAAACTCCTCGGCTCCCTCGGCTTCGAACGCGTCGATGCCGCTTGGGACGGATCGGAGGCAGTCCGCATGGTGAAACAGAAACCGCTGACCTACAATGTGATTCTGATGGACATCAACATGCCAGTGATGGACGGCATGGCAGCAACCAAGCACATCCGCGGGATGAAAATCGATGTACCTATCATCGCATTGACGGGGAATGCTCTCAAGGGCGACGCAGAGCTATATCTGGCACAAGGCATGGACGATTACATCGCGAAGCCACTTCATCGACAGCAACTGATCGACATCTTGTGGAAATGGTGTGGGTCTTAACGCGGAGTCATACTCTAAAATGACATGCATATCATTGCTTTTGCTCAACGTTCGCCAAGACTCGGCGTCGACCCCGCTTGGACCACAGCAGCCTCATATCACCACTGAGACTCTCGCTATATGCTACAAGCCCCCATTATGCTCGGCAACCCAATATAGCCCAACATGGATCACACTATCTGGGCGGATGTTGATAACCTGCGTTTGGGTTCGGAGAGAACTTACAGTAACAAGCCCCAATCTGGACGAAGCTTGCCCTAGAATGAGATGATTTCGCTCGTCCAATTTACGGAGCTTGAGTTCTCCAAGCACATCCAATGGGATAGTGCAGAACCTATCTGCGGGCCAAATGATTTGGCTCGTGCAATAATAATAATAATGATTACTATGACCTTCGGGGGTTTTTTTTCTCTCTCTTTTCATCTCTTCTCTCTGGTCTAGAATGTAAGCGCCAATAGTCGTAGCTCCTTTGTTGTAATACTAGTAATACCCTGAGTACCCCCAATCTTCGTATGTCCCGAACTCGGCCCGGGCCCCCGGAGACTCAAACTGGTTTCAAGTTTATATTAATACATTACTTGCCGGTAACATCCACTCAATTTAAATGCCTTGGCGATGCGAATATCTGTGTTGCACGCGGGATGTCGGCGGTATTTTCTTTTCTGGGTTCAGAGGCTTTGAAATCTCTTTCCAAGTTGTTTCAATTTTTGTTTCCATTTATCAGATACTCTAATATCTACCCTAGAAGAGACTCGTAGAACCACTTTGGCAGCTAAGTGCTTGGCTACTTGGAATCTTGACCCTTGGCTGCGCGACGGGCCGCAATCGGGACATCGAAAGCCGAACCCGGAGACTTGTACCAAACTGCGCGCCCTGCGGAAGGATTCACGTCCGACAATAATAGCCATTCCAGTTTGTCAATGTGGGGCATCGTTATTGACCATGCATTCATTTTACTTTGCCAAAATTTGGAGCAAGATGGGGAGCCTGGTTGCCTTGAATCAATAGTGATCAAAAGTCTGTCTCGCTTGTCCGTACTTTCAATAGAACAGCTACTTGGTAGAATGCAAATTCGCATCGAAGAATAATTGATTCTTCAAAATGCGTAGTATGCCTAGTTTATTATCAGTTTAGCCGTCGCCTCTTAGCTACTAGGCAGGCCTGCGAGAAAGTCCTAGTCTGTATTGTGCTTTGACGAAGAGCTGCAGAACTGATATACAACTTGAATAAGTTTCCTAGTAGCTGATCTAGTTAGAAGTCGCTTTATTGAAAAGTACGCCACAGATATCTTTAGGAAATGTATTGTTCTTCTATGCGGACTTGACACCTATTGATTTACACATTGTCTAATAAGGTAGACAGAAATGTATTTATCGAGTAGAAGTCATTTGAATCAGCAGACACCTACTAGTCTGTGTTCCATTGTACCTAACCAGTTGGGAAACAATGACGCTACAGCTTGCCTAACACAATAGAAAACTAGAACGTTTGTTAGTAGGACCGCAGTCTTATGATTGTCTCCTATATAACTGTGCTCTACCTTCCCAGGTATCCTTTTTTCTTTCTGACAATTGATGCCTTTTTCTCCTTCTTCACTTATATGCGTAGCATTCTACGTATATAAAATTTATCTATTGAGCAGGTTTCAATCTCGTCAGTATGCATCTTCTTGCCTGCCTTCCGCCGTCTCTATTCAAATGACCAACCGTGAAGTTCTGCCTTGCCCGACATGGCAGGCAAAATATAGATATATTGATCACTGCTCTATTGATTTAGAAGGCACCTGTTCTAGTGCTGTCCTATACTCAATTGTTCTTTTCTATAGATCTAGGCGGCGCTTCTAGCGTAGGAGTATAAAGATAGTAACTTAAAGCCATCCTCTCGTTTTGGATACAGTCTCATCCACATTTCTCCTGCCGTATCGATTCCAGCGCTCAGCTTTCTTCAACATGGCAAATACGGTCACACTCTTTGAATATCTCCAGCAGGGGCTTTTGCGCCACCCATCATTTGATACCTCGCCAGGAGGCAATACCACAGCCACTAATTACAATTACACTCAGATCCATCGTGTGGATAAATGGCCGGAATTCAACATCGACACAATCACAACTGAGTTTGCCGCTATCCTGGACGGAGCCCGAATCCAAAATGAAATGCCTCCTCATACACCCCCTCGCCAAGTTAACTCAGAGGACGCTGTCCGGGCCCGTGCCCATTCCTACCTGACAAATCGAGTTGTACGAGCTTTACGCTCCGGGTTCCATTTCATTTCCACCACGGGACAGGCGAGGAACTTCAAAAGACTCGCCTATGATGTCGGCTCCCTGGCCTGCACACAGCATGGCTTTCCCGACTTTGCTGTCTACGATACAGCCGACGCAAACTCGAAGACTCGGCGGAACTTGGTTCCCGGCGACGTTAAAGTATCCTGGAAGTGGTTGGCAGCTTGGCATGACAGCAACAGTAGACATGAAAAGAAGGAATACAAACAGGTTCTTTCGCAGCTCAACTTTTATGCGAAGCGAAACAAAACACGCTATAGCTTTGTGCTCACCAACCGCGAATTTGTTGCCATACAACGGCTGGATGTGTACGGTCATCTGAAAGTTTCAGATCCCATTCCTTGGGATGCTCGGGGAACTCTTCAATCCCCCCCGTTTGACCGTTCCTCTGGCAATCTGGTATCTTACCATGCTCGCCGCTCGCAAGGACCCGGATGGTAAGGATGGGGCATACCTTATCTAAATCTCCTGCTCAATGGTTCCTTCATTTTCCCCTGACGATAATCCATATTCTTGTTCTGGCTCGTGTGTGGTGTCGCGTACTATCATGTTTTTTTGTTCTTTTCCTATCTCCAATCCCGTTCGTCACCTTAAAAGCTTTGCCTTGCTCATTCGGGCGATTTTTGTTCGGTTCGTTTTCCATGTCCGATGCTGATTCTTCCTTTTTTCTTTTCGAATTCATTTCCCGATTCCATTTCTGTTCTTCCATTTCTGTTCTTCCACTTCTGTTCTTCCACTTCTGTTCTTCCACTTCTGTTCTTCCACTTCTGTTCCCCCACTATCTGTTATTCGTTTGTTCAATTCTTTAAAATCCGATATTTGTTGTCATTCATAAGTTCCGCATCAAGTTCTGCTCCATTTTAGCTGTAGCCGTAGATACAAATCTCGTATTTTGCAGTTGCATGGTCGTACTAGTAATTGTAGTTCCAAGGTTGTACATAGTGGTTATGGAGAACCTGGGGCACAAACAAAAGCGCTATGAACATGCGCTACGTACACACTGCAAATACCATCGGCCTTCCATGCGCGTCTTTTAGTACATAGATGAAATTGTACGATCCATCAGATACATTGAATCGATTCGTAGTAACATGGTCAAGTATTGTATTGTTTGTTGTCTATTGTTGTGGTTATAGTTGCTGCCTGGCCAATCAGACGGGTCGGGTCATGTGAAGTCGCCGTGCCGTCACTACAACCCAGGGATGTCAATCTTGCAGCATAACCACTCTTTCCAACCATCACAACTCGTTTCTACTCAATGAGAACTCGGAAACTCGTTCAATCATGATTCAGGAAGATGGTGAAATTGACCTCAAGGATGTCGAGATCCTTGAGCTTCTCAAAAAGTCAGAGTACTCTGCTATTTTCAAGGTGCTCGTCCATGAGACAACTTGCGTGATGAAAGTGGCAAGCACAAATCTGAAAATCTGCCGACACAAAATGATGGCTCTAACCATACTACCTCCAGTATCATAATCAACCTTACCGGGAATGGGATCCTCCCGACCGTGAAGTGAATTTCTATGTCTGCGAATCCACTGCGTATCGTCGGTTGAAGGCCAAAGGTTTCTGCGAGCGGAAAGTCATTCCAGACTTCTACGGGACCATCACAAACATCCAGCCAAGGCAATGGCCACATCTGTGGATGTTTGTTGATGATGAACTGCCTCCAACAGCCATTGTTATTGAATATGTGCCGAACATGCATCGAATCGACCTTACCAACTTCTCACCCCAAAACGTGCAGATACTGAGAGATATTCTCGAGGACATACATCTCGCCGGGGTTCTTCACGATGACACCTATCCACGAAACATGATGATCTCCAGAGACCCAAGCACGAAACAGGTCAGAGTTCTCTGGATAGATTTCGACCGTGCCCAAACTTTCTCTGAGAGTCTTTCGGAATGGCAGAAAGAACAGTTGGAGGAGGAAACTGAAATTATGGACGAATTTATTCAGTTATTGGTAGGTTACGACCAGCAAGATAATTTTGGCATTTACTGACAGTCACTCAGACGCAGGACAACGAGCAAGGTGAACTGTACCACGCCTACGCCTTCTATTATGGCGTGTTCGGACCGCTGGGGTGGGCAATGGATTACGAATGGATCCAAGAAAAGTACGCGATCCCCGAACCACCTCCAGGACCATCGTGGGAGGAATTCCAGCGGGTAGCCAAAGAGCAAGAATCGCAATGGAAAATCGTGGGGGAGAATACCAGGGAGGTCACGGTGGAATGGGATTCGTGAGAACATACTGTCAAAAGTTCCGCACTGATACGGTCTGCATCGAAGGAAAATATTGATGCATCCAGACTATGGACATGTGAAGAAAATCTCCTGTGAACCTGGCCTGTTCAATGATTGATGTATGAGAGTGATTACCTGATGTTAATTTACTCCCATGTACCTGTAGGATGTTCTCCATATCTTCAGCAATGCAGCAAAAGGCATAACAAAGCCAAAAGAAAAAGAAAGAAAAATCCAAGACTTCCAGAACATACGAGTAAAAAGCAAGAAATATTCTTTAGCCCATTGAGAATTGTGTTTGAGTGCCCATTGGCTGCTGGTGGAGTTGAATGCCGACTTTAACACGGTGGAGCCGCAGAGACCCGCATCCACGTCGGAGCTGTTCCTTTCCCTTTGATTCTCCCAACGAAAATGGATCGGCCTTGCACACTCCTCAATTTTGCTAGAACCCCAGACCTGTCTTGTGATTCTGTTCCTCTACCGATACTCTGCTAGAGTCAATCACCCCCTCCCAGCTGTCCCAGCTACGAACATGGCGGGTGCGGGGATACTCAGGGGCATATCAGGATCGGCACAAACCATCCTACCATTAGCCCCGCGCGAAAGGAACCCAAATCCTATCAAGAGCCACCAAAAGACGGCATCTCTTATGCCCCCACTGTCAAGTGGACCCCGGAAACCTTGACCGGAGGTTATGATGGCATTCCGGCTTTGCTTTTCCTCGTCGAGCCTCCCCCACCCCAACCTCTATGAATGGACCCTTTATCTTGGCTAAGACCCTAGCCAATGCCCGTCGCACCCCTGTAGTTCCTGGCGGTTGATGAATTGCTGCTTTTGGCCCGAGACTTCACGTGGTCCCCCGTACTGCCCGAGGTCCAAAGACGGAGACTCTTGTTGGGTTGAGCGCCAGTTGATCGTGATAGACTTGAGCGGGATCACAATGAACTTCTCTACGCGACTGGACTAGAATGGAAAGGGTCAAAAAACTTCACGGAGTACTTTCGGTCTATGTTCAGAGCGTCGTGCACCAAACAAGGTCGTGCTTGACGCCCCATTGACCAGCAGAGCTAACAATCACGCCAATATTTAAGTCGCCGAAGCCTACATCCACCGGAGTACAAAGGATTCCGAGCTTAGTCGACTAAATCCCAGGGTTACCCACGTAATAAACACTCTCTTCTGTGTAGCGCTGATTTGACCGCGGTTACTTTTTGCTGTATCTGGCTTGTGGTCCGGAATCATGGCGGTATACAAGCAACTTCCAACCAAACTATCTACACCGAAATCTCACGCCCCCTCTCTTAGCTCTAGGTCCAAGCATCCATGATCGTCAGCGATTCTGCCTGACTGAGAGGGGCTCCCAGTTCATCAAATTATGTCTTGGTAGTAGTAAACTACCCCATCACAGTCCCACTCCTCACGCGCAGATCGTCGTTCCACTCACAAGCGGAATCCCCAAAATTGTTTTTCCTACCCTGCTTTGTCGTGCCATTGTGCTATCTAATTGGACTGTCAAAAGGATCACTGGGGAACAAAAATCCCCAGGGCCTGGCTAAACAAGAGTTACGGAGGTGAACAGGACGGTATAAATCCGGCGGCACCTGCACCCTGCCATCACGCCAGTCGTTTGTTTGGTCGTTTTGCCAGCCCTCACGCCACCTCAATTCACTTCGGCGTGTATTTGTTTTGCTTGCTGGCAATTCCTCTTCTTCACCTTGCACCTCTCACCTTTCCTCATCCATATTACTCAACATGAAGCTCACTACCTTGATTGTGGGAGCTCTAGCTTCCAGATCTCTGGCTGCTCCCCACCCCGGTTACGAAGTGCACGAACGTCGTGATTTCATCCCAAAATCTTGGGTTGAAGAGAAGAGACTTGATGCAGCTGCGTATCTGCCCGTCCGAATCGGACTGGTGCAGAACAATCTGGACTATGGCCATGAGCTTCTCATGGAGATGTAAGTCGCCCACACTGATCCTAATATCTATATCCCCCTCAGCGTGCTGACATCGTGAGCTAGGTCTGATCCTAACTCTGCTCGTTACGGCAAGCACATGAGTGCAACTGAGGTGCATGATCTTTTTGCACCCAGCCAGGAGAGCGTGGACGACGTTCGTGCCTGGCTCGAGTCGTCTGGCATCGCCTCTGGACGTGTCTCGCACTCTCAAAACAAGCAATGGATTCAGTTCGACGCTGACGCCAGCGAGCTCGAGAAACTTCTTAACACCGAGTATTACCTCTACTCTCACTCTGAGACAGGCCGCTCTCACATTGCCTGCCGCGAGTAAGTTGAACACCCGAGGTGAACAGCATGGAAGTTGACACTTGAATTTAGGTATCATGTTCCGCACTCTGTCCGCCAGCACATTGACTACATCACACCTGGTATCACTCTTCGTGAGGTTTCCGGCGTAGGCAAGACTAGCAACAACAACGTTCAGAAGCGCTCTCAGTACGGCTTCCCGCCTCCCATTCTTGAGCCCATCCTTGAACCGATTGAAGAGCTGCTGGATAGCCTCTTGGAGAAATGCGACTTGTACATCACGCCACAGTGCATCAAGAGTAAGTGACATCCTGAAATTCAGATTGTACCTCCATTCTTACCACTGTCAACAGGTCTCTACAACATTACCGACGGAAGGACATCCACCAAGGGCAACGAGCTTGGCATCTTCGAGAGCATCGGGGACATTTATGCTCAGAAGGATCTTGATTACTTCTTCCAGAATTTGGCCCCGTAATTGATTTCCAGCCCCCTTTAGTCTGAATTCCACCCTGACTGAATCTTCGATAGGAACATCCCGGCCGGCACTCATCCTACCCTGAAGGGCATCGACGGTGCCACTGCGCCTGCATCTGCTCAGAACGCAGGGGCGGAATCGGATCTTGATTTCCAGATCTCGTACCCCATCATCTGGCCGCAGAATGCTATTCTCTTCCAAACAGACGACAACGTCTATCAGAATAACTACACCTTCCAGGGCTTCTTGAACACCTTTTTGGATGCCATCGATGGATCTTACTGCGATACCATCTCGCCTCTCGATCCTCCCTATCCTGACCCAAATGAGGGCGGCTACAAGGGCCAGCTTCAATGCGGCGTCTATCAACCACCCAATGTGATCTCGATCTCGTATGGAACCTCCGAGGCCGATCTCCCAATTTCCTATCAGCGCCGCCAGTGCAGTGAAATCATGAAGCTTGGCATGCAGGGTGTCTCTGTTGTTGTCGCATCTGGTGACTCTGGCGTTGCTGGTCGTGGTGGTGACCCAACTCCAAGCAACTGCCTTGGCGAGGACGGCGATGTCTTCGCCCCTGATTTCCCGGCTTCTTGCCCTTACATGACCGCCGTTGGATCGACCTATCTTCCACTCGGTAAGCTTGCGACCAGCCACAGCGAGGAAGCCACAACTCGCTTTGGCTCGGGCGGCGGATTCTCCAACATTTACAAGCGCCCCGACTGGCAGGACAAGGCAGTCGAGCAGTACTTCGCCACTGCTAAGCCCACCTACAAGTACTATGAAAGCGTCGACAACTCCAGCTTCGCCGCCAACGGCGGAATTTACAATCGCATCGGCCGCGGGTATCCTGATGTCTCTGCCATTGGTGACGGAATCGCCATCTTCAACAAGGAAATTCCCCAGACCATCGGCGGAACCTCAGCCTCGGCCCCCGTGTTCGCTTCGATTCTGACTCGCATCAACGAGGAGCGTCTCGCGGCTGGCAAGTCGACTGTCGGTTTCGTCAACCCTGTTCTGTACCAACACCCTGAAGCGTTCTTCGACATTACCAAGGGAAGCAACCCCGGTTGCAACACCAATGGATTCCTGGCTGCGGTGGGCTGGGACCCTGTCACTGGACTTGGAACTCCCAACTATCCTGCTCTGTTGGATGTCTTCATGAAGGAGGCCTAGTTTCAAGGAACTCTGGTCGTGCATTGCACCTCGCATTTCTCTACTCTTACTTTCAGGGCGCATACCCCTATCTCGCTGCAAATACTTAGTACAGCAATAATGAACATGATATCCCTTTAAGGGTCTAAGAACTGATTACTTGTTAATGACAGTGAAATCAATATGGGCACGATACTAGTAGTAAACCTGGAAGATGTAATGAGTACCTGCCTGCTTCATGCATTTATTGAATATGTAATGACCTTGTCGAGACTTGAGGTGCGGATTACAAGTAGGAGTACTATATTGACAGTAATCTGCTTGACGGACCGAGTGTATAGAACAGATACTCCAATCAAATGTCCCGGGTTGGAGGTGTTTTGTCCAATCGGAGTCACAGGGTGCTCTGAAGTGGATCTAGCTGAGGATTCCGGGTGGCTGTGGCATTCGCAATTGCAATCAAACGCACGAAATGTTATTTTCAATAGGGGCTGTCAAGAGCCAGGGTTTTGCATTATGTTACTATTTTTTTAAAAGCAATTTGGTATCGAGAAATCCGCTGTATCCATGAACGCCTCGTTAACATCCTCGCAATAGCTCGGCCAGGCATCCAGATTAATCAAATCGGCCCAAGACCAAAGCGATTCTCCATCAATTCCCTGTGCCATGGAATCATCGCCCGGCAGATTCGGCAAATTCAAGTTCGACGAGAAAGCTTGAAGAGTATGATTTTCAGACGTTGGGTCTGGAGGCGCCGTTGAATCGGGGGTAGGGTGGCCGATATTCAGGGTTTGAACCAACGTATCGACTTTGCTGCACAGGTGTCGAGTCAGAGAAGCGGCCCGAACAGCAATTACACTCTCTATGTCGACTGAGTCAAAAATTTCCAATGCGAGATTGAGAAAGTCCCTGGCGCGTGGGCACCGATGGCAGTAAGGGTAGGCCAGCGTGAAGCCGATGATGGTGATGACTGCGTTCCACTGGTACTGGTAAAATTCAGAATGGCCGTAGAATATTTCATGCATCTTCATCTGCTTATGAGCAATTTCAATCATCCTCATGGCATGGTTGAGGGCTGTTGCGGCATGGGCGTCGGCTTTGGGGTGTGACTTTGGAACAAGCGGGTAACTAGGAAATTGAATGAAGACACGATGAAGACTCATCACGGCGTTATGGTATTGTAGCATCAACAAGGTGCTCAATAGGTTATCTATTTCCGAGGACTCGCCGGGTTCTTGCTGAATGCCAGCCTCGGGTCGATCGACAGGTACATCAGGTACATCGAGCTGTATACTCGCGAAAGACTGCTCTTTCGGCAATCCATCCCGCCATTTCTGGAGATGTAAGGTATGGTCGGAGAGATTTTGAGCCCTTGCTTCAATATCCGTGGCATTAGTGTCTTGGTTTATCGCGGGAGCAAAGCGATCCGTAGCTTCGTTCACAAGTAGAGCAGCAGCTGTAAGGCGGATAGACTCGGTGTGGTAGAGTAAGCCATTGGAGATTTGAAGATCGCCCGGCTCCCTGGTCGGTTGCATACACAATAGTTCCTCCACATGAGTCGTAACTGGTTTGCCAATGTGCCTCGAGCAGCGAAAGTCCAGATGTATCAAGGTCCACCAGATTCGCCGAAAAAGCTGACATTCTCGGTACCAGCCAGTTCGAGCGTCCATGTAGTTGAGCGACTGGCTGATACGTAGCGCAAGACCGACCATGTTATATGCCGCCGGATGCTCCCCAGCGTCTAATAAATAGGAGACGAGATAGCAGTAGCACTTCATGACAGATATAGAGGGAACAGCGAATGTGGTCAACTGGGTGACGGCGGAAAGAGAGCGCCGAAAGTATGGCATCCCGATTTTGCCATCGCGTCGCTGGAATTTGGGCCATTTGAGACCGATAAGTCTGTTGTGGAGTCCAGATTGGTGAAGATATTGCAAGGTATGTGCGGTGATCGCATCGAGTAAAGGCGACGGAGCTGCGTCGGTTTGTCCATCAGGTACTAAGTCTTTCCACTCGACGATGGGCATTCGAGGACGAAGTCGGGACCAGAATATCTGCAACAACTGATTTGTCTGAGTTGAAGACAAGTCGCACTCTGCAGCGTGTGTTTCCTGAAGATTGCCAGACGGAGCAGCCGATATCTTTTCTAGTGAGGGGTCTGTGCCAGGTGGTGTTGGACCCGGGGAAAGTTGCTCGACTCCCAAGCAGAAGGCATTGATGCGAGCGATGAATCCCAGCATGGAATCTGTCTTATGCGAGGTCCATGCTAGGTTTTCCTCGGGCGAAGGGGTCGGGGCTGGAGTCTTCTCCAATACTCGCGAAGAATCATCCTGTGACGCGACATCAAATGATTGTTCGTCTGATATCGGTCGGCTCTTTCTACCACCACCTTGTTCTCGTTTTCTTTTCTGGGGGGTGATTGATGGATGAGATCGATCACAAGTGACATTATTAGCCACGCAAGGGGGGGCAGGGCGTGGTAGACTCGCACCGCACTCGATGCTCACGACAAAAATCGCAGGCTTTTGCAATCTTCTGACGCCGCGACGTAAGTTCCGTTCGTCTAAAAGGCGAACTTGTATTTTCAAGCATTTTTAGATATGTTGACCAGTGAGAATCACCGGAAGGGGGGAGAGTTGGGGCGATGAGGGAGAAATAAAAAGAATCCACCGAGTTTTGCAATTTTGACCAATCGGAATCGCTGGAACGGCGGCGATGATTAATTGGAGGTGAGTTGTATACTTCAAGTGGAGATATTCAGGTTTGCATTCAACCTTCCAACAATTTATAAAAGGAGATACTTTTTCTTCTCAAATCTTATAATATCATTCCAATCTGACTCACAGACATACTTTTGTTACTCTCACCCTCACCATGTCGCAACAACAAACCGTCTTTCGGTTCCCGACCAGGAATGCCTTTGAAGACCTGGCTACCTTCCAAGAAGATATTCCTACACCGGCTAGCCACGAGGTCCTCATCAAAGTACGGGCTATTTCGATCAACTCCAGAGATACCCAGGTTGCCACCTCCAACTATCCTTTCTACATCAAAGACAATGTGATTCCAGGATCGGACGCGGCCGGAGACATTGTGGAAGTTGGTGATGCCGTCCGTGGTTTCGCCAAAGGAGACCGAGTCGTGGTGTCCTTCGATAATACCCGTCTCTATGGGCCAGCCAATGATGTGATTTCCGGCCAAGGTGGTGGTGTTGACGGTGTGATGGCCCAATATATTGCCCGCTCGGCGTCTGCTGTTGTCAAGATTCCTGCTGGTTCCCCTCAATCATACAGTGAACTGGCCTCACTTGTGTGCACTGGAGTCACTGCTTGGAACTCTCTATACGGAAACAACCCCTTGATTGCCGGTCAATCTGTTCTTGTTCAAGGTAAGTTGTTGAGCTGACGCGATCCGATCTCATTCCTCAAATCATATACTGATCAAACATGCGCGCAGGAACTGGAGGTACATCCATGACAGCTCTTGTTTTAGCCAAAGCAGCTGGTGCAACCACAATCGTTACCTCCTCGAGCGATGAGAAGCTCAAGGTCGTCAAAGAGTTGTTCAACCCCGACTATTGCATCAACTACACCAAGACTCCGGACTGGGCTTCAGAGGCCGTCAAGCTGACCGGAGGAAAAGGCGTTGACCACATTTTGGAAATTGGCGGAGTTGGAACTATCGAGCAGAGTATTGCTGCAATTGCCCAGGGAGGAGTCATCAGCATCATTGGATACCTCGCCAAGTATGACCCTGCGCGCGTCCCCAACGTCTTGCTTCTCGCTCTTGGCAAGGAGGCTGTTCTGCGCGGTATTCAGATTGGTCCGAAGTGTATGCTGGATGACCTAGTCACTTTGGTGTCGAGGCAGAAATTGAGGTTTCAGATTGAGAAGGAGTATGCATTCACTCGGGATGACATCGTTGCTGCATACAACGATCTTGCATCTGGCAAGCACATTGGAAAGATCTGCATTACGGTTGAGTGATTGGATCTTCAATTGCCATGTCGCCTTGTCTTTTGTCAAAGTCTTCCCACCAATTTTGTTTTGCAATAACTTCAAGTTGGTTCCTTTTTGTTTCTGGGCAAATATAAAGCGAAATAGAACGCTTGGTTGGCTTTCAGGTCGCCACGGCGCCATGATAAACAGAAATTCCAACCAAAGCGATGGTTATGTGAGTGAGCAATGCAACTCGCGTCTGGAGCATAAATAGTCGTTGCAATAAAACGAGATGGATTCTCCGTTCATATTTGCAATCCGTCTCTGGAAGAATGATTGGCGTAGTTAGTATTTACCAACTTTGGAGTACACTACCATTTATTGAATCTCGGTCGTGAGGGCCCCGGAAGCCACCGAGGGGCAATGTGGCTTGCATGGCCCCATAAAATGAGTGTCAAGATTTAACTAATTTGTCAAAGTTGGCTGGACATTGAAAAATTCTCAAGGTCCTTGCGGTTCCCTGGCCTCGCCCACTGGCAAATGGACTCGAGTATGATTTGTTAGTACAATGCCTTGTTGGCTTGCTTTATGACTGAATTGAGGTTGTATTTTGTTTCATGAGAATGCACCAGCTATGCCTTCTCCTATACCGCCACCCAGGTCCCGACGGCGAAGGGGAGTGGGTGAAAAAACGAAGACAGTCCCCTTTTCTAGCTCGGAATGCATGCAGATGCCGCTGGGTAATTGCAGTCCAATAGAATCCCCGGCAATGCTCGATTTCATCCTCACAGGCCCGAGTTCGGCTTCCGTAGTCCGAATGTGCAGTCTGCAGATATACATCCCGCAGGCCGACTCAGACGGGAAATTCTAGCGGCGTTGCCCGGCAAACCCGGAGAAAATGCGACAGTCCGTAGCGATCGAGCCGACGGGACCGGTGTTACTCCGAGAGGGGCAGAAGGTCCACGCAGGAAGCCCCAAGCGCTGAAGATGGCTAGAATTGCTGCAACGGGGTCACGGAGGAGAAAAAAGCCACCTGTCACTGTTGGAGCACCGCGTGCCTTACCGGATCGGGTGCCCGACCAG